GGGAGCGAATCGAACCGCACGGTGGGAGATTTGGTGCTCCTGTTAGGCTGATGACGGCGGGTACTGCCACGACGGGCCGTCTTGTCGAGCGCGCGTGTGACACAGTCCGATCCGTCTCTGTGTGATAGGTCTTGAGGTGCCACTGCCTGCCTGTTGGCGGTTGCCATAGGTGCCGTGACGCAAGGACTGCTAATGTCCACGAGCGTGGGTGGCACATCTGCAGCAATATCCCTCCGCGTCGCCCGCTGCCATCTTAAGATTGCATCGCCGTCACTGCCCAGGCCGATATCGCGTTTCCTCTCCGATGTCATCATCATTACGTCTTTCTGATTGCGTTGCCTACCTCCGTACAGGCGCGAAGCAATGTAACTCTCCCAACTGCTTACCATCATGCCGTGCTACTGCTTTTTCGACCGACGCATTACAGGCCGGCACCAGGGTCCTTGACGACACCTCCGGAGACGGGAGTGTGGGTATTGACTGCTCTATTATGTAGAAGGACATTGACATACTCCCCATGTGTATGAAGAGACAGCCATGATGGCCAGCCAACACACGTGTTGATGTGGTCGCAGACTTGATATTTGATCCTTGCAGCGTTTCTCTCGGTCCTCTGTCCCTCTCCAGGCTTGTCTCTTGCCAGAATGTAAACACAACGTGCAGGGGCATCGGTGTTCGCACATTTCGATCATCGTCTTTGGCAAATATGGAGTCGACATGGACGATGACCGCCCCTCAAACATACTAAGCAGCGCCAATGAAGCGTTGTGCTTGGGGTTTGGCGTAAAACCAATCTCTCCCCCACGACAGAGTCATTGTCCGCAATAGGCCCTTGGTCAAGTAAACATTGCAGTCGCAAAACAACCTTTTTTTGTAGCCTCGCTAGGTGTGGCCCGGTCCTTTATCCTGGCGAGCATAGTATGGCGCTCTCGGTCATTCTTGTTTTTGCCGTTGGGCCCAGTGTGCGATCATGTTTCATTTTGGGTAGGTCCGGTCCCAGGCAGCTGAGAGTCATGTCGTGGTTAGAAGTGTATGGGTGGTGAACATTGGTTTCTCGAACATTCCTGAAGGCCTGGATATTGCCTATCAAGCGCATTCTGGAACGCCAACTTCCATCAATGGCTACCAGACCATCGCGCACATGTAGTGAACATTTGGCCAGGCCGTGCGTGCCTCGCCCAAGACTCCTCGTCCCCATTGTTCTAGGGTAGGCTGCATTACTAGAGTCGTCTGCACCCCGGCCGTACTCGCCTCAGGAGCAGTGAAGCCCGTTCAGAGACCAAACGAAAGACAAGGATGAATATGATGAACATAGATACAGATCTGTCAGTGAGACAGCCAAATCCCGAAGCAATGCATGATCGTCAGTCGCGGAAATCCCCAGTGAGTCCAACGCTAGATTCAACCCGACGAAGCGAAGTCCAGTACCGGTCGAGCTATGTCCATGATGAGAAACGTCAAATCCAGCTGACAGAAAGTCGCCTGGGTCCCGATGAAGCCTGACGCATGTCGCAGCTACACGCGCCATGGCTTGCATTGTCGTGGGTGTTGGCTTCACTGCTTGGCCAGTGCCAAGGCCAGGCAGACTTGAGCCTCTCAACAGTACTTGCATCGTTGCAGTGCTCCCAAAAGGTGTCTCGGGCTAATTCTCTTCCCATTGACGAGTTCCGCGGCTAGGGGATCGGATGAGTGAACGTACGCCGTCTCGATAGACTGCGCGTCATTCGCTAGATCCTCAGACTAACAGACGCGGGCATCGCACTCGCGTCCACCCACTTCGTGGCCAAGCCTGAGAGGCGAGTCGTGCGAAATGGAGGGTCGCGGTATCCATTCAGTGGTCCAACATTGGGGGTTGGCATTCGGCAGCGTGGAAAGACTCCTCAAGCGTATGCTGCTGGAGGCTCATGCGTTGGTGCACACATGAACTTGCTTTTCTCACGCAGCACCACAGGAGGTCCATCAGCAGCAGTGGCTTCAGATCATCCGCTCTCAAGTGTGAAGCAATACAAGCGCTAAACCTGCCAGGTTACGTCCAAGGCCGTCCGTTGCTCGCGGAGCCGCATTCACATAGATACCTTGGTGACTGACCGTAGGCTTGGAGACCACCCGAGGGGCAGATGACGGCCTCGAGAGCTTCAGGGTGTTAAGCAACCTTGGTAAATCTTGTCGTGAGACTTGCAGTACGCACCGTTGTTGGTGCGATACCCTCCCAGGAGTTGCAGAACGGGCAGCCCTCCTCTCGCAGGCCAATTGCGCTCTGTGTTTGGTCATCACCGATACTGAAGAGTGCCTGAAGCCAAATGGTATTGGACGGCGGAGGGCCAACTGTCGTGCACGTTGTTCTCGAAGATGATCTAGGCGGACTGAACTCTCATGCGGTTGGTCGATGAGCGCGAGAAGGATCCCGCGCGTGTCGGCGGCGCTTAAACAAGGGGTCTGCATTGGAGCCCCGGCTCACCAACCACCAGCGTCCGGGAATACAGTGGCAAACGACCAGCTTTGCACTCAATTTAGACCGCTGAATGTATGTAACTTCGTTGCCATATCAACCTGTCGTGGGTCAGGCGAGGCCAGTCTTTTGACTGAGAAATGAAGGGGAAGGGGGGCGGGCAAAGGCCTGCTGCTGTTCGCAATGTGCGCTTCCATACCGTCAATAACAAGTATCGACATCCAGTACCTTGGCTACACAAGGGTCACGATGCGGATAGAAGAGGGGAACGGAGCCTTCTGCTTCACGTGCCGCGCGCAAACAAGTAGCGGGCCTCGATGATATGGCCACACACCCGAGTCGGAGTAAACGCCAGCCACAGGCCGAGAAGCAATCGTAAGTAGCGGCGCCACAGTCCGGCTCGGGGCCTGGCAATGGCTAGCTTTCCTTGGTCCTTGAGGACCGGCTGCTGGGTTTGCTGAGCCGCGCGCTTTGCTGAGGCAGATTAAAACAAGAGCCACGACGGATGGCTGCAGCGGGCCGCTGTGTGTGCGCCGTTTGAATTAACGCGAAAGGCTTAAAATAAAGAACGGTCAACTTCATGAACGTGTAAGCGCAGACAACTGATTGGCGGGCAACATCGATGCAGAAGTTTCGCCATATGTTGTCGCGAAGTTCTCGCCAGGCCGCGCTGGTGGTGTTGACGGGGGGGTATTGAGGAGGGGCGCGAGCTCATGGTTGGAGAGGAAGGCACTGACAAAGATAAAGATCAGCCATCGCTCTTACCTCGAGCTCTTCTCCCAGATACAAAGTACAAAGGCAGCAGCCACAGTTGCGACTCGAGCTGGGACCTGATTCTGTCCTCCAATTCCCCTCTCCCCGCAAATACCTTACTCACCCATCCGCTGCCTCTGGAAGGCTTCCAATCGTCGCCTCACCCATTGTCGTATCAACTCCTGGCTTCTGCTGAGCAGCACTGCCTCGTCCGGTTGCACCGACCTCATCCCTTGCCACACACTCTGCACCTAGGCAATCTTCAAGCTCGCTTTTTGCAAGACAAGTCACCACGTCTTTCCGCTCCGGTTGATATTCATCTGCACCACCGGTACCACCACTGCCTCCACAGCTCCCCTGACGACGTCGGCCCCGTCTGGCTGTCATCTTCACGCATTACGTATCACAACTTTCGGACACCCCTACTAGGGATCAAATTTTAGCTAGCATCCGACTTCCTCGACCGCTCGCTTGGACAAGCATCGCGACACAGCCAATCTCCAACCTCCCCCCCCCCCCCCCCCCGGCAGCCAACAGCAGCAACAGCGGGAGCCGCTTGCCAACGACAGAACTAGCTTTCTTCTCTCGAGAAACGCCAAATTCCTCTGCCCAACCAGGACTCCCAGAGAAGGTCTTCGGCCTCGGCGTGGAATCTTCACACACGCGGCCATCGTCACGCACGACATCGTCGTGATCTTGGGGTCCATTTGACAGATTTGGCGCTGGGCTTGAGTCCGATCCCGCCCAATCAGCAGGCCAATTCCAGGTGTTCTTCACCCGTCAGCGGCATCGCCGAATCAGATCTGTCGCGTGCAACTCCAGGGAACCCGGCAGCGCTACGCTTGGCGGCCATCCAGCCCGGCCAAGATCCCATCCGTTGCTGGGCGCTAGCACCAGAGCAAGCGGGAAGCACCACGAGTCAAGTCCTCGATCCTCGGATCCTGACGGTCAGCCCATACGGGCGCAAGCGCGGGGAGCCACAAGACCAACCGAATCGACGGTGCACAGGGAAGAGCCGGCCGAGCGCAAGGCCACCCACACGTCGAGTTGTGCGCTGAAGCTTTCGGTCAACTCGAGATCTTGCTAACCGCTGCGCTGCAAGCCAGCGGAGCCTCTGCAGGCCACCCCTCCCATCCAGCTAGCTGCACACCCTCGCCGGCCTCACCCCTGTCCATCCTCAACCTCTTGGACCTCCGTCGTCACGCTCAACCCTGCACTCTTCCACAAGAACGAGCACGGCGCTTGGTCAATCCCTCGAGACACGCGCGCGCTCCTGTCTTCCCACCCTTGCCCAGGAGCTTGCGGCGTTCGCTCGCCCGTCCACCAGCGCGCCCCGTTCGACGTCAGATCCAGCGTGTCGGCGCATATCCAAGTGCAGGCTCTGTGTTTGCCGCCGGGCGCCCCCAGTCAGCCCTCCAACCAATCTCTCACATTCAACAGTCCTGTGTGCTTCACAGGTATCGTCTGCTCGGTAGCTGTCGACCCTCCGCTGCATCGTAGCGCCCACTCCTGCTACGATTCGTTTCCCACCCCTCTTACCACCAGCGCTCTTCTGCCCTCTTCTCCCTGCCTTGCATTTCTGCCTCTCTGCCTTCCCTCGCTATATTACAGCCAGCCCCCCTCGGTTCTTCCACGATTTAGCTCCGGAAGGGCTTTGTTCCTGGCGTCTTCACTCTTTGCCCACCCTCTGTGCTCTTCATCCACCTCCTCCCCTCCCTCCCCCTTCACAGCTGCGACACTGCAGGATCTTCAGGACCGGGTCGCTTGTTTGCAGGGAAGCGCCGTCGTCGTTGCCATTATGCCCGTCACCAAACCCAAGCTGGAGAAGCTCTCCACGCCGGTCACGGCTACATTTCCATCTGAGATTGCCTCGGCATCGACAGCTACGCCGCTGTCTGCGATCAACTTTCCATGCAAGCCTGACCCAGACTTCATCAAGACGCCGATCAGCCCGCCCTCAGCTTATACCGACTTCCTCACCAAGGCAATGTCTCTCAACTCGCCAATCGTGGCTTCCTCGGGCGAAACAACGCCAGACTCCGCATCTGGGGCCGCTCCTAGCGAGAAGTCTGAGGGCTCGTCCAAGGCAGGCGACTCCTCTCCCAGTTCGACCGCAAGCAGCACCAAGCCGTCTCCGCCAACATCAGCGCCCGTGGTGCCCCCCAGCCCTTACACCTCGTCGGGCCCTATGTCCGCTCCACCGACTGGTGCAGCTTCATTCCCGAGTCTCAAACTACCGCCGAGCCCCGCCATCTCCAACTTCGACTCGCCCCTCAGTGCCAGTACCGTTCGGTCGCCTTTCAGCGCCCGATCAGTGCATTCTGTTTTCGACTGGGAAGCAGCCTTGAAGGCACGATTTGCAGACTCCAAGAAGCACAAATCATCACGCACCAGCGTCCGTCACATTCGCGAGGTGGTAACACGGACCGTCACTTATACGCCGAGGATGGAACCGGCGCCTAGGGGCAAGCGGCGGAAGGTCGAGTGAAGCGAAATTCCCAATGGCGCCAACCAAAATGATACGGAATCTGTTCTCGACGCCATGGCACTGCGAATCTTGGATCCCCTTGTTCGGTTCGCCAGCCGGCTCACTCACCCGGAGCATCGCTTCTGTACATCTTAATGGTATCCCGGCGGCCAAACTTTCGATTTACATCTCTTTTGTCTATATGCACCGACCACACACTCTTTACTCACTGGATGGACACATAAAAAGTAGCAAGAGGAGGGGGTGCAGATGGTGACGCAGGAATAGCGGACGCGGCATGTGACAGGCGAGGCCACATGCATCTCTCGACACGACGACTACGAACTTGTTATTGGGCAGGCGCTGATATGGAAATTGCGACGGCGTACATCATGGGGGTCGCTGCTGTTGGGCTTCTCTGCGGCTCGTTCTTCGCTCGGTGGTTTGCTTTGGCGGACAAGCCTGGTGAAGGTGCAGCCACCAGGAACACCCGCAGCGAGAGGAGTTTCTTGGCGTTTGCAGTCCGCTTCAAGTTGCTCTGGCTGGGAACGAAGTTGCTTTCTGGCGACTTCTTTGGCTGTGCTTGGCTCTTCTCTTCTTGTCATTTTGTTCGATACCAAGAAATAGGTGTGCTATGAATGTGCTAGAGGCACATTGGGGATAGTGACGGGGGCTGCAGCGGCAGCCATCTCGGAGGGAGGGGCCATGTCCACCCGGACTGATGGAGTGGATAGAAGCGTCACGTAGCTCACAATACGGACTACATGGTGCCGATACGCACTGCCCGGTGCTGATTTCGGTGAACGTCTGGATCGCCGTGAGCCAGCTTGCATACCCGCTCCACCACCTCGGCTGAGCATCTAGCTGTCGTGCCACGGAGCACCTTGGGGGGGCACGTTGAAGTTGATAGGCCTGATGCTGTTTCTATGGCTCACGCGGCATGTGCGTTTGCATGTTTGTTTATTGACGGGCGGGCCGTGAGAATGGGCCGCGTGTGTGCCGGACGGGAGGGCCGCATCGCAGCGGCCAGTGTCAGTCAATGGGCCGCCGTCTTCTTTCTTCTCCCTGACCCGCCTGCCTGCGGGACAGCAAGCCACATGGGCAAGATACAGGTGATGCGGCGCCCGAGAATCAGTCCATGGAAGCGGCAACTCCTGTCTAATTACGTATAGCATGTGCACGTTCGTTTGCCCAGGACATGGACGGCGGCACGGCCAGCACGGGCGGGCGAGGCAGAGAGGGCCGGCCGATGGTCGCGGGCACAGATGGGCCGCATATTGGGCCGGCGGGTGAGTCGCCGTCCCGCGCAGGCACCTAGGTAGGCAGACCTTGTGTACTGAGTCTACGGACGCACATCCATGGATGCTGTATGTATGTACCTAGTATGTACGTAGGTGCGGATGTACAGTATGTGCGCGTAGTACTACTTGCTAGGTGGGTAATGTGCACAATCGCTGCTAGTAGGGGCCTTTCGCGCGCGCGCGCGGTAGGCCGGCAGGCTGTGTGTATGTATCCGTACTTGCATCTCGTGAACTGTATACGTGCTGCGTGTTGCGTGCTCTCCCCGCTCCGTGTGCTGCCGCCGACTGTTCAGTGTGTCTTCGGGGGTGACCTTCTGAGAGCTCCGGATGGGATCGTACTGGTGCTCCTCGTCCGCCACGTCTGCCTGCTCGTCCCTCCCTCTCTCAGCGCGTGTCTGCCTGTCTCTCTCTCCTCTTTCCCCCCTCCCGACGCATAAAAGCACCAAGGTCGAATTCTTGCACATTCGGGGCTGCTGCTGCTGCTGCTGCTGCTGCCGCTCGCCCTGCCCTGCCCCTGTCTCTTATACACATCTAGATGTGTATAAGAGACAGCCTTTGTGGCGCCCGGGCTGGCTTGGCTGGGTTGGCGACCCAGCACCCCGGTCCCACTAGGGAAGCCAGCGGGGAGGGCACACCTAACTGGAGGTGATTCCTTGCGCCCCCCTGGCGGGCTGGCTGGCTGGCGGGGTCGCCCGGCGCTTAGAGCCCGCGCCCGTCACGCACCAGGGACGCCGCGCGACGGTGATTGGGCGGCACCACGTCGACTCTAACGCCTTTCCCTCGCTGTAAGCGCCGAGGGCTCTGTGGCCGAGTGCCGCCGCCGGTAACAGGTCTGAGGTTGTGTCCAGCAGAGTCAGAGTCAGAGTCAGAGTCAGAAGTCGGACCAAGAGAATGGAAGGTGCTGCCTGCAACCTGCAGGTGCCGCCGCCAGTGCTGCTGCTGCTGCCGGGGCTGTGTGAGGAGGCACAGGGCCATGGAATCGGAAGACCAGCATGCCAGCATGGCTCTTCTCTTCCTCGAGGAGGCGGAGCAGAGAGTCTGAGCCTGCGTTTAGATAATGGGCCCAGGACTGCAAGTCCACAAGCCAGCAATACTGTACCAGACAGCTGGTAAACGGGGCCGAGGCGAGCACCATTGTACGGTACGCAGACATTCCGTGTCACGCAGCTCCAGTCAGGCAGACGGGCTCGACTCCATTGGCCCCTCCATCACGGCCTTGCCCTCTCCACCCATTGCGGCAACCGCTTCTTCTCGCCGTCACCCCCGTCCGACTCGTGGTGCTTGCAGCGACAGTGACGATCCGTGACCACCACTCGCCGCGCACTGAGCACCAGCACATGGGCACACACGTCCCATCCCCCTCGCCCGTCGGCCGCAACCGTCAAACCCGCGGGGGAAAGAGGGCAAGGAAAGACGATCGTGTGGCTTCGTCCTCGCACCGGACTCCGCCCCCCCGTCCCCCGTTCCCAACCGAACCGAACCAAACCCACCCCCCCGGTCGGTCGCCTTTGTTCCTCACGAGGCGTTCACGACGAACGGTCCGCCTCATGCCGGCAACTGGCTCCTGCATCGTCCTGGCATTTCCCGTCGTCACGGCGGCGTTTGCGGCCGCACCCTGAGCCTTCTTTGTCCGCCTGGGGCACGAGCCCCCCTCCCGCCTCCTTCCCCGGTTCCTCACGCCCTCCGTCGCATGGACGGAGACTCACGCGGGGGGAGGGGAGAGGGGAGGTCAAGAGGGGCTAATACTCGCTGCTACACTGAGGTGCTGAAAGACGAAGCCGTCTTGGGCATGGGCTGCTGCGCGGCCGAGACGTGTGATAGACGACACGGCGGACGGTACCTTTTGGGCTATAACATGGCAATTTATAGCGCGTAAATTATACGAGTAGAGCGTCATGGGCAACTGGTGTCATGCAGTAATTTGGCCCATCTCATCTCAATCCCATGTTCCTTTGAGATGCCCCAGTAACTACCTACGAGCCTACGTATGTATGTATGGCTCCTTGGCACATTCAAATCTGGATGGGGAGTTGACCACCACCCCCTCCCCCGGTTTCGACGCTGTGAAACGCGGGTCCCCATCTCATCTCCATGAGATTGTCGGGGCGTTTCATCTCACGGCGCGACCCCTTGTTGCCAAAAACGGCCTGCAAATCTCGCGTGTCCATGGGGCCGCCGCCTACCCCCCCTGGTCGCCTTTCCCCCCCCTGGACGTGTGCCATAGAATCTTCTTCGACCGCTTCTAAATTTGGGAACCGCGCGTGCCAAGTCGTAGTAGACATGTCGTTGACCAAGGGCGAAAGCGGGCGTCAGCTTCACTGACATGTCATCGTCCAGGAGGACGTCGCATTTTGCGAGACAAGACCCGGCCAGTCTTCCCAGTCGTGCGGGCGTTGTGTCGTCCCAAATACGACCTTGGCCAGCTGGGCGCACGCAAAGCATCTCGGTCAAATCTCCAGCCCAGGGATATGATATGGTGCCTCCAAGCATGGCCGTGTCGATATCTACACGAATCATGACCTGGGATTCGAGATACAGAGGATACTCGAATATGCAAGCGCTGCTCCGTCCCTTGTTGAAGCTCTTGTGAATACGCCCAGACAACGTCGCATGCGAGGAGGTCCACACTGCATGCGGCGCGGCATCCTCCGTCGAGCGGCTCGGCAGCGACACAGCCTCTCCAGCCAGGCGGGTCAGACGGGCTCGCCGAGCACACCGCAGCGTTCCAAGAGCCCAGCATGGGCAAGGTATACCAAGTGTGCTAACTCACGTCCCTCACCTCCTTGGCGACGGCATTGCACAGCGCAACCTTGACCCCGGCGCCCGTGAGAACATGGATCCATAGCCGCTGGGTGTCACTCAGCCGGTCATTGGCGCTCTTCACCTCGGCGAACATGACTTCGCCCCTCGGCGAGCCCGGCGCTGCTGCATCGTCCGAGCTCGTCTCGCCCGTGCGTCGATGGACGTTCTCGTCGCCGGCACCGTCGATGTCGCTGTCCGCAGCAGGTCGCCAGAGGAGCAGGTCCGGCACGCCCCCGCCGCGGTGCTTGTACTCCTGCGCCATGACCTTGCAGATGGCCGCCAGTGCGCTCCCTTCGAAGCACCGCACGAGCTCGGCCATGTCTTCCACGTCAAAGTCCCAGTTGAGACCCACTGCTGCGGTTCGCTTCTCGTGCTCCCTCTCCCAGACATCGCGCAGCAGCCGCTCACCTTCTCCGTTGGCGATCTCGACGAGGCGGTGGTTGATTTCGGACGCTCTTGCGGGGAAGAACGCGTCCGTGTGCAGATCGAGCGGGCATGTCTGGTACGCTGTCTGGAACACATTCGGTATGTAGAGAAATAGTATGTCGTAGAAGAGGTACGCGAAGAGCGTTCGGACGACGCCCCCCTCGGCGTGGTAGCCTTTCCATCCCTCGGTGCGGAAGTGGCTCAGGCACATATCCTCTACGCTGCATTCTCCGCCAGTGTCAAGCTCGTCCAGCCATATTGTCTTTGTTGATGCGGCAAGAGCTCCCGGTTTCGGGGCCACATCTCGCTTCAGCTGGATGCCCTCGACGGTAATTTCTATGGGCTCGGCAAGGCGGACGTGACCAAAGTCGTGTTGTAAGCGCCTCGGGATGCGTAGCTTCTTCTCCAACTTGACCAGGCGCTTTTGCAGGTCGTAGTGATGTATCAGGTGGCAGTCGGGATCTTGCAGGCCAGCCTCGCAAGTCGCGACGGCAACCCGTTTCCAGTGCTTCTTCAACTGATCCATGCTCTTCGATTCGGCGTCCTCGTCGAGCTGTGCCATGTAATGCTCCTCCAGTAGAGCCTTGCGTTGGTACCAAGCCCCGCGCCGAGCGAGGTGAAAGAGTTTCTGGTCAAGCAATTCGTTGAGCAGCTTATACTCCCGCGCATGCTCCTTCCGCCGGCCCAGCACATACATGGCCTTGAGAATAATCCTGGTGTACGAGTGAGCCGGGTTAAACCTCCGGAGGTAGGCACCCTCGCCCATCTCGTAAACCGTCCTTTCCTTGTCGTGCTCCTCGACGACATATGCCTGCCAACGGGGGTACACCTTGTCGAATATGTCGACTATTCTCTGAAAGCCAGCCTCGGTTGGCGGGCCATTGAACTCCAATATGCTATCCACCTCGGCTTCCAGTCGTATCGCCGCCTCAAACTCGAGAAGATGATCTCGAGACGCGAAGATGGTCGATGTCCGACAGACGATGTACTCGGGAAAATTCCTCCTCGCAATCTTGGCCAGGATGATGGTCGTGAGAGACTTCTCCGTCCACTCCGTCGATCGGTAGAAGACGAGGTGGACTCGCTCAAATAGCTTGAACACGAGGGGGGATAGGCGAATGCATGGACCAGTAATTTCTAGAATCTTGCCCAGAAAGTGCTGCTCGCGGTTCGAGTCTTCTCGACGAATCTTCGTCCGGTCGATGGCCTTGACGCTGTCCGAGTCCTCAGAGGCGTTCGAGTCGCGGCTGTTGTGCCTGCTGAGGCCCAGAGACATCAACCCGGCTTGCTGTTGGCTCATCCGGCACAGGCCCTTGATGAACTCGGCCTTGTTACGACCCTGCACTTTTGCGCTCTTTGCCAGTGCTTTCAGCTCGTCGAGGTAGAGCAAAGAGGCGGCTTCCTCAACCGACGTGAGATGCTCTTCGGAAGAATCTGCAAAGGTGAATGCCTCGCCTAAGCTGAAGTCCTCGAGGTCAAGCCCGGGTATCAAGTCCTGAGCTTCCGATGCGTCGCTTTGTGGCAGCTTTCTGGCGTTTTGAAGAGACTCTATGGCCGCCTCGGGATCAGAGACGTCTGCATAATAGCCCAGCCGACTTGTTCGATGCCAAGCTGCAGTCTTGCGCAGAAACAGGCGCACGTAGCTGTTTATCTGTCAGGATCAAACCTCGCAGCGGCAAAGACTGCGGCGACTTACAGGTACTGAGCCTCGTAGCCAAGCGTCTTCCATTGACTAAACACTTCCAACTCCTTGTTGTCGAACAGCTGTGACTCCTCCTCGAGGACAGTATCGAGAGCCAGATTGAAAGCATCGACGTAGATCGAGCTCCGGCCCTTGATCCAGAGGGGTCGGGTCGTATCGGTGGCCTCGTCGACCTTTTCGCCGCTGCTCATTTGGGAAGACTTGAGGAGTTCATATTCCTCGATTGCCGTGTCGTCGGTTTTGGTCGGCGGCAGAACGTTCTCCACGTCAGTTGCTCGCGAGGTTTGTGCAGACTCGTCGTCACCGCCAATTTCGTCTCCGAGCTCAGCTTCCCGCCCCGTATACTCTTCGGTTGAAGATTCATCGGACCAATCTGATGCCGAGTCCTTGATTTCATCCCGCCTCTTCTGCCGCTTCGCTGGGCGGTCCAGGCACGGGTCGCCGCCAGCGGTTGGCGCATTACCTTCCTCCTCCCCGGCTCCCGGAAGCCTCCTCACAAAGGCATCCATTGTTGCTCATCATCCAGTCGAGCATTTCCGAACGTGCCAGCAGAGTCGTCGAAGCACGGGTATGTGACGTGCACGGGAGACGCGAGCCAACCGTGAAACTCCAACACGAAGTCAGCTGACCGCGTTAGATCGCTTTCCACCACTTCCACGCTTCGCGCAGGGTCGCCCCGAACTTCATCCGACACAGGCAGAACAACTGCACCTCGCCCTCTCGCGCACGGCAGCCAGCAGCATTGTCAGGATACTGCGATTGCAATGGCGGACGAGTCGGTGAAGGCAGACCAAACGACGGAAGCCGCGCAGGCTCCCGTCGCCGGCGACGCGACAAGCTCTGGCACTCCCGCGCCTCAAACGCAGCCTGCGGCTCCGACCGAGACGGAGACCCCCCAGAAGGATGTTCTCATGTCCGACGCGCCAATCGATCAAGCTGCGGTACGGGTTTGACTCTTCACTCCGATCGGGCCTCCAAAACAAGTCTTTGCCCATCCCAACAGCCTGCTGATGGCGCCCAAACAGTCTCCGGCTCCAGCTGCACTTGCACCCAGCCCCGCGCCAGCGAGAACCGGAACTCCTGCGCAGGGCTCACGAGCGCCCTCGGTCCACCCAGAGGCGGGTGTCACCATGCCTTCAGAGGCCGCACCGCACGGCGACCCGACTCGACGTTATTTCAACAGCAAGGTGACTGGGGTGCTGCTCGAGGGCATGAAGCAGTTGGCGAAGGACCAGTACGTAACCTTCGCAGGTCACAGAGCCATGATGCCATCGCTAACACCGCGCAGACCCCCTGATCCTCTACGAGTACTGGGCGAATACCTCATTCAGAGGTCGAAGGAGCTTGAGGGGACGAGCTAGTTTATTTATGCGGGGAATGGGCAGCAGGCATATCGGTTGCATGAGCAGGCGTTACAGGATGGGATAAATGGATAAAGCTCTAAAATACCCCCCTTGGAGCAACGAGAGCAACGAGAGCAACGATACACTTTGGTTGTAGCCAGGAGCCTTCAATTATGAGCCTGTGGACTACTTCTCGGCCTTGCAGACCGTGGAAACACGCATCATGCTTCTCTAAATGCAGGTTTTCCGTAAAAGTTTCCCCCAACTCCGAGACCAGGGTTTTCACCTCTCTCCTCCGCGCGCAGCCATCCCTTCTCAGGCTTTTCGCCCTTTATGCGACAATGGTGCTGGCGGTGGCCGACTCGTACTTCCAGGTAGGGGGCAGGACGCCGACGGTCTTGTAGTAGCGGGCGAGACGGTGGATACGCGACTCGATAAGAATGAGGCGGAACTTGGAGTCCTTGTCCTTGCGGTTGCGCTCGAGGTGCTTGCGGACAGCGACGGCCTGTGGCACATTGCGTTAGTCCAGGCTCTCTGCCAGCGACGTGGCCCATCCGGGCGCGGGTGACAATATTCATACCTTCTTGATCAACATGTACAGATCCTCAGGGAGCTCGGGAGCAAGGCCTGTTCAAAGTCTCTCTGTCAGTCTTGAACCGTACAGAGGCACTGGAGACAAATCTCCATAGAATTGTGTATGTCCTCCATGTTCGTCGTTTCGCTTCAGGGTACCGTACCGTTGGACTTGAGGATTCGGAGGATGCGGTTGCCTGCGATGAAAACGGTCAGCCAGCTGCGCCTCGCATCTTCCCCCCTCTTCCCCTCATATTCCAGAAATGTCCATACCGGTAACAATCTTGACCTGGGCAACGCCGTGGGAGTCGCGCAGGATGACGCCAATCTGCGAAGGAGTGGCACCCTTTCTGGCGAGCTTGGAGATCTGCTCGACGACCTGCTCGGGGGTGGTCTTCAACCACGCCGGCGCGGAGCGCGAGTAGGGGAGCGCGGAGGCGGAAATGCCCTTGCCCTTGCTGTGAAGACGGCCCATGTTGACGGTGTTGTGGTGGTGCTGAGGGTGAGAAGTTGCTGCAGCGTCGGTCGCAAAGTTGCAAGATCTCGTCGGGGTTGTGTGGAGCTGGAAATTTTCGCTTAGTTAGGGCAGAGGGGTGAATTCGTGCGCGAGCGGTCGTGGACGGCCCCACCAGCGTAGTGTTCACGTGACAGGTCACGTATTTTGGCGCTGGGCTCCACCTTGTCAATGGTTCAAAGTTCGAGAACCGCGTCCAGCGTGTGTTCTTTTTCTTCCTCAGATTGACCGCGCCTGTCACAGATTGTCCGTTGTCGCCATCGGACAATCAGGCGCGGGCCGGGTAGTTTAACGCTGCCCGGCTTCGCCATGATCAAGAGGTAAGTTCGCTCTGATTTTCTCGTTCATCCCCCCAACCAGCACCTACAATGATGATAAAGCACATTTACTTTTATTTCTGGTACCTCTTATGTTAGGGCCTTCGGGCTCGATGAATGAACTGGACTTCTGAACACCAATTGCACCTGCTCCCAATTGACCTTGCCGCTCATCCCGTCCAAGGCCAATGGCTGACATGTCAAAGAAACAGATTTTTCGTTATGGATATTGTTTGGTTCAATCGACACAGATGTATTAAAGCCGGACACCCCTAGATATCCGCCAAATATCATCCATCTGCCGATTTCTCAGTCCAAGCGTCGCCTGTGACTTGTGCGAAGCAACTCGCACGGAACCATCCCTGCGTTGCGTTTTGTTTTACATGTAATTGATTGCCAGACAAAGAAGAGGCCACCGACTCCCCACCGTTGCCTTCCAGCCCCTACCCAATCCGTCTCGCGCTTCATCCGCCCCACGGGATATGTTCGACGAATATGCTTCAACAGCATCTCTGTGAGATGTTCAAGCATTACCAAGCACCAACGTCAAAGTTCTCCTGAAACGATTTGTCAGCCTCGCCGATGATCGCGCGGGAGCGCGGGGACTTACCTCGGGGAAATAAGTAGTGACGACGGTTCTGTCGGCAAACTTTCGTCCAGCTAAAGCATTCAGCGCTTGATTGGCCGACTCTGCCGTCTCGAATTTGACATAAATCTTGCCAACACCAGCAGACTGTCGGCTACCACCGGAAGGTCGAGGCGCCTTGAGCTCCAGCACCTTGCCAAATTTCTCGCATTCTTCGCGAATGTCGTCGCAAATTTCTGTGATATGTCAGTGGGTGCACCTGCGGAGGTACTGTCGGGCTGTCTGGCTTACCTTCGTATTCATCATCGTCCATAAGCTCGTCCGGCGTGACCATGTTCAGCATCTGGACGACGCGGCCCTTGTTGTCCTCGGGTGCAGCCTGAGACGCGAGGCCACTGATAGCGGTGATGCCAACATCGAAGTTGGCTACCTGGGTGGAGCCAGAGCTAGCCTTCATCACCTTCAGCTTCTTGCCTCCCACGTCCATGCCGTTGAGAGTGTTGAGAGCTGGCTCGTTTGCCGTCGCTGGGTCGAGATACTCGACAAACGCGATTCCCTGTCTCGGTCAGTTCACAAGCTCAAGAACATAGCGAATATCAAATCGAACTCGAACTCACTCTGGACTCTTGGGTATTTCGGTCCTTGACGAGGACGAATGCCTTCGGCTTACCAAAGGCGGCGAGCAACTCGATAACTTGGTCCTCGGTGAGGAACGAAGGGATATTGGTGACGCTCAGCTTGTTCAGCGTATCGGGAACATGGCTGGAAACGACATCAGGGTCGTGAGCGACTTCCTCTGGGACGGCGGCCATAACGTAGTCCTGAGGTCGTCGAATGACCAGGCCGGCTGGCTCTGCTGAGCCGTTCACGGCGTCATTCGCCTCCATTGAGATGCCATCAAAAGCAAGCGCAACAGTGGCGTCGGAGGCATCCTTGAAGTCCAAAACAGCAAATGCGCCGGAGCTGGAAAGCTGGCAGCCAACGCAGGGATCATGGTTCTCCACGACATTCAGCCCGTTCATCTGGAGGTTGAAGAAGGAAGTGAGATTTTCCTCAGTGGTCGCGGGGGCAAAGTTGGAAACGATAAGGCGCTTGGACTGGCGGGAATTGCTTGCTTTCAAGCCAGCGCTCGTTACTTGGCTGCCGGGCTGGTTCATCATGGCCTGGAGCTTCGACGGGTCCATGGGCTGTTGTCGGGGAGCGCCGGGCAGGGGGAACATGCCGGATAGCTTGGCTTGCTCGGCCGTAACCATCTCATAACCGGGCGGCTTTATGTCCCACTGCGTCAGGCGTCTCTTGCGCTCCAAGACAGGTACGACGTTCGTCAAGTCCGGCGTTGGCTCCCGCTTCATGGGACTCATGCTGCGCCGAGGCTCTTGTCGACCGAATCCACCATCATCCCGTCGGGGTTCACGTCCCCCGCCTCTCCGGCGGTCGTCAAATGGATCTCTGTCTCGTCGCGGGGGTCTTTCGTCGTCATCGCGTCGTGCGTCGCGGCGAGAGGAGCCACGATCGCGGTCCCATTCGCGGTCTCCTCGGCGGTCACGCCCAGAGTAGCGGTCTTCTCGCTCTCGATCGCGGTGGCTTCGACTGGACGAATACGCGTCCGCATCCCCCTCGCCCCGGCGATGTCCGCGATGGTCGGGAGATCGCGAGCGTCTGCGGTCGCGGTTTCGGTCGCGGTCCCTGTCACGGTCACGTTCCCTGTCGCGGTCCCGTTCGCGGTCACGGTCACGAGGGCGATCGCGTCTATCGTCTCGGTCTCCGCGGGGCTGATGAACTGTTAGATCACGGAAGGGAGTGATGTCGATGGTCATCAGATGGTTACGAACAGGGTAGTCTCGGCCTCTCCGCCCGTCTTCAGGGAAAAGCGACGTTAGCCAGATTCAAGCGCAGCAGGACAGGTTCGGCTTCAGACGTACCTCGAGACGAGTAGCTATCGCCGTTCATGGTTCGCGATGCCTTGCCGGGATGGCAAGAGGTCGATCAGGCACGGCGCGTTGATGGAACCAGAGGGCGGCAGGCGATGGGAGCGATGAAGTGACATGGAGGTTTCAGGCCACAGGCATTTCGCAGCTGGCGGACGAGGCTGGAGCTTTTTGCAACGCTTGCCGCTAGTCCGCTTCGGGCGTGGCCCGCCAAACAGGTGCCCCAGTCCGGGCGCGGCTTGGGCCTCTTGGACCTGTTCCTGCGGCTCGCGCTAAACGGGTACGTACCGCCACCAGAGACGACATGACGACCAGGGACGTCCTCGGGGTCCAGAGACTCCATCAGCAGGTGGCGACCCTGGCCCATTGAGCATCCTCCGCATCGTTTCCACGTCAAGAACAAGGCATTTCCTAAATCTCCTGGCTTCGGCAATATCGCTGGGCTTTCAGGGGCCTTCGGGGGACAATGGGCGCGCCCATCAAGCGGGTGTCCGAGTGGCGCAAACTGCCTGTTAGCCTCACGGAACTCAGCATAGACACCACTCTTCGCTGCGGGCAGTCCTTCAGGTGGCGCAAGATCAACGATGAATGGTTTGTGTTCTTTACTTCTGGCCATCACACCACATTCTCACAAAATACAGGATATGCACACTGCACGGGCGGATCCTTGCTTTGAAGCAGGACCCCCTTCACCTTCACTACAAAGTAACCTGGCCAGAAACATCACCACCATCGCCGCGTGGCATCCCAGCCTCGCCTCTTCAACGCGGCTCGCAGATTCATGATGATACTGAAGAGCTTCTTCGGCGCTACTTCAGCTTGGACCTGGATCTTGGTGCCCTGTACAAGCAGTGGTCGGATGCGGACCCGAACTTTCGCAAAAAGGCTCCCGAGTTCACCGGCGTGCGCATTATCAGTCAAGACGCCTGGGAGGCGCTGGTTTGCTTCATCTGCAGCAGTAATAACAACATCAGTCGAATATCTCAGATGGTAGGTGCCTCGTATGCGAGCTGACCGTGTGTGACAAGTCGACTGACTGTCTACAGGTCCACAAGCTCTGCAATAAGTACGGGCCATTCATCGGCAAGGTCGACAATGAAGCCCTGCACGATTTCCCCACCCCTGATGCTTTGACAGGGAAGCAGGTTGAGTCTCAATTGAGAGAGCTGGGTTTTGGGTACCGAGCAAAGTACATCGCAGAGACAGCGAGGGTTGTCGCCCAAGAGAAGCCGCAACATTGGCTAGAGTCGCTTCGGAACCCTGAACACCAAGGCCCCGGCGACTGGATGGGCTCAGGAACCCGTAAGGCGACATACAAGGAGGCCCACGAGGAGCTCCTGTCCCTCACCGGAGTTGGGCCCAAGGTCGCAGACTGCGTCTGTCTCATGGGTTTGGGATGGGGCGAGTCTGTTCCCGTCGATACTCACGTGTGGCAGATTGCACAGCGGGACTACAAATTCGGCAAGACAAAGACAAAGACGTTCAACAAAGTCATGTACGATGCGGTTGGCGACCACTTCAGGGACATTTGGGGTAAGTACGCTGGATGGGCGCATTCCGTACTGTTCACTGCAGACCTTCGCGAATTCTCCAAGCAGACGGTCAAGAAGGAGGAAGAAGAGGACGGTCTGAAACTGGTGACAACCGAGACCACGATCATCAGTCCCGAGGAACCGAGTGGGACACGGAAGAGGCGCGCTACAATCAAGGTGGAGGTAAAACGAGAGATACAGGGCGGGGGCGTCGAGAAGGGGATGGTGCCGGATGAAGGAGCAGCGGTGAAGCGTAGGAGGACGAGGCAGACTCGCTAATGTAACTCACCATCCCACTCTTCTCATGCCCTTGTGGTTATTTGTGAGCCTCTGGTGTAGAAGCACTGCCAAGTTTCTGGTGCCACCGCTATCACTATATAGCTGTGGGAAGAAATCATAGTGCGTCCTCATTAACACTTGTTTCAAGTACGTACCGCCATTACTACCACCGCCATAAGGCCAACGTTCTGCTTCTCCTTTTAATGGATTTCATCCACCCGCCCATGTTCAGTGATGTCCAGGCATCAAGAGTCCAGGGTATGTAACTTAGTTTTGTACTGGTAGACGTGGAGGCCAGCTCAGGTGGGGCTCGCCGGTGCACCCAAGCCGGCTAAACGTCGGCAGAAGAAGCCCAGCTGCCAATCCTCGACTTTTTGCCGCCTCAGCAGCCTCACGCCTGGGCAAAGCTTCTTTGCAACAAACTTCGCCAACCGCGCCAGCTGTCCATCCATGTGCGACGGCATCACCGAGATCTCCCCTTGCAACCTGGAACCGGGATGAGCTTCGGAAATCGCTGAGTCAAGATGTCTGACGCGGATTTTCGAGCCGTCACCAAGAGCCAGCAGGAGCGGAACGCGGCTTCTGCGGCGAAGAAGGGCTCGCGAGGGCTCGACGTTGCAGCAGCTCAGCGCACCGACTCGACGCGCCAGAAGCTCACGGACAGCGCAGACAACGACCTCTACGACAAAGACGCCGGCGACAAGTATGCTGGATACCACACCTCCCTCCCCATGGGCGACGACGATGACGACATGGCCGTGGACACCACGCGTCGCCTCGTTGGCCAGTACACGGCGTCCCGCGAAATGATCGACGAGTTTGCTCGTGGCGACGGTGTTGAGGAGGAGGACATACTGGCGAACCGAGGCGAGAAGAGCGGCCGCATCATCGACCGCGAGACCGACTACCAGAAACGTCGATTCAACCGTGTCCTGACGCCGACACGCGCCGATCCGTTCGCGGAGAACCGACAAGCCGGGGCTGCCGAGAATGGCACAACGTATCGCGAGATTATGGAGAGCCAGGAGCTCGACAGGGAGGAGGAACGCGTTCGGCGTGCGATTCAAGCCAAGCAGGCCGAAAACGAGGCCAGTGAGAATGGCGACCTTCGACCCACGTTGCAGCATCCAGACAAGGAGAATGAAGATGCCGGGTCAACGGAAGCCGCCGCTGCAGGCCGGAAGCGCAAGAAGAGATGGGACGTCTCATCCGCCCCGAGCGAAGAAAAGCCCCAGACCGAGGAGGCCGCCGCGCCGACAAAGCGGTCCCGATGGGACGAGATCCCTACTCTTCCCGAAAAGCAGCGTTCTCGATGGGACCAGGCTCCTTCGGCGACGCCTATGGCCAACTCCGGTCAGGCGACGCCGGCACCGGCTTCTCAGGTTCCCAGCTTACCCGTTGCGTTTGGGACCGATGCCGGTCGCAGCTTTGGCATCAGCGACGAGGAGCTTGACCTGCTCCTCCCCGGCGAGGATCAAGGCTACAAGATTCTGGAATTCCCTCCTGGTTTCGTGCAACTTCGAGCGCCAACCCATCGGGCCATGGCCACTCCCGCACCCGCTAGTGGCTTCATGATGCAGGACCCGGATCAGGTGCGTCTCGGCGGCGCACCCATGCCCGCAGAAATCAGCGGTGTCGGCGATTTGCAGTTTCTCAAGCCGGAGGATATGAACTACTTTGGCAAGCTGAACGACGGTGCCGACGAGAGCTCCATGTCCGTGGACGAATTGAAGGAGAGGAAGATCATGAAGCTTCTCCTTAAGATCAAGAACGGCACGCCGCCAATGCGTAAGACTGCTCTGCGCCAGATTACCGACAATGCGCGGCAGTTCGGCGCCGGCCCATTATTTGCTCAAATTCTTCCTCTTCTCATGGAGAAGACCCTCGAGGAGCAGGAACGCCATCTGCTCGTCAAAGTCATCGACCGTATCCTGTACAAGCTGGACGACCTGGTTCGGCCATACGTGCACAAAATCCTCGTCGTCATCGAACCGCTGCTCATCGACCAGGACTACTACGCACGAGTCGAGGGCCGAGAAATCATCTCCAACGTGGCAAAGGCGGCGGGTCTCGCGACGATGATCAGCGTCATGAGGCCGGACATCGACAACGTTGACGACTATGTGAGGAACACTACTGCGAGAGCGTTTGCAGTGGTGGCATCTGCCCTTTCAATTCCGGCTCTACTCCCCTTCCTTAGAGCGGTATGCGGGAGCAAGAAGTCGTGGCATGCCAGGCACACTGGTGTCAAGATTGTTCAGCAGATTGCTATACTCATGGGATGCGCCATCCTGCCACATTTGAAGGGTCTGGTCGACTGCATTGCCCCAAATCTGAACGACGAGCAGACAAAGGTGCGGACAGTGACCAGTCTCGCCATCGCTGCGCTGGCTGAAGCTTCCAACCCATACGGTATCGAGAGCTTCGATGAAATCCTCAACCCTCTCTGGACGGGCGCGCGAAAGCAGCGCGGCAAGGGTTTGGCCGGATTTCTCAAAGCTGTTGGCTTCATCATCCCGTTGATGGACGAGGAGTACGCCAACTACTACACGACGCAGATCATGGAGATTCTTCTGAGGGAATTCTCGTCGCCCGATGAAGAAATGAAGAAAGTTGTCCTCAAAGTTGTCTCGCAATGCGCGGCAACCAAGGGAGTGGCGGCCAATTACCTGAAGGATCACGTCCTGGACGATTTCTTCAAGAGCTTCTGGGTAAGACGTATGGCGCTGGACAAGCGCAACTACAAGCAAGTGGTGGAGACAACCGTCGACATTGGCCAGAAGGTCGGAGTGAGCGAGATCCTCGAGAGGATTGTCAACAACCTCAAGGACGAAAGCGAACCATACCGCAAAATGACGGTCGAGACCATCGAGAAGATCATCAGCAGCTTGGGCGCGGCGGACATTGATGAACGCCTGGAAGAGCGGCTCGTTGATGGCATTCTCTACGCGTTTCAGGAGCAGACAGTGGAAGACATTGTGATCCTGAACGGGTTCGGCTCCGTGGTCAACGCTCTGGGAGACCGTTGCGGGCCTTTCCTGCCTCAGATTACGAGCACGATTCTGTGGCGCCTGAACAACAAGTCGCCGACGGTCAGGCAGCAAGCGGCAGATCTGATCTCCCGCATCGCCATGGTGATGAAGCAGTGCGGCGAGGACGAGCTCATGGGCAAGCTGGGCGTGGTGCTCTACGAATACCTAGGCGAGGAGTACCCAGAGGTGCTCGGCTCTATCCTAGGCGCGCTTCGGTCGATTGTCACCGTCGTGGGTATTGCCCAGATGCAGCCGCCCATCAAGGACCTCCTCCCTCGTCTCACCCCGATTCTCCGCAATCGTCACGAGAAGGTGCAGGAGAACACTATCGATCTGGTTGGACGTATCGCGGACCGCGGACCGGAGAGCGTCAACGCGCGAGAGTGGATGCGCATCTGCTTCGAGCTCCTGGACATGCTCAAAGCGCACAAGAAGGGTATCAGGCGAGCGGCCAACAACACGTTTGGTTTCATCGCCAAGGCCATTGGTCCCCAAGATGTCCTGGCTACGCTCCTGAGCAACCTCCGAGTCCAGGAACGACAGTCGCGAGTCAACACGGCCGTCGCCATCGGCATCGTCGCAGAGACTTGCGCGCCCTTCACCGTGCTACCCGCGCTCATGAACGAGTATCGCGTACCTGAGCTCAACGTGCAAAACGGCGTGCTCAAGGCGCTGTCCTTCCTCTTCGAGTACATTGGCGAGATGGGCAAGGACTACGTCTATGCCGTCACGCCTCTGCTCGAGGACGCCCTCATCGACCGCGACCAAGTCCATCGTCAGACCGCCGCGTCCGTGGTCAAGCACATTGCTCTCGGCGTCGTGGGCCTTGGCTGTGAGGATGCTATGGTTCATCTTCTCAACTTGCTGTACCCGAATCTCTTCGAGACAAGCCCGCACGTCATCGACCGCATCATCGAGGCCATCGAGGGCATCCGCATGGCCGTCGGCCCCGGCGTCGTGCTCAACTATGTCTGGGCCGGCCTCTTCCACCCGGCGAGGAAGGTGCGCACGCCGTACTGGCGCCTCTACAACGACGCCTACATCCAGGGCGCCGACTCCATGGTTCCCTACTACCCGAACCTCGAGGAGGAGACGCTGGATAGGTCCGAGCTGGGCATCATGCTGTAATTCTGGGGAGGGAGCTGGGCTGGAGACGGACGGCTTCTGGCTTTTGCGTCGGGGGGGAAGACCTGTTACGGACATAATGTATGAGTTCAGGAGCTTTTTGGGGGGAGCCTATCGGGGCTGTGCGATGACGGCGCAGCATATGGCATTCGCAATCGGCGTTGGGATGAGGCAGCCTGTTTTGTAGACTGTTTGTACCACGTATCTACGAATTTTGGCTTCAACGTGCTGAGTCTCCTTTTTTGCCCCTTTGTGGTGCGTTCTGTAATACAGACTCTTTGATCATGGTCGCACCGCAGAGGAGCACTGCCATGCAGTCCTCTTGTCTCTTCTTGGCAGGGAAATGCGCCCCCTTGCCCCCCTTGTCGAGGCTTTGTCGTCATTTTGCAAGGTCGGCCCGCTGTCGTCGGATTCGCCTTGTATCACCCTCGGCTGCGTCCGCGATCGTTCCTCTGGAAAGCTCAACCCGGTCCCTCCCACTCCCCTCCCTGCACGCTTCCCCCCATCGTGCCCCGATCAAGGGGGGCCATGATGGGCATGGTGGTACAGCAGCGCGCATGAGAGGTCGTGGCAAGGGGATCCAGGATGCCAGGACAGGACATGGCAAGGCACGCCCTCTCGAGAAGTCAGAATTCCAATGCCCCCTTCCCGGCGCGACACCTACGTCATGCGGTCTCTCACGCTGGCCGCCCGTTCAGGCTTCCTGTCTGGTCGTCGCGCGCATCCCTTGTTCGTGACGCTCGACGACCCGTGGCCGTACATCCCGTGACCACGACGCCTTTTGTACCACCCTCCTCTCAGCTTTCTCCATGGACCCCCCTTGTCTCATTTCTCTGCGTCGCTCTCCTTCACCGTGAACCCATCGCCGCCGCCACCATCACCACCACCCCCTTATTATTCTTCCCCGTATTCAGCCGGCAGGTGCAAGGCCAGTAGTGCAGCACCGTACGGCACTGTATCTGCAGGCAGTCGCTGTACCGTGCTGTGCTGCACAGTTGTAGTAGCGTTTTGCTGCACGTTGGCTTTCTTGGTTCGGGCACCGAGACATGCACATGCGAGGTGTGGTGGACGGGCGGATGGATGAATGGCTGTCTCTTATACACATCTAGATGTGTATAAGAGACCCCCCCAGTAACCCCCCACGTCCGCGTCGTCGGCAAGCGGCGGCAAAGAAGCAACTGACAAGCAATTGAACAGCGTCAGAGGTGCGTAATTCGTGCGGTCAGCTCAGAAACAGGATGGCGGCGTGGGCTTGTCAGCATGCGCTGCACCTACACACGCCTGCACGTTGATGTACAGCAGCACCCGCCCTTCTGCGCGGCGCCGTGCCATGCATCATGCACCAACACGTCGCTGCTTGATGCGGTTCCAAGCGGCGGCGGCGGCGGCGGCGGCGGCAGCGCTACGGCTGGGCTTTCGTGGGTGGCTAATTCCCGCAGCGCGCCGCGTCTGTATGTACGAGCATGCGCGACCAAGTGTGACTGCGACTCGCGCTCCCAACCATCTTGATCACTGCCGCGATGCGGGATGACGCCCAGCTCACATCACTGGCGAGACACGGGACTTGGCCAAGGATATTCGCATCGCGCAAACGATTGGTGCGCTAGCCATCATTAAGCTAGACACGGCGCAACGCAGCAACCCTTTACAAGAGCGGCCTTTGGAGGACTGAAGGGTGCTGGATGCTGGAGTCTGCACGCGACGGACGCGCCCACGAGCATCAGAGCCCTTGGACCGGTCAAGAGTTCCTGACGAGTCGGCGCTCGAGACAGCACAGCTGCACTTGGCGCGCCACGCGCAGCGCCCTCATTGACGGGGCGGAACGAGGTGGCTCTCGTGCTGTGCGCTCAACGGATGCTTGCTTCTTGCGCTGGGCGCGCACCCGTTCGTCTCTGCGAACGAGGCTGTCCTGCCCGAGCGGCGCGCAGCCAGGCTGGAAGCTGGAATGACGGACAGCGTCACGAGAATATCTGCCGACGCCGGCAGACGGGCGGCGGCGGCAAACCGCGGTATTATCCGTCACCTTGACGCGAGAGAAGCCACGATTCTAGGGGGCGCCGCCCCGTGGTCGTTTGTCTCGGCGGCTCTGCGGGTGGACTGAAAAAGTTACCAAAAGGCACACCCTATCCTCGATAGGCGTTCGTTTTTCTTTGAGGCGAGTCGGCGGTCGGGACATGAGCGTGCAGCCAACATATTGATATATTGATTTGACCTGATCGAGCGGCCTGGAGCTTGCCCGTCTGGTTGACAAATACTCCGTACACATGCAGCGCAGAGGCGTTCGTGGCTAACTTTGATCGTGCCGTGATGCGGGAAGCGAGACGAGGACAGACAGGGGGACGTGGACGTGGCCGGGGTCGTGGTACCGTTGCTTGGCGGCAAATTCGTCTGAGACACCTTTTTTTCACGGTGTCGGCCGAGTGAAAAGAAGCACAAGACTTGGCTTTCGCGACGGACCAGGCGCCAAGCTTTTTGGTCCTCCCGGAGTTCCAGACAGCCGGCGGGAGATGTGCAACGGAGATCTCGCGGAGCAACGCCGTCAGCTCCCACGCGAGTCCAAGCGCTCGAGGCGGGAAAAAGGAGGACAATGGATGGACGCTTTTCGAGACGATGCGCGAAAGGGCTCAGCAAGCAAGCAGGCAGGCGAGCAATCGTCGTCTTTGTTTGCGATCGACCAAATGTCGCATTCGCGATATCGTCGCGGGTACATGGCGCTGATGGGTGATGTTTCGCAACACAAAACACGACCCGAGAGCAGCAGTCCGAGATGCCTGTAACTCCGTAGCCATACCATTTATTCGAATGCTTTCGGGGTCCCGGCCGAGGTCTCAAGGGCCTCTTGACGGAAAAGAGCGATTCTCTTTGCAGCCAGAAGCCCGACAGCTGGTGGCCAACGGCACGGGGCTGAGACCTGTCTTGCCTCGGTGCTGGCGTTTCGAACGAGATTGCCCTCTATTATCAAGCAATATTCGCCTCCGTCTTGTCCGCGCTTTTGTCGTCGCCAACGTGTATCATCACGAGTGTTCGTGAGGCATCATATCCGACGCTTTGTGCTAGAGACACCACTCATCACATCGAATGCGGACATATCGCTGGCATTGTGTTGCGCAGTGCGAGTTTCTGGCTACTCCCATATTCCCTCCGGCTTACCGCTCTTATGATGTCCAGAGAGGATGGCCAGGAGAAATCGCGCGGCCGGTATTTGATACGAGCTGTTAGGTTTCCAGGATCTTGTACCAGACCCCCCAGTGATTATACGTCCCTCTAGACTTTGTTGAACGGCCAATGGACATCCACAATCATGGCATACCATTCTAATTTTGCCGAGGGTGAGGCGTTCGTACATGCACAATCTCTCAAGTCGTCCATCTGGTTGCTGGGTTCGGCGAGCCGTGGACGAGATGCCCCTGGGTTCCCATCAGTGAAGCACAGGTACCGCGCAGCGGCCGCCATCTGCTTGACATTACACAATGGCCAACGGTTTACGAGTACGATGGCGGCTCGCAAAGGAAAGCCAACACAACGGTTTGGTCGGGCCTCCTCTTGAACGCCAAAAGCCAACTCCTAACGTCAGACAAAGCAGGTCGTCCAAAATGACTGTTCAGCCGGAGCAAGGGACCGCTCCCGTTGGAGGTATCAGGTCAATATTTGTGGTGTGCAGCAGGTGAAGCACAACCACTGCAGCCAAAGGATGCCTGCATGACAGACCCGAAGCCAGATGATCGATGATTGTCAGGGACCGATCGGCCAAGCCACTTCGCGACGGGACAGTGGCATCGTACCTTACTCCCCTGATGATCACAGCCTTTGTCGATCGCCACGTGCTTGGAGAATCATGTCGTGGTGAATACCGAGCAGGTTCATATGAGCCACGAGGCTAATGTGCATGGAGATGTGGGTTCTGGTACAATATCAGGGTCGGCTTGCCGGCTCATGAGAGGCCACAGTGAACAAAGAGAAGTCGCGTCCTCTCATCTCGCAATTCCATTTGCCGGGTAGAGGGCACCATCTGGCCGTCCTTGGGCTTGCAGCGCCAACGGTGGCAAACGGTTGGGTCGTGGGAATGGGGCGGCCCGTCGACCTGCCGGCCAGTTGGTGGTTGCAACGACGTGGTTTGGGAAGCCATACAGGCAGACGGCAAGACAAGATTCGTCACGTTGGTGAAAGCCCTGGTAAAGCCCGATCGAGGTCGCCGACGTGCGCGAGTCCTTTGGGGTCCCGTGCTGGGTGGGTTCGTTTTGCCGGGCCCCAGGTCTGGGATGCCGGGGCCAACGGTGCAGGCCGGGATGGCAGAGATTGCCTCGCGGACGCCCGTGCGCGCGACCCCTGCTGCTACCGACGAGACCCCCCAGTTCGCTTCCGAGGAGGGCGAGTATGATTTCTTTTTCCTCGTCGTTCTGCCTCCGGCTGCCTGGAACTGAATGTTTTCGGCCCGAGGACCCATGACGGGCATCTCGCCTTGGGGGCGGATTAATTTCGATCACTTTTCCCAAGCTCCTCCCGATGGGTGGAAGTGAATTCGTTTGTATGCGTTGGCCACGAGTCAAGGCGGCCGAGATATCTGCTGGTGTGCATCGTACAGTACCGCACCGCAACATACAACACTGTACAGGTTTCGATGCCAGACCGGAGAGCTCCGTATGCATTCTCTGTCAGATGGAGGACTCACTCACGGTTGCCATACCTCCTGCACGTACGCACCGTCCCGTCTGCTGCCGGGTCTGGGGGCGAAGCAACAGCCTGTCTTGTCCCTCAGAACTCACACAAGCGTGCCGGGAATATGGACAGGGTGGCCACCGTGGTTGCTGCAGCGGCCAGGGTGATCATCGGCCGGTGGTTGTCGACCACCTATTCGATCTCACGGCGACGCATCGCCTGGGCCAAGGTTGTAAGGTACTTCGTCGCAAGCATCCGATCAGCGAAAAGTGACCACGGCGCCGTTTCTGGGCTGCCGGTCAGCGTGCATGTCTTTGGCAGCCAAGGGAGGTCATCAACATGGCGGATTCCGCCACGGCTCAATCCTCCGAGGGGCAATATTTGCGGGCAGGTGCGAACGAGGCTTGGTTGAGTGCCGGTACGTATCCCGGTGTCCTGTCATGGATCGTGTCAACCTGTACCGCACCTGCCCTGGGAGTCGAACTCCGTGCTCGGCAATGGCTTAGCCGCCGGAATGTGGGACTCGCTGGCAATGCTGCCGAAGGAGCAACCGCTGCTATAGTGCCTGTGCCCCTTCTTCGCAATGCCCCGGTACCGAGCTGGCACGCATGTCGTGCAGGTCCACGGGCTGCCCGACTGTTGCAGTACCTGTACGTGCGTACGCTGTACCTTGTCCAGCCAGTGTCTTTGCATGTCGATCCGTTGCCCTCGACGCCCGGCTGCCTGGGGAGCCCGTGTATGGGCGCGGCCAGCCCGTCGGGATGGATACTGCACTCGCGAGTCCCAGGAATCCCGCCAGGTCGCGCCTTGACAGGCACTGCACTGCCGAGTGCTGGGGCCGCAATCTCGGTCGTGTGATTAGCCTGCCAAGGCGTGCGTCAATCGAGGACCCATGCAGCAAGGGGCCAAGTACCCTCGATTGGCGCGTTTCAGCAGGCCCAATACGGCCTACTGCATCCCTTCCCAGTTAGCGGGGCTGCTCGATCAAGGTGGCGGAGAGGTGAATGTAGAAAGGCCGCTTCCAATCGCGGAGGTCACTTGCTTATCCGGCCTGGCCGCCGTTGGCATTGGACCCTTTGGTCCAAGGTCGGCCACGAAAGGGATCTCGTCCTTCTTCCATCTGCAGCCAAAGCCTCCCATCTCCCCAAGCTCCCGACCAAAAGGAAGGCCCTGCGCGCCGCGGGGACTGATTCTGTTAAGCCCACGGCGACCAGGTCCCCTCCCAGCGTGGAGCAGAGGAGCCCACCAAGAAATATAGCGGCGTGGGGGCGTTGCACCAGCCTTCTCCATGCCCAGCGGCTGGACGAGGTAGGATTGCATGCGCAGGACGGACGTCGCTACCGCTACGGATGAGAGGGATGAACCGTGAACGAGTACCAGCGTCACCCGCCGCGCTCCCCACGTTCCGGTTCCGTGGTATCGTATTCCCATGCGGTGGGCTCTCTTGCTCGTCCCCAACGATCAGGCTGCCTGAGGACTTGGTACCGGGGACTGCGAACGGGGGCCAGTGCACAGGCAATGCGGGGGATGCCCGAGGCTCGCCCCGGCCGAGAGGCACATGAGATTGGCGACGACATGGTGGCGCGCGGCCGACTGGTGGCCACGGCTGCATGCTCGTCCTGGGTGCTCGGGCGGTGTACCGAGTTCGGCATGCCATATGGGGCATTCACCAAGGCTTCGCACGGTCAGGGCAATATGAGGAGGACTGCCAGAAAAGAGACAGAACTTGTCGGCGATTTCACATGAAGCCAAAGCCCTGCGCGGAACCGTTCGCCCGGGTAATATTGGATCCCCACGGACCAGGGCAGATGCCGGCGGCACATTCGTGCATACCGACCGTCACCCGATGGTCTGCGTCCCCGTTGCGGCGACGCGATGCGGAGAATACCGCTTTCCAACCCGCGCTTCCGCCATCATGCGGCCAGGCCGCTGGTGTTGCGGGCGAAGCGCGAGGCCGCTGGGGCCTTGCCCGGGAAAGGAGCAGACCCATTCCGTTCGTCCTTGTCGAGCAAGCCGACTGTCATGATGAATGGCGCGCCAGCGGCGCCGGGTAAGTGCGCAGACGGCCTTCAGCTAGCGCAGAGTCGCGGAACCACTCATGTGCCGTCTGGTCTTGAGGTTGGAGATGCTTTGGGATGCGGATAGGCCTTAACGCCGACCTGTCGACCTGGCGGGCTGGAGAGCTTTCACTCTTTGGGAGACCCCACCGCGCGCGCCCACCCCCACGGGACCGTCCATGTTAGAACCGTTGAGCGCTGACGAGTCCGCACTACCACGAACCTCGCGCACTTGCGCGTGGAGGAGGAGGGGCACGGTCGCGGAAGCGGTTCAGCGGCAAATCTGCGAAGGCTCATGAGATTCGCCTCGGTTGGCCTCACATCCGTCTACGTACCTCGATCGGGTACGTACTTCGTACAAGGGGACCGAGCGGACGGAGCTCCAACCTTGGGCACGAGCCATGCTCAAGACCCGAGGACCTGGCCACCCGTGGGCCACACGGCACTGTATGGCGCAATCTTGTCTCTACCGGAGGGTCCCTACTTGGCCACCGCGGCGGACATGGGCAATGGCCTCCTCTGTCAGCACTCACCAGCCAACAACAGGGGCCGGCCAGCTGGTTCACCCGTGGGTTCGCTCTGTGGACAGGTGACAGGCGCACGCTGTGCGGACCAGTTCCAGCCGAGATGCCCTGCATCCACGGCTCCCAAGCAGAGATCGGTAGCACGGCCCGTGGCGCCCAAAGGTCTGTTGCATTGCTGTGCGCGCGACCGTTACGCGTCCATAGTATCGGTGTGATGAAAAGCAACGGGACCTTTGTGGCTAGGGAGGAAAGAGCTGTGAGAAAAGCAAGCCTCGGCCGAATTGAGCCAACCTCAAGTGGTGCTCGCAGCCTCGCCGAGCGCCGACGTTGACTTTGCGTTCCGTAGCGTGGCAGCCTTCCCTTACATGGCGCCCCGCCTTGTTGCCCAGAGCCATTCGAACGGCAATCCATTCATGCTTTTGTCGTCCTCGAAAGCAAAGGGTTTTCGCATTGAATAGCCGCGTCAGCGTCCCAATGCAAGGACATGAAAGCGCAAGAAGCTCATAGAGCCCGCTGCTCAGTTGTCATGTCATCGAGGTGCTTGGGCCACTCGGCAAGTAGTTGGCTCGATGCCTCGTATTCAAGCCTCTTCAAGAATCAGAACCCAACCCGAGGAGTGCTCTTGCTGGTACGGTACTGCGTACAGCGAGAGTGGCGACACCCCACGTCGGCCGGAGGCGACACAAAGACGGATGCGGGGATTCGAGTTTCCCTGGTCGTCATCGCGACGGGCAGTGGCACGTCTGCGATGGTCCAGCTACGTCAGCGATGGGCACCCGTCGAGTGTTGTGCAAATGACCACGACTGCTGGGCCGTAATCCCGGTCCCCGTGATGTCAGTCCGGGCGGGCGGGCAACGCCGGCTGGATCCCAATCCCTAGCTGGGGCGGCCATCAAGAGGCTTCCAATCTGTTGCCTGCATGCCTGCTCCGCCTGTCTCTGTCCTGACCATGGCGACCATGCCGTGTCTCAGGACCGCCCACACGCTGCCGCGCACGCAGCCAGTGGCGAGAGACAGGTTCGTGCGCGTCGGCTGGACAGTCGAAGCGGTGTCTTCGTCCGTTCCCCAAAGAAGCGTTCGCAGCGCGCTGGATGCGATACTGTATTCGCGCGAGGAAGACGTAAACAAGCAGCGACAGGCGCCAGGATGCGGATGTGGCGGCCCACAAGTGACATGCCTTCATCCCCGCTGGGTCAACGGGAAAGTCGTCGGCGCCCGCGCCGCCCACGGCCCTCGACACCAACTTTGCAACTTTGAACGGGGCGGCGGCCAGCCGGTCACTCGCCCCCTTGACCCTTGGGCGGTTGTGGTGCTCCTTGGTGCTTGGCTGAGTTCTGCGTCTGCGCCTGCAGCTGCATTTGTCCGCTCCAGTCTCCGGGCCTGCTTGTTTCTGCTTGTCCCACCCGGTGGGCCACGGCAGCGGTCCCCTGTCTGCCGCCCCAGCGGCCTTACGTCAGGGCTGATGCCGGTGCTGGTGGCGCTGTGGGCGATGAAGGCGGATGTGGTTTCCAGCGGCGTTCCGTTGGAGCCACTGCGTTTACACCCCGCCAGGGGTGCTGCGCTGCCCGCGGCTCAAAACTCGCCGGTTGCTTATGGTTGCTGGACGGCCGATGGCCATTGGACGGGCAGGGTGGTGCGTGAGCACCCACGCAGGCAAGCAAGCACGCCCAGCAGGCAGGCAGTGCGCTGGGCTGCCTGCATGCCGCTGCCGACACGGTGTGGGCTGGGCGGGCGACGTCCGCGTTGTTGCCATGCCACAGTGATGGTGATGGCGGAATCGCGTGTATGGACGGCAGGCAAACAAGGGCATTGGCTGTGAGGGGACAAACGCAGCCGAAGCCTCAAAGAAGCAACGCGGTCAGACGACGGTGACGAGCGGCGACGGCGATTCGGTTCAATGGCCAGCGATGTGGCGTCTGCGGTGACTGCTCTTGCATATCTGCCTGGTGCCTCTGCAGACGCTGGAGCCGTCTCCGTATGGCTCCTTCAACGCCGCTGGTCTGCACCACGCCGGAGGCTGCGAAAGGGTGGCCCGGTTGCCAGGAATCAGGACTGTCGCAGATGTTTGTTCTGCCCGCTGTGCCGGCCTTCAATGTCGATGTCGAGGGGAGGTGGGAGGTCATGCGCGGCCGCCGCTGCCGACCTGCGCTCACAGAGACGACACGCGCAGGCAGTGATGTACAAGGGAGGGTAGGTATCTCAGGCAGGTCCGTGGATGCAGTTTCGCCAGCAGCCTGGCTCCTCCCTCGACAGACTGAACTGCCTTGCATCCAAGTTACGTCCCTGCCTGGGCCCCTGGATGGCAATGGCGGCCGGCTTGTTTACTTGGGGTCCTCTCCTGTTCCTGCCTTGCGCAGTCTCCTGTCTGCATTGCGACTCAGACGCAATGACCTGACTTCTCATCTTTCATGCTCGCAGGCAGGAGCGCCCAGCATTGCGGTCCCTGCATGCTGCCGTCCCAGGGCAAGCGCCTCCCAGCCAAGGTGCTGTCCCTGCCCCCATCGAGTCTCAAGCCTCCCCCCAATCCCAATGCAGTCCCAGTGCGCTCCAAGTGCAATCACAGCGGACGTCTCTCCCCCCAGTGCCGCCCGCAATGCGCAGGCGCGCTGGCCACCACCTCTTCCAAGCCAAGCTACAAGCCATCCACGCCATCCTCCCTTGAATCTCAGGCACCCTCCACGGCTCGGTGGCGTCTGCGTCCCCGCCTGGAGTGCAAGCCCTTGCGAAAAAAGTGCCGTAGCCCTACTGCACGAGTGCCTCCCCCATGCTCCGTCTCCCTCCATCCCATCGCCATTACTCGTACTGTACGGCTACTGGCTCTGCTGCTGCCCCCATTCCCCATCCATCCCAACCTACCGTCCATCTCCACACGCACACACCCTCCTGCTCGTGCCGTCGAATCGCACACCGTCTTGCCCAGCATCGACATCATATTACCTGGTCGCCAGTGCAATTGGCCGTGTTCGTGTCGTCTTGATTCCCGTGCGGTGCACCGCGGAGTGTACCCTCGTCTCAGCTGGACGGACGCGCGCGGGCGTCTTTTTGCACTCGGATAGGTAGACGGCTCCTCGATGGCGAGCACTTGGACAGCACGGGCGGCCGATCCAAGGCGGAAAGGGCCTCCTCCTTCGCTACCTATGTGCTGCGAGACGATGGCAGCACTCACTCATCCACGCGGCAGAACCAGGTCGTCCGTCCGTCACGAGCCTGCCGCCAGCTGCGGGTCTCATTTCTCAATCTCGTCGGCGTGCAGAGTCCAGCAAAGAGCCTGCCCCCAAGCAAGCCACTGGTGCGCAGCGGGGGCCCCAACGTCGGTCGTGTTTCTCGCACCGTACGTACGACCGTCCGCGTTCTCTGTGCACGTTGGAGTGCGTCAGTCTACGCATACGGCACCGCCAGACTACATACACACCGGCGAAACAAGCATTTTCCCATTCCCTGCCCTGGACGGCACGCACCCACTCGTCTCACGCGAAGCAGGCATTTCGTCGCCATGCTGATCTGTCGTGCCTGCTCGCCTGGCCTGAGCATTTCATTAATACTCGTTCAGCGACCTGTCGCTCGGTCCGTTTCCCGTGCGAGAGTGCCCTCTGCGGTCGGTTGGGGCTGCTCGGACATGGCTTGTGCTGTCGAATTGACCACCGCCAGGCCCTCTCGCCGCCCGCCAGCCATCAAATCCACTTTGGACCACGGCCAGCATCAGCGGCCACGCCTAGCCTGGCGCCGGCGGCCAGCCCACACCCCCCCGGCCGGTTCTTGTTCCTGCTACCCTACCTCATCGCGGCAACCCTGTCGCCCTCGGCCATTGTGAAAGGACATCGGGTTGCCGATCACTTAGACCAGAGTCGTCACACACCCTGTCCGCTCTGAACGGACGGGGAACTCCACTGTTCCTCCCGTCGCCCGCCTTGCCTCAGACTGGACTGACGCACGTCAATTCGCACTCGTGGGCACTTAAGACTTCGCTGATCCCACCTTGGCTCCCGACAAACATGCTCCATCTCCAGGCGGGATCTTCTTGTCTCTGATCTGTGTTACCGACTTGGCTTTTTCTAGTCGGGATCCCGCATCTGATCAACAACCTTTTTCATCTCTCGCAGCCTTTCTCCAGACGTCTACTCGTACGCCTTTGCAGGACACCGCCGTCGTCGCAAGGCCCTCACTCGGCATACATCCTTGCCGTCCTGCCTGCCACCCACGCACTCATCTCACCCGTTCGCCCTGAGACGGAGAGATATCCAGCCCCTTTACAGAGCACACAAAGAGTACCTCGCGACACCAATCTGGACAGACGCACCCAGTGAAGCTTCCGTGCTCCGACAACATGACCATGACGTTGGACACTTCCCAGCAGCAGCGGTTCGCCCCTCCGTTGAACTTCGACTACGGGGCGCACGCACAACCGCCAGCATTCTCAAACCCTTGGTCCTCTGCTTCCTCGCCTCCGCAGTCGGCCGCCACCTCTGGAAACCCTCTCTTCGTTCACGGCCAGCAGCCGCCTGCCTTGAGCCACCACAGCATGATGGCCGCAAAGCCTCCACCAGGCCGTGCCAGCACCAGCAGCGCCTCTTCCATGGCCTCCTATGGATCGATGCCCGTACCTACCAGTTCCTCAGGTAAGTATCGCTCGAGCCATAGCCCAGACACGATACTTACTCGAGCCAACTTAGACATCATGAGCCTGAGCAGAATGCAGACCACGTCCGCAGCGTACGGTGATCCTTCATACACTACTTCAGCGTCGCCCGTCAGTGGTCACTTCGCGCCCACGTCGGCTCCGCCCTACGAGGCGATGGGCTACGCGCCGGCACCAGCCCGCCAACACTTTAGCCTGGGCCCTGAGCCTGACACTGCCCGACGATACTCCCATCACCAGTTAGTGACCCCTCATCAACTAGTCACCTTTACCTCCTCGGCACCTTTTCTCAGGGGTAATCTACGACTTTCTCACTAACATAATCTTGAAGAAGCATACCTGCCCCCGATGATCGAAGGAGCTTCGCGGATGCCCTCGATGCCAGCCATGGCATGCTCGCTATGAGCCAGGAAACCCCTCGAAACATCTACGGCAGCCGCAATGACCGGTCGTCCGTTGACTCGTATCCCTTCCCGTCTACGCACTCGACAAGCTCCTCCATCTCGTCAAGCGGCAATTTCAGTTCCTACTACGGCGATTCGGTGTCAGATTATTCGACCGCCGGGTCTGACATTGAGTCCGTCAACTCGCGAACCCTGCCACGACCCCAAGGCCTGATGGGTTCCCAAATTCCGCCGGCGCCCCAGTCCATGATGGGCCAGTTCAGCTCCAAGGTTTCGTCGAGCACGCAGAAGAAGCACAAGTGCAAAGTTTGCGACAAGCGCTTCACTCGCCCTAGTTCTCTCCAGACGCATATGTATAGCCACACTGGCGAAAAGCGTAAGTTTACCATTGTGTGGACCCCAAAACATCGATAGCTGACTGGTCCCAGCCTTCGCATGCGAGGTTGAGGGGTGCGGTCGTCATTTCTCAGTTGTGTCCAACCTCAGGCGCCATCGCAAGGTGCACCGCGGGGACGCTCGATCGGAAGCAGGCTCCGAGGACCACCAGTCGGATTAAGCAGCAGACGGCGGCACCGGCCAGATTTACGGTCATTTTTCTGCTTGAATATGGTGGTAATGACGCCCCTCGACATGGCACAACTATCACGAAGGACGAAGGCCTCACGAACCGGCAGTCGTCTTATCGCATGACCTCACGGTATCTTTTAATCGAATGCTTCTATCCGGACACTTTCAACATTTGCGATGACGGGCATAGAAGACGTGGTCAAAACGGAAGGCGGAAAAGACAGACGACGACAAAGGCAATACTCTACATTGCCACGATTTGACGGGGGAGGATTTTTGCATTTGCTGAACCAAGTGGGCAAGCTGTGACATGGGCCCCGCGTTGTACATTTGCTTATTTGGGTTTTTATTTCCTTCGGGATGGCCACGACGGGTTCCGGGCTCACCTGCGGACGTCACCGGCTATACCCATTCGCGGCGTTGACGGTTGCCACTGGACTGCGCTGTTCCGCGCGTGTCTGTTGTTCTTAGGGGAGCATTTTTCGGTTCGAAGCGTTCGTTTTTCATCACTATTCTACGGCCCGAGGGTGGGGTCAGGGTTGAGGCTATACCATCGTTCAAGGATCACAGAGAGAAGGGCTGATGGCTAGATTGCCCCCAGACCCAGGAGAGGAACATGTACGATTACTCTTGTCACGGTGACGATATACCCGATCAATAATGGAGCCGAACAGCCACATTTTGGACTAGGATCAAAGTCGTGTGTAATGTGTCTCATTCATCTAGCCATGGAAACAAGTCGGAGGCCCCAGGCAGGTTGTCCGGTACGAAAAGCAATGGCGCCGCGTGAGACGACCACGACGGGTGCAGGGACTTTTGGGCGACCGGCAGGTTCTGCATTTGCTTTCACACGTGGGCGTAACAGACCGTACGACGTTGGACGGACGGCGGAGGTTGGGATTCCCTGGATGGTGGCGCAAGTCTCGGGCCACATGTAAAGCAGGACACTTTCAGCACGGCTCACCGTGCCGGCAATGTACCGAGCGAGCGGCGCACGAGGTGTCGGGGGGTCAGCCCCAAGTAGAAGGCAGGGGTGCAAGGCACTCTATTACGGGGGAAGATACGGAGGACTTGCACAAACGATGCTGCAGAGTCCGTCTGTTTGTTTGACAGGCGCGCAAGCGACCTTCCCGATTCTCCTGGCATCGGTATGCTCTCCACCTTTTGGAGAAAGGGGGGTGCCACTCGCGCAGTGCGAGGGGCTGGGGGCATGTTTTGGAAGACAGCGGCGGCTTCGAAGAGGGGGGGTTGTTCCGTTCTCTCATACTACAACGGCTCTTTACAGTATTTGCCCCGAAGGGGGCATTGGATAGATTGGGCACGTAGGTAGCTGGAAGGGGTACGTATGGATGAGGGGAGGGAGCGCCGGTGTGAGGTCAGCGTGCATGGGAGCCCGTCGCGTGATACCTCGCGGTGCGAGATCTTGGGAGATGTGCGCACACGGTGGGGAGGCAGGGCTCCGTTACGGTTGCAGTTGGCAGGCACTCCGGGAGCGATAAGGTGGCCGAAGCTCGTCCCGGGTTCGATTCGATGAGGGCGCATGGGGGATTTGCGACCGGGCCAAATGCCATGTTAATGTGGTTTGGAGACGGGGGGGGAGGGTGGCTGATCTCGGTGGCTTGTCCCAAAAGGGGCCTTGGAGGTGAGAAGCAGCGTGGGAAGCGGCCCGCTGCGGGAGGCTGTTGATTGTTCACAATACGACGGTTCTTGTCGAGAGGGACGACAAGGTACAGTACGAAGCTGCTGCAGCTTGTGTCTCTATCTCCTCTCAAAGCCAAGTTGGCAGCGTAGTATTACGGGGGCATCGCCAGCACGCAAGCACGCACCTACGCACGCACGCAGGCAGGCAAAGGGGGTGCGTCGTCGTCGGAGGGAGAGGAGGAAGGGGACGGGTCAATGCACGCCTCTCGCCGCCGCACTCCTCACCCTTCGGGAGGTGCCAAAGAGGAAAGGCCAAGGAAGAGGACGTCGAAACGGACCACCACGGGGGCGGGACGCGATAAAAAAAAATATCACAGCCAACAGGGTCCACGGGTCGGGTCCCCCGTTTCGAACCCAACGACCGCACCGGGAAGGGCGGGACCCGAGAAAGCCTCTGCCGGGCGGCGGACGAGGGCATGAGACGCCCGCCCGGCGCGACGGAGCAATAAAGACGGGATTCCAAGCTGGGGTGAGCATGTTCGTTTACGCTATATTACAGTATGGAATGCCGACGACCCTACCGAGTAAGCCAAGGCACAGCGCGCCTACTGAACGACCCTAGACTGGTCATGGGGGAGAGACTGGAGAGGCACGAGGGGAAGAGAAGGAGTGACAACAGAGAGCAAATAGAGGGCAAAACATGGGCCGCGCAAGCACGTTCTCCACCGCCATTCTCTTGCATCCGTCGGCTGTGATATTTCTTCTCGGCTCACGGAACTGCGCTGTGGTGCTTTGCGCCCGTAGTGATGTTACTGCCACGCCCCGCCGAGCGGATGGGTGCGACTTCGGGTTTCCCTAGAAGGAGAGGAGCACGAGGGCAGAGATAGAAATGAATGACCGCGGGCGCGCTCTGCGGAGTGCTCCATCCGTTGTCATCTGGTGTGTTTCTTCCTTTATCAACGCCCCATCCGCGTTCATGGGCACCGACGTGAAAAAAGTCGCAGAGGGAACAGAGCAGCAGCAATACAGCGGCTCAGAGGACGAGGAAGGGGGGGGGGGCGTGAGAGTGGAGGTGGACGGAACATTGCGGGTGATCAGGGCCCCCCCGAACGAGGAATGGCGCGGGCGTTTCAGAGCCGACTATCCTTTCCCCCGGGGGCAAGGCGCGCCAGCATGGCGGTGTTGTCAAGACCGGACAAGCTTTGTGGGGTTGGGGAGAGCGACAGGGGGAGGCTTTTCGGCGCGCCGCTGTGGAGGATCAAGAGGACCCAAGAGGACCCAAGAGGACCCAAGAGGATGCTTGAGGGTGGAGGTGGAGTGGAGCGGTCGGGGGGTTTGGGGGGTTGCGTCGCTTCGTCCACCCGATCCACCCCAATCCATCCAAGCATTCAAGCCATCCAATCCATCCCATGCCTCATGCCCATGCCCATGCCATCCTCCGTCGAGAGATGCAAAGATGAAAGAGGTGGGCGGGGCGAGCGCGCGCCCGATGGGGGTGGCGGGAGAGCGGGCGGGTTGGCGGCGGCGGCGGCGGCCCAGGGAGCACAGCCAAGCAGCACAGGTGAGGTGGTGGTGGTTGAAGCATGCACGAGGCGTGTGCGCCGCTTGCGCTGCTTCCAAGGTTCCAAGGTTGCTGTGGACCGCCGGTGTGCGGCGCTGTCAGTCCACTGGACGGCCTGCCAGAAGGACCCCCATGTGAGTGGGCTTGGGCGGTTGGTGCAGATTGCAGATTTGGGGCGCTCGAATCGTGGTCATCACCCGCCATGCCGCTGTCTGCCGCGCCACTTGCCCAACTGTGCCGCGAGTAAGATCCATGCACCTTCAAGGCCCCTTCCAAGGGACCCATGGGCGCCCCCCCGCAAGGGTGGGTGGGGGCGCCGCCGCCGCCGCAGCTGCTGTGGATTGAGTGCCGGGGGAGGCCCCCATGCCCCCAAGAACGCCCCCATCACCCCTTCCGTTTCCTCGAAAACGGTTCGACAGCGTCTGGCGCCGGCGCCGGCGCTGGCGCTGCAGCCTCCTGCAACGCCGACAGGGAAAGCGGGTACCTTGTATCCGTACAGTAGAACGGCCGGCGGCGTGTACGGTACGGTAACTGGGGGGGCACCGGGCAGCGACTGCCGCCAAAACGGCGCCGCTGACAAGCCTGACAAGCCGCTGACCTCGACGGCCGGAGGACGGCACTGCAGGCGCTTGCTGCGCTGTGCTGTCCGCGCGCGCGCGCACCCACAACCAACCTCCACTCCGCACAACCTCCCAAACGAGCACCACTTGCCACCGCCATCCGACGCCCGACCGAACAAACGGGCGGGCTAATCCCCCCATGTCCGCTCGCTCCCCTCGTCGCACCCACGCATCCACGTGAGAGAGATGAGAGCCTCCCTCGCTTGCGGGACTGCCTGCCCGTTGGAGTCGGCCGACGGCGACTGGCTGTAAGCGGGCAGCCGGTGCGGAAGGCAATGTCGCATATGCCCACACACTGCCTGCGACGGCGCCGTCTTCGTCGCCATCGCCGCCGACTTGTGCCTAGCCAGCTGGATGCTATTCCTGGCGGTGGCAGTGACTGCCTGACCACACAGGTTCTATCAACACACGGAGGCGAGTCGAGTCGGCCACTGTCCGCCAGCACGGCACTGCTAGGACGACACCTCGAGCCGCCCTGCCTCCTCCCCCTTTATCCTGCCTCGTCTCCGCCCCCGTCTGCGTCGCCAGACAACGAGTCGGTGGCAAAGAGGGCAAGCAGGGCGACATGGCTCTGCCCTACCGGAATCCTCGTTTGGGTCATGGCGTCGACAGCCTGAGACTCGGGAGGATTACAGATGCGGAGAACAGCTGATTGTGCCCCTTGATCCTCGGTGCGCGATGGAAGGGGGCACGGCTCCAGTCATGCCAACCTTACCACCAGCCTCACCTTACTGCTCCTTTCCGATTTCCTTGAGTGGCAGTACGGGGCTCTGCATACCCAAGAAAAAAAGGAGGAGGCCAGGGGCATGCTGACCCGGCAGTCTGTTGAGGCGCGCACACACAGCCCCGATCTGGCACAAGGCATTCATCCATCGCACGCGAATGCCACCCTCCGCTCCTCGTGGTTACTCAAGACGGATCGGGTCGTCGTACGGCTCGCTGTCGAGTGTCGTTGACGATGAACGCAGATCGCCAGAAAGGGGCAGCTCTTGGCATGGCCTGCCGCCCCAAAAATAACAAACTCTACCGCCCGTTCGGGGCGACCGTGGCCGATCCCCTCTGGAGACGTCCGTCCCGGGACGCTTTGGACGACGGCTATCCGGCTTGCGCTTCTCCAAGCTGAAAGAAGCAGCTGGAGGACACGGATTGGGCCAGCTGGGCTAATCTTGGCTTTCAACCGTCTGTGTCTCGACAGAAAGCTTGGCCTCGCGCTTGCATGCGCCTGCCCCGTGCTGACCCGGCCACCGAAACAAGCACGAAAAGCTTGTCTGCTTCGCTTATTCCACACCTGGAGCCGGCGCCGGCGCCAGCACCAGCACCACGGGAGACTTGGGGTTTATTGCGGCTCGTCTCCCTGTCCGGGGTGATGAGATGCTTACTCGCGTGCGGCCGCGATGGCACTCGGTGCGTCGTCTTGCTCGCCCAGGTCCACTGCGGAGTGCGGCGTCAAACCGCATGTGGCAGGCAGATATCTCGGAGTGTCGCCGCTCTCCACGACACGGCCGCCGTCTCTACTGTTCGCGGGAAGATTCCTGGCGGGGAGCTGGGTTGCGACAGGAGGCTCCACGGTGCGCGGAAAGTCAGACAGACCGCGCTCTCCGCCCCCAGCAACGCGATAATGAGCGAACGCAAAACCCCTGCACAACGATGGAGAAAGCGCATTTCATCCTCGCACCTCCTCTCACGGGCGTCGCGACGTCGAAAGTGGGGGGCGTGGGCGCAGAGCCGGGAGGAGGTGGTGGAGGTGGAGGTGGAGGTGGAGGGCAGGCAACGCACAAGGGTGCGAGCGCGGCCGGCAAGGGAAGGCGGTCAGCCATCCAAAAGGATGATGCGCTTTGGCGGCTCGCCTCTTGTGATGTCGCTTGCGGTGAGCCATGACGACGGGGCTTTGCGCTGGGTTGCCCCTTGGGAGGCGGACGCCACCGCTGTCCGTTTGTCGACAAACGCCTTTTTGATATTCAGGGTCCTGCTCCTTTGCGACCTGTCGGTGCTTGGCGGGGCGGCGATGGAAGCAGCGTCGTGCGGCAAAGCGCGGCTCTTTGCAGAGGCGGCGCGGCACCATGGCTGACTGAGGATTCTGTCTGACGAGGGTCTGTTGCTCAATGTCTTGGATCAAGGCACGCCGCGCGCTTTGCGTCGAAGTCGTCGCGAGGATGCGCCATGGGCACGCACACACACAACCACAGCACAAGCACTGGCACACACACAAAACCCAACGAGCCATACGAGGGCACCAACGGCGTTGTTCCACGCGATGACGTCAGGCGTCGAGGGCCTCCGGGTCAGGGACTCAGAGCCTCCACAAAAGCTCCACTCTTTAGGTGGCCAGCAACGTCATTTCGACATGCCGGTTGGCCAAGCGCTGCATTCCCCCCTCCTCCCAATTGCTGTCCTCCCCCCTCCCGGCCGGCACCCCTGTAAGCGGAGAATCTTCCCTGCTGGCGGCACGCCCTCGCCCCGCTCTTCGTGATGCGGGTCCGTTCCTGAGAGGGTGTGTGCATAGTGCCAACGTGCACGGTGCGGGCGTCTCCCAAAGGTCGTTGCACCTCTGGCGATACTGATACTGCATCGGGTGTCCGATGGGAGGAACTGCGATGAACGAACAAGTAGCTGAGAGACCAAAGGAATACCAAGGGGACCCGGCCATATGACGAGACGTCACGAGAGACGGCGAGCACAGCAAGAGGCAAGTGGTACTGGCTCGGACAAGGCCGTGTTTCATGCCTTCAGCCCCCGATACACCGAGCCTGGCTGGCCTTGGACAGGGACAGGACTCGCGGCACTCTGGCGACAGACGAGCTCGATGCCTCGCCTCGAGGAAGCCGCCCACTTCCCGTCCCGGGTAGGTAGGCAAGTGTTGGGGAAGCCTCGGCGACATCCAGAAATATCTACAACCACCACAGCCACAGCAATAGCCCGTCCACAAGCCCTCCGTTTCATGCGTCTTCTCAGATAGAGTGCTGCCACCTTTTTACCAACCAACCCGGCATGTACGGAGTACACACGCACAGATGACTCTGCAGGGGGCGAACAGGGCGAAGCAGGGCCCTAACTACGCCAAGGCGAACTCTGCTCCTACTCCTGCTCACACGAAACAATCAGGCAAACAGGCAAACAGGTTCTGCGCAACTGGCAGGCCATGCCCACCTCCGTGCTATTCAATGCGATGCCGCCCGGTGCCATGCTTATGCCATGCTGTGCCACGCCATGCCAAGGGTCTCCCCCGGATGAATATTGGGCTGTAAGTGGCCTGTAGGGAGGTCTGACGATGCTCGAGGCAGCCTCGTATGATGGCCGCCGCGCGCCAGTCACATCATGTCCTCTCTCTCGCTATGTCTCGCCCCAAAACCCCCCCCTCACAGCCTGCCTTGTTTGCCTCTCACGCCTGTCCTGTCTGTCCGCAGCGCAGGCAGGCAGGCATCGCCTGCCACAGTCTTCCCTGCAGCGGGTTGCAGCGGACGGCGCCGTGAAATAGATTGATTTTATATATTTACCCCCCTAGTCCCTGCCGTCCCGGGCCTGTACGTAGCAACCTCAGTTCGGAGTAGTAAGGCTGCGGTGCCTCAGTCTGAGAGTGAGCCCCGAGGCAAAGTCCCTTTCTTCAAGGTAGATCCCAGCTCGACAGCGACCGACCCCCTTCCACTACTAGGTACCTATCCTGTGCTTCTATTTTCAGCAGTGATCACGCCGCGTTTCATCGATAGAGTCTACGTATCTGCGACAGCCTCACCCGCTCGCTTCGCTTCATCGTGCCGGAACGCCGCCCGCGCCTGCCAAAGATAGAAGGCAGGACGCAAGGAAGGCAAGGAAGGCAAGGAAGGAAGGAAGCAGGGGAGGCTGCCGGGGTGTAAGTAGAAGGTCCTACACGCGAGCGACCGGCCGGGTGTCGAGATGCTGCTGCTACGTAGGTACTGCTACTCCTCACTCCTTCCGGACGTGATGCGTAGGGGATGTGCTGTGATGGATGAAGGGGTAGATGGATGGATCGTCCGCGGCCGGAGGATCTGCGCGATCGCGTGCCGGCCGGCTGGCGGGAGGGGCTTGCTTGCCTGCCTACCTACCTGCCTGCCTGCCTGCTTGCTTGCCGACGCCGAGTGACAGGTCCAAATACGGACGGTGTAGGGACGGTGAGGCTTGGCTTGCACGTACGAGAATCGCGGATCCCGTAGGCTGGATGGAGGGTGTCGATGTGGCGAGTTGGGAGCACGCAATGAGGCTTCGTTCACGGTATCAAAGGCGACGAGGTACAGTGCGTAAGCTACAGGTTTGAGCAGTGGCATCAAGCTGCCTGCGCAAGGCAGCCCTTGTTGAAGCCATATCCGTAGACTCTGGCTGCTTGGCTACCATAATATCGCCGCTTGCACATGCCCGAGACCAAACGTCAGCGACGTTCGTATTGCCCAAGCAAGATAACAGGTGCCGTGCTGCATCGATGATCTTGCGCCATGCCGCAACGTTGCCGGGGAAAGGCTCAGCGGCGATCAACAACGGCGACGAAGACAAGCTGGCAGACGGCAGCAGCCCGAGACCGCTTCCTGCATACGCGATATCGTATCCGTCATCGCCGTCGTCGGCAGAAACGCCCCATCGATGCAACGCTTGCCCTCTCCGATCAACAGCCTTGTGGGGAAGGTCAGATCTCCTCAGGGCCATATCAAGCACTTCAACAAAGATGTGCGCGCGGGGAAAGACGACGACGATCAACCGATGCAACGATCAACCGACACAAGTATCCCCTGCAAGTCCCATGTTTGGGCTCCCCTCGGACGGTCTGTCCGGCCGCGTGCGTGCTCCCCCCCGTTGACGTTGATCGCAGATCAAAGTAGGAAGGCAAGCCATGCAGGCAGTTGGCGGCTCGAGGGGGAGGGGGGAGGGATCTTCAGGCATGTGCCGAGACGGGCAATTCTGAACTTGGCGCTACGAAGGGACGCGATATATGGCTATCGTCTTGCATGATCCCGTCGCCGCCTGTGTGAGCCGTCTGTGTGATTTTGGCAGATACAGCCGCTTCAAACCGACGACCAAGCTAACCAACCACCTCTGGATAGTTGCTGAAGCCGCTAGGGCGCCGTCACTTCCATGGGGGCACGAGTATGAGCATCCAGTGAGCAAATGACCAACAATTGTCATTCAGATTACGCTATGGAGGTCTTCGATCTTTCATCGCCAGTCATGCGCGCAGACCATCTGGTTCCGTACCTCCTCCACCATCAAGAGACAAGAGAGATTGTGTGCAAGGGGTGCGTGCCAGCCTTTGTGACGGAGACTGGTTGAAAGTAATGTACATCGGGCCAAAGTCAAGAGAAGCGAGGGACGTGAAGTGAAGCTGCATCTTCGTTTCGGCTCCATCTGGAGCCGACGGGATACCCTTGCCCAACAATATTCGGACAAGAAAAAAAAAGAGGTTAAACATTAACCACTGTCATGACCTCGAGGCCCGAGGCACAACGAAGAAGGTAGAAAAGGAAATGTGTATAGGGGCGACTCGTTCGCGCCCGATTTGAGCGCTCAGTTTCGTTTTGTTTTCCACAGACGGGGTATCCGACCGTCAACTCAGACTCGATGACCAACCTCATGGTCTCTGTAGTCCTTCCTCTCCCGAAACTTCAAATGCTGCAGGTGTATCATGATGCTCCGCACGCCTATCCAAACGCCGAAATGCAAACAAGACTTGCTGGCTAAATGACGACTCTAAAGACGGCGACGTTGGCATCACACGTGCGGCGCCGCCGAGCGACTCTTGCCGAGCTGCTCGAGGAGCTCGCGCGGCGGTATCCTCTGGATGCCGCTCCCGCGGTCGTACATTGAAGTAGGCGCAGGAGTGTATCCCTCGCGCTTCTTCCGTAGCCGGTCAAGGAGGATGCCAGCAGCCACCATCAAGAGAACAAGACCAAGAGCGATCGCCAAGCCGATCAAGACGACAAAGACAAGTGGCATGTGGCCACCGGGCGCCTCGAAGAAACTGTCTTTTTCGACGAAAATCTTGGCGATGCTCCCGCCCGTCTGGCCTGGGCTCGTCGTGATGGCATATGGTTGGTAGTGCGTGCCATTGAAGAGTGCGGCTGCTACCGTTCCTTCGTCGGGAATGTCGATGGAGCCGGTGAGCATCAGTGCCTGCTTGTCGCCCAGGATATCCGTCTTGTCATGAGCAGTCGTGAGAGAAAAGACTTGAAGGCTCCGGAGCGTTGTTGCCTTGCCTAAAGTCGGCTTCGCGGACAGCCACTTGCTACCATCAAACTTCATGATGAAGGTAGACCCATCCTTGGCCGACTTCCCGCCAATCCACACTTGCTTGGCATCGCTCGAAGCCGGAGTGATTGCCGTAATCGGCCCTGGGATATCTCCGGAGTTGCTGAAGCTCGCCCACGTCTGCGCCTTGGCGTCGTAGGAGGCCAGGTAGAGGCCGTCGGAGCCATTGGCACGCATGTCACCGGCAGCAAGGAGCGTCGAGGTGCTGGTCCACATCAGAGACTGCACCGTGCCCGACAAACCATTGCCTGGCTGCGTCCACCGGGAGGATTCTGTGTTGTACAGGCAGATGCCGGGGCAGTCAAGAGCTCCAGCCTTCGTAAACGATCCGGCAACGTAGACCTCCGTCGTGCCATCGCGAATGGATATGGCCGAGACTGTTGCGTTTCCACCATTGACCGGAGCTGGTTGGGTGGGGAACGTCTTGGATTTCATGTCCCACACAACGAGGCCGTTGATCTGACGGTCCTGGACGGTGCCAGTCACCTTGCCTCCGGCGAAAAGAACGTCCTCACGAACCGCAACGGCTGTAAATGTCGAATCGGTGGAAACGCCAGAACCCAGCCCGCTCAGGGTATTGCCGTTCTTGCCATCGATGAGCACGAGGTTGTTGATAGCAGTACCGTTTTCGGACTGAGCGGTGAAGTGTCCAGCGAGAACAGTGATATTGTTGCCGTTTTTGTTGTAGAAGGTCCCTGTAACGACGCCTCGTAGAGCCTCATTCGAGAGGGTGTCTCGTCGTGTCGTCTTGCCTTGTGGCTGCTGCGCTTGTATGTTGACGGGGAACCTGCCCAGGCCGGCGTCGGTGAGCGTGACCGCACCGTTGGCACCAATCTGTGCAGATGACATGGATCCAGCGAAGAGCGAGTTGTTGTTGGGAAGATCCAGGACGGCGGCAGTCAGGATGCCATTGTAGGACGGTACGGAGTCGCCCAGGTTTTGCAGCCAGTTGCTCTTCGACGGCACCCAGATGGCGAAGCCACCGACAGCGGAGTCCTTGTTGTCTCCGAAGCCGTTGCATTTGGAGAAACTGCCGGTGAAGGCAATTGCTGTTTCCGTGCGATCTGACGTAGCGTTGATGAGGAATGGAACCACCTGCTCCACCCTTCCGTCGACGCCAGCCCCCAATGGATTCCAAGTCTTAGCCTTGACGTCGTATACGGCCACATGGTTGAGGCCGTTCTTGCCTTTCTGCTTGGTGTTGGTAAAGTCGCCTCCCACGTAGAGCTTGCCGTCTTCCAAGTGCATCTGGCGGATGATTCCGTTCAGGCCGCCGTCGAGGGACTGCACATCCTGCTTGCTTCCTCCGATGGCGACAACGTTGGCGTAATCATCAGAAGTGAAGTTTCCGCCGACAAAGATTGTATCCCCAGACGCGACGAGCGAGTTGACGCCCGCGTTCTGGTTGAAGCTGGACCCAAGTTTGTTGATGGCCGACTTCTCCAAGTCCGAGATGGAGGCTGCTCCGTTATCAGGGTCGAAATCGAAAAGTCCATTGAGTCCACCGGTGGAGTTGATGAGCGTAAATCCAACCCTCTGGGCCACAATGGTCAGTTTGTCAACGTTTTGTCCGTCAAGTGGCGTAATAGTGACGCTGGGCTTGAAACTGTCCGAAGTCTTCTCGATGTAGCCGAAGTAGATCTGATCGTACTTGTCAAAGTTGTTGGTCTGGTACAGGCTAGTTGTGAAGTCGGCGTTGACGGCACCGGCCGACATAGTCCCCGTGACGTTGACTCGCCCGCGCGTCTCGCAAGTATTGTCTGGCTTACAGCCAGGAGTGTACATGTTGACCGAATAGTTGCCGGACTCGCGGATGCTGGGGAAGAAGACAACTGAGGCAGACTTGGAGGAAATATCACCGGAAAGCGCCGCCGTCAGATAGTCGGCGTTGCTCTGCACGGAGGGTGAATGCTTCCAAGGACCGGTTGCCGTGGCAGTGGAAGGTAGTGTGATGCCTCCGCATTTCGGTTCGTTGAAATCGGCAATGGCGTAGGCGAAGATGTCGTCCTCGAAGAGCTGGATGCCCGCTAAGCCTGCGCCCTTGCCGTACCAGTCCGAAATGGCAATTTGAAAGCTGTTCATGCCCACGCGGTTGACAAAATGAAAGTCCTGAAACTCGACTTTTGGGTCTTGGCTCAGGGGGCATTCGCTCGTGCAGGTCCCGTTCTGCCCGGTGGCGGGATCGACGTAAGTGAAGTTCATGATGCCGTTGAGAGGAAAGGCCAGAAATCGGAACGTCTTGGTGCCACGGCCGTCTTGGTGGGTGTTCCACAATCTGAGCTTCGTGGGCTCAAAGCCGTACCCAAACCTCGCCTCCCAAGTTCCCGGCGTTTGATCTTGCAGCAGCCACGTTTTGCCGGCACCGTCCGTACCATCGCCGCAGACGATGCTCTTGGGGTCGCCAAAGCCATTGGCCGCCGCGTTGTTGGTGCCGGTGATGTTCGCGGTAGACAGATTGATGACCTGGTCATCGGGCCGGCTGGGTGTGCTGGCGTTGCCCAGGCCGGAGAAGGTGCCTCCGAAAATAATGTGTCCGTTGGAGGCCTTGGTGATGGTCTCAACCGGTCCGTTGAAGCCGGCAAAGGGAAGGTTGTTCCAGCCCTCCATGCCGACCCAAGCGAGGGCATTGGTCGAATTGCCACCTTTAAAGTTGCCGCCGACATAGATGGTGTCCCGTGCCTGATCGCAGTACACGGCCTTGACGTCGCCTTCGATGCCGCTGAACGGTGTGACCTTTGCTGTGTCGGAATCGACGAGGGCGATTGCCGTTGACTCGGTGCCGTCGAGGCTCGTGAAGTTGCCGCCAATTACCACACCAGCCAGGTTGCCATTTTTGCGTTTGAACGTGCACATAGTCCGGATGGAGCCGTCGCTCGGCACGATCGAGGCCAGGGCCCCGTTGGGGAGCCTGGCTAGAAGGGACTCGCTGCCATTTGTGCTGAGCGGCTTCTGAATCTGGCCCTCATACTCGTATAACGATATGCCGCTGTAGTCGCCCGTGATTGCTATCCTCCCAAGATTAGAAAGGTCAAGATCTGGAGACGGGACTGCCGTGAAGTTGATGGCTCCCGATAATGATGGCGCGAGCGCTGTGAGGGCGAGAAGGCCTGTGCCAAGGGGACCTGGGCGGCGGGCCGCACGGCGTCGTCGATACGGTAACCGCATGGCTACCGCGTCGCACCGAGGGCTGCCGGCGAAGTCGTCGTCGTCGTCGTCGTCGTCAAGCCTCGGCGGGAAGAAAAACGCGAATATAATTGAATTCTCGGCCTGCGCAAAGGTGAGATGGGCGCAGGGCGCATTTCAGGCCCACGGGCGAGTCGTGATTGGGAAAATTATGCGGTCGTCTCTCCGAGCGGTCGTGTTGGCTTGGCGGCAAACAAAGACGGCGGGCAAACGCTATGCGTATCGGGATCGAGAATGGGTTCGAAGGGGAGGAAAAAAGGCAGGAAGCCGAAGTCGAATGTCGAAAGTCGAATCGAAAGTCGAAGAAACGAGTGTAAGAATGCGGTCGCGGTCGGGCGCGGCGGCGTCAGCGTGTCTCTGGTGCCGTGGTGCTTCCCCCTCGCCGGCGATGAGATTTTGGGGGTTGACGAGCCTGCCTGGCCTGGGCCTGGAATTGGAGGAACAGAGGAGGATGGCTGGGCGGGCGACGGAGATTGAGGGCGCCTCTCAAGCCTCTGTTGTGACTGGCCATGGAACTCGAGACGCGGCGCTAGCCCGTGTCGGGGCTAGCGCGCAGCTGCCCAGTTATGGGCTGGGGTGGGCTTGGAGCGGGCTTGGGGCTGTCTCTTATACACATCTAGATGTGTATAAGAGACAGGGCAAGGAGGGCGCGGCGGGCAAGCCAAACACCAGATGGACGGCAATGCCAGTGGTGCCACGCGCAGTGACGAGGAGAGGAAACGAAATGAGTCCCAGGTACCTAAGCTACATAGTACCTTGGGCCAGCATCAATCAGTGAGCGCAACGCAAACACTGGTACGAGTGCGACGTCGCCTGTACTGCGGACAGCTGCGCTTGGTTCTGGTGCGACGGCGTTCCAAGGTTCAGCAGCGACATGCCCTGCAGGTGCATCAACTCGGATGGAATGGATGGAATCCGTCGAACAGAAGCCTTCAGTGGGCTGCCGGAGCCCTGGCGGTGCCTCGACTACCTAGCTCCCCGCGGACGCTAGAGGCCCGCGACGGCGTCGAGTTTCGTGGCGCGCAGGCGGCCCCAGGCACACGGCCAGGGCACATAGCTCCCAATCTCCACTCTAATGCCAAGGTTCAAGGGGAATTGCAACATGCTGTTGGGACTGAGGTTCCATCCAGTCATTCTACGCATGCACCAAGTACCAACGGACCACTGGAGCCAGCCGCCTGAGCGAGCACCTTATTGCCCTATCCAACCTGGAACCCAGTCGACCGACGCTCGTCTGCGTTCAACCTTCCATGACAACAGACCGGGATACCTTTCATCCTTTCGATCGCCCGCGCCGGGCATGCCGGCACCTGTGCGGCACTCGCACGGTGCGACTCTGTTGTCGAGCGACAACGCGACGGGACAGCTGCCCCTGTTGTGGCCGATTCGTCCGTTCGTCTCAGCGATCGAGGCTGTGCGAGCTCCACGGGGCTCGTGCCACGACGACCGATTGCGAGTCGACGCTTGCTGAGCACCGTGCATGACCATCCCACCGTCGGCACCGCACGAAGGATCGAATTTTCTACAGGCTCGACTGGCCAAGTCCATGCATCACGGACACCGTCATCCCTCGGCAAAGCTAAAAGACATGGCGGCGATCGTACAGACTGGTACGCATTGCTGCTGAAAATGGACGTATCTGCCGTGGGGTGTCTCACGGGCGAAGCAATCTGACGTGGCGGGGCCGCTCTCCTGCTCTTTGTTTTTCCCGTCTCTGCAAGAACCAGCGGAGCAAACGACCGTCGAAGGTTTTGGTTTGGCGCTTGCTTTGTCTTCTCCCGGAAGCCCGCCTTGTGCGTGCCCAACCGCCGGTCGTACGGGTCTCTGCGGATACCGTCTGCTGCGCGAGGCACGCAACGCAGGCCCGCAGCGTGTGCTCACAGGCACAACAACCTAAGTGGTATCACCGGCCGTGTCCCTCTGCAGCTCGTGTCCACGATTCGCGGTCACGGACCCCGGTTCATGCCAGGGGGCGGAGTCGGTGCACGCGACGGTGACAGAACAAGGACCGCCGTTGCGCCGTACAAAACACCGCTTCATTGTCCGCGAATTTTGTCGACCCCCGTTCCACCTGCATCGTGTTCCTGGAGCTAAAATCGGGAGCGGGCCTGTCGGTGGAGAAAGGGGGCATTCGATCATCCAGGTCCGAAACGTGCCCCTCGCGAACTCTGGACGACTCGGGATGACGGGAACGTTAAAGTGCAGCTCATGGTGCCGGAAGCCATCGCCGTGACGCCTGGAGAGCAAACAGAAGATCACGGCTCGAGATGGATTGCCCTGCTGCACCGTAGTATACGATTCTTCGTATAACGTAGCTGCCCGATGTCATCGCGCCAACAAGAAGGCGTCTTTACCCAATTACCTGCTCTGCTTCTATGCACTCGTACAGTCATGGCCTAGCTTTTCGTGCGCGAGACTGCCTTTCGGCATGAGGCGCCATCCACGTGTCGCAGGCAAATCTAGGCGAGCCCTTGGGAGACAGGTTGTTATTTACCCGGGCCCATGGGCACAAGCTCCAAGCTCCCAGTGTTTCCGGGTGTTGACTTCCCGGAATGTGGCGCAAGGAGGCCCCGACGCCCCTAGCTTCAATGCATGTCTCTGCCCTGTGCAAGGAGCCATCGGCCATCCTCTGCGCCCGGCAGTTCATGTGCCATGGGATCGACAATTTCGCCAGGTTCGGAGCGAGTTCTCGGCGCTTCTTGTCGCCTTTGTGAAGCCCACGGCCATCGTTTGTGTCGCCGCGTTGCTTTGCAAGACTGATCGTGCCACGTTCCTTGTATGATGCGCCGCGAAACATTGGGGTCGTAATGTATCTGCGCAACGGTTCTTCAGGGTAGGCTTGCTTGCCCTCGGGTTCCTCAGCTGATCAGCGTCAGATACACGAGTCGCCGCGTCAGCTCACTCGTCGATTTTCTGCTGGCCTGCCCAACGTGTCTTGTACTCTCTCGGGCTTTCGAATGCGCTCGCCTTGCCCGACCACATGCCCTGCCGCTTCCTCTTCGCCTTCGCCTCGGCCTTCTCGTAGACTGCCTTTAAACCGCCAAATTCGGCTCCTGACTTGGCCTCGTACGTTGTCGCGAGCCCACGCTTCACCATCTCGAGGCCCACATTCCGCCGCACCAGGAATCGTCTGACGTACACAGTCGCCACGATGCGGTTGTATTGGTCTCGCTTGTAGATGTATGCTCGCACGTTGCGGTGCAGGATGTAGTCGGAGAGCCACTTGAGCGCCTCTCCGCTGAATGGTTGCGCTGGACGCCCAAAGTGGGCACCCTCGGGGGCGTCGACACCAGCGAGGCGTATGGGAATCTTTACGCAACCACGCCTATCAGCCCCGGATGCTCTTCAAAGCGCTCAGCGTCGGCCAAGGGGTACAAACCGTGCGATCCTTGAGCTCCTTCCTCGATTCCGGCACTTTTCGTAACCAGCCCCAGCCGACAGCCCGCCCGCCCGGCGTGTGAAACAAGTGAAAGTTGTCACCATCGCCGACGCTCGTGACTCTTCCGAACAAGCTCCTGCTCCGGAAGAAGTTCGGTCGGACGTACGCTGATCCTGGTATCCGACGGAGGTAATTGGCGTATAGCTGCAACGCGCCGAGGCCGACAAGCGAGAACAGGACCATTGGCGCCCATTCTTTGGCCGCCGCGAAGGGGTCCCGGTCCGCCGCGCCTAGGGATTCGGGCCACGAGAGCGGCCTCTTCTTTGGCTCGTCATTGTTTTTGTCGCGTCCAGAGCCCGATGCTCCAAATGGCCATACCATTTTCTCTGCGGCCCGCAGGTTGTGCCGCCATGAGTCGCCGTCCCTGTTGATGGTTGGAGTTCAATGTCGAACGGGGGATCACAGTCGCATGTGGCGTCAGTGGTGGTCGGCCCCGCCAATAAAGCTCGGTGCCTGAGGCCCACTGACAACGCCCAAGCGAGACCCGGCGATCTGATATCCGCCTTGCGAGAGCGCTGAGGTTAGCACATTGGCAGGACGGCTTCGCAAATTACGCGGCTCGGTTTTTCAACGAATTCTTTTGCATTGCTCAAAGCATCTATCACTTTAATTCACTGGCTGGCACGCACCACTGCCGCTGCATCCCTGTCTTACTATACTCCTATACTCAATACGACGTGCCTTAGATGACTGGTAAGCTGGTGCTCGAGCGTCGATAGCAGCAGGCTACGAGTGTCGTTTATTGCACTTTGAATGACCTGCCGCTTGCCGTCTTTCTCTCGCGCTCCTCGTTCTCCGGACGAGCTCGGCGCAGAACTGGATCGTGTCAGTACCGCATGATAAAGACCGTCGCGTCAAGTCCGAGGGTAACGTACCTTGGAGGAAATCTGCAGTTCGCTTGCGCATACGAGAATGGATGTACGCCTTGGACGCCTTGATGTGGTAGTGGAAGTAGTCACGGAAGGTCTGGATGTGAGAGATGACAATGGGCATGCGCTGGGGTGTCAAGTGACGCGGAAAGAGAACTGTGGCCCGTCAGCATTGACATTGCAACGAGTCGCTAAGGAGTGGCAAGCCTACCAAACGTGACGTATCCGATTTCGCCGGTGCCAGTGCTCTTGACTCCTGGGACGCCTTGCAGCTCGAGTGGCGGGTCGTTCTTGAAGAGTACTTGCGGAGCGTTCTGGATAGCTCTTCTCCGCGCATCCACGAACTCCTGGATGAAGACCTTCCCAAATACTCTATCCGTCTCCTCGCGGAAGACGGTGCTGAAGATGACAGTGACGCGATCATGGCTGGCCTTGACGTAGATCGCCTCCTCGTCGCGGTAGTGGATGGCCTTGACCTGGCCACCCTCTCGAACTCCTTGAGGGGCTTCTTCTGATGTGAACCTGGAAGCTTCCTCCTTCAGCTGGTAATGTTCCTCGTATGCTTGCTCGAAGGGGGCTGCCATGGCATTGCGCTTGAGCAAGGCAAACTTCATGGCCAGGGCGTCGCGCTCCTCTGCAGGCAATGTTAGCGCCACTCTGCTTCGTCGAAAATATTGTAGTGGTGAGTACCCTTCTCGGCGGGCAGCTGCTCCAAGTCAATCAGGACAGAGAAGTCATAGCCCGTCTCGACCGGCGCAACGTAATCGCCGTATTCCCGTTGAAGGACCTGCTCCGCGCCATACTGGACCAAATCCTTAAAGCACCGTATTTGAACAGAGAGCAGGATCTTGGTCTTGCTTTCCGGAGTAGAGATGTGAAAGGTGACACCGTCGAAGTCGGAGATGGTCTGGTCAATGGACGCGGGCGGGGCACTAGCTCCTGGTTAGCAGGGGCGGTGGCAGCACCGGAATCGTTAGATTTACCCAGAGAACCGCTCGGTCAGAACCGATTGGATCAGGACGTTTTGGTAGTCGAGGAGAAGCATTGTTGCGGTGGTCTGCGGTTGCGCCGGGTTGCTGCCTCTCTGCGTCTGGAGCTGGTTGACGACGATGGTGGGGCTGGGGAGGTGAGGTACAGGAGGGACGTCAGACGAGCTGACGACGGACACGTGACCTGAGCTCCGGGCGCTGATCCACTCTACCGGACTTATCGATAAGCAACAAAAAAATATCCCACCTCCAGGCGTGTCAGTGTCGCAGCGCATTTCTCTTGTCTCGACGGAGCGCCGCATCGTTGGTCGGCAGGCAATTGACCCTTTGACTCGGACAAGATGGTGAAGTCGTACCTGTAAGTGCGATGCGACAACGTTTCTGCAATACTATGTGCTGACACAGAATTTCCTCTCTCAGCAAGTACGAGCACGCCAAGTCATTCGGTGTCGTGACGACAAACACCTCCAACATTGTCTGGACGTCCAAGGATCGAACTGGCACAGGCGCTGGGCAGGCTGTCGTCGCCGCAAATGAAGAAGTTCTTTGCTGGGATGTCAAGAAGGGCGAGCTACTGGGCCGGTGGCGGGACGAGCGCTGCACGGTGCCCGTCACGGCGATTGCCCAGAGCAAGACCGACAACGACGTCTTTGCCGTCGGCTACGAAGATGGCAGCATTCGCCTCTGGGACAGCAAGATCTCTACCGTCATTCTCAATTTCAATGGTCACAAGTCGGCAATCACGAAACTCGCGTTCGACAAATCCGGCGTTCGCCTAGCAAGCGGGTCCAAAGACACCGACGTTATCATATGGGACCTTGTTGCAGAAGTCGGTCAATTTAAGCTGCGTGGGCACAAGGATCAGATCACAGGGCTGGAGTTTGTCGAGCCCGAAACCCAGGTGCAAGATGAAGACGGAACCAAGGCCATGGTTCTCGACGGCCAAGACACATCCGATGGCTACCTCCTTACAACTGGCAAGGACTCCCTACTCAAGCTGTGGGATCTCTCTTCAAGGCACTGCATCGAGACGCACATCTCTCAGACGAACGGCGAATGCTGGGCGCTCGGCATGTCGCCGGATCTAAGCGGCTGCATCACTGCTGGCAATGACGGAGAGCTCAAGGCCTGGTCGCTTGACGCAGAGGGTCTCGCATCGACTGCGCGGCGGGTAGACGTATCATCAACCACACAGTACTTGTCGGATCGTGGCACTTTGCATCGCCAGAGCAAGGACCGAGCCACCGAAGTCATCTTTCACCCGCAAAGAGACTACTTTGCAGTCCACGGATCAGAGAAAGGGGTCGACGTGTGGCGCATAAGGTCAGAAGCCGAAGTCAAGAAGAGCTTGGCCCGCAAGAGAAGGAGGCGGAGGGAAAAAGGCAAAGACGGCAAGCAGCAGGACGAGGAAGCACAGAACGCCGACGATACAGCCGAGGACGTCTCGAAAGCAGACATTAGTGACATTTTCGTCCAGTACGTCATTGTGCGCACGGGCGGAAAGGTTCGGTCTGTGGACTGGGCATTAGCCGGTTCTCAAAAGGATCTTCATCTCTTGGTCGGCACGACAAACAACCAACTCGAGTACTACAGCGTCCCGTCAAGGGATAGGAGCGACCGCAAGAAGAAGGATGATGTGCCGGATTACACACGAACGCTTGCCGTTGAGCTGCCTGGCCACCGTGCCGACATCCGGGCACTGGCTCTCAGCTCGGACGACAAGATGTTGGCTTCGGCTGCGAACGGATCCATGAAGGTGTGGAACATCAAGACGCAGACATGTATTCGCACCTTTGAGTGCGGATATTCTCTATGCTGCGCATTCCTACCAGGAGACAAGGTCGTCGTAGTAGGCACGAAGAGTGGCGAGCTTCAGCTTTTTGACGTTGCATCTGCCTCGTTGCTGGACAGCGTTCAAGCTCACGAGGGGGCGATCTGGTCCTTGAACGTCCACCCCGATGGGCGATCCGTGGTTTCTGGAAGCGCCGATAAGACGGCCAAATTCTGGGATTTCAAGATCGTCCAGGAAGAAGTTCTTGGCACGAAGCGAACTACACCAAAGCTCAAACTGGTGCAGTCCAGGACGCTCAAGGTGGCTGATGACATCCTAAGCCTCAAGTTCTCACCAGATGCCAAGTTGTTGGCAGTCTCATTGCTGGACAACACTGTCAAGGTCTTTTTCGTCGACTCACTCAAGCTCTACCTCAATCTCTACGGCCACAAGCTGCCAGTTCTCAGCATGGATATATCGTACGATAGCAAACTCATCGTTACGAGCTCGGCAGACAAGAACATCAGGATATGGGGCCTGGATTTTGGAGACTGCCACAAGGCTCTCTTTGGACACCAAGACAGCATCCTGCAAGTGGCGTTTGTTCCTCACAACTCCGACGGAAATGGGCACCACTTTTTCAGCAGCAGTAAGGATAAGACGATCCGATACTGGGACGGAGACAAGTTTGAGCAAATTCAGAGACTGGACGGCCACCACGGAGAGGTCTGGTCGATTGCCATCAGCCGGACTGGGAACTTCCTTGTCAGCGCAGCGCACGACAAGAGCATCCGGGTGTGGGAGGAGACCGATGAGCAGATCTTCCTCGAGGAAGAACGCGAAAAGGAGATTGAGGAGCTGTACGAGAGCACCCTGACAACCTCGCTCGAAAGGGACGAGGATGCCGAGGACGAGAACGGAGAAGTTGCGGCGGCCAGCAAGCAGACCACGGAGACGCTCATGGCCGGCGAGCGGATACAAGAAGCTCTCGAGATGGGCATGGCAGATCTGAACCTCATGAAGGAGTACGAGGCGGCCAAGCTGTCAGACCCCAACGCCATGCCCCCGCAGCGCAACCCCGTGTTTCTGGCCCTGGGCAACATCAGCGCCGAGGAGCACGTCATGTCCGTGCTGCAAAAGATCAAGGCCTCGGCGCTACACGACGCGCTGCTGGTCCTTCCGTTCGCGACCGTCCCCATTCTGTTTACATTTCTCAACCTTTTCGCCCTGCGGTCGATGAACATGCCCCTGACGTGCCGCATCCTCTTCTTCATGATCAAGACGCACCACCGGCAGATTGTGGCGAGCCGGACCATGAAGACGATGATGGACGGCATCAGGGCGAACCTGAGGGCCGCGCTGAAGCGGCAAAAGGACGAAATGGGCGTCAACATTGCGGCGCTCAAGGTGGTGGGCATGCAGATCCGTGACAAGAGCGTCAAGGAGTACGTGGACGAGACTTGGGAAGACGAGAGCGCCGAGAGAAGCGCCAAGAAGAGGGCGTTTATGCATGTGGCGTAAATACATAGACTTGACACGTACACAGGTACAAATTAAGAATCTTGGAAAGAGTAAAACCATGAAAGAGTACACCCACGAAATGCTCTGTCGCTTCAGCAAGGAGCATTCATATCGAGATGGGTGTTGTTGGTTTCAGGGATCACGTGATCTGGACGACGGGCGCTGGAACTGCAACTTTGGTGGATCACGGTCTGCGCAGAGCAACCTCTCACCATCCAGTGACGACCTCGACGCGATTTCAGCACCACAGACACCATCTGAGCCGAATCCTTTGCGCCGCGTGCTGTTCAACACTCCATCTTGCATTGTCGAAGCCCTTTACCAGCTAGCAGCCACCCCCATCTGGCCCGACGCACGCCTGCGTCTCACAGCCCTTCCGCCGCCGCCGCTGTCACCAAGCTCCGTCCACCAGCCAACCATGCTCTTCTTCAGGTGCGCAACCAAAACTCCCCATCCATCCATCTATCCGCCGGCGGAACTCCTCGGACTCTGCAAGGCGCGGCGAATAGGATGTGATAAAAGAAACGAGAGAGGGGGGGTTTGCTGACTTGCAGGGTGAATTAGCTTCTTCAAGACGCTCATCGACCACGAGGTCACCGTGGAGCTCAAGAACGACATCCAGCTCAAGGGCACGCTCAAGAGCGTGGACCAGTACCTCAACATCAAGCTCGACGACATTTCCGTCGTAGAGGAGCTCAAGTACCCTCATCTCGTGCGCCTCACCTCTCCCTCCCCCGATCTCACCTCAACTCACCCCACCTCATCTCCCTTCCCCTTCCCTCTGCGGTGCACGGCAGGCCTCGTCATGTGTTGTTGGACATGAGAGCTAATTTTCTTGGCCTTCGCCCGTGGCGCCCGAACAGAGCTCCGTCAAGAACGTATTTATCCGCGGGTCGGTGGTGCGGTACGTGCACCTGCCCGCTGCGTCGGTAGATACGCAGCTGCTGGAGGATGCGACGCGGAGAGGTAGGCAGCCTTTTCTTTACCCCCTTGTGTCAGACATGGCCCGTTGACAACTTTATACAGAAGCAGCGGCTCAGCAGGCCAAGGCGAGGTGATTGAGGCGGTAATGACAATTCATGACACCAGTATCAACGGATAGCCCCTGGCACACCACTACTCAGCTTGCGGAACCGTTCATTAGGACGCCCGCGGAAGGTGATGCAAGTTTTGCACCGCTGTAAAGGCTTCATTTATATGGAGCTATGTCTATCAGATCATAGATAATGCAGACGAGTTGGCCGTTCCATTCGCCACGACGGAGAGCATCTAGAAGACAAGTGCAGCCGCGTTCGCGTGTCGCTACCACCAAGCGCCTCCGCCTTTGCCCGACTTGCCTTCCCATAACTCTGCGCTGTCCTCGTCATCCTTGCCTTCGATGAGCGGTTTCAGTAGTCCGCCCCTCCTCCTCTCTGCTGTCCAGCGGTCGATCCATGCTCTCATCCGCTTCCGGGACTGCTCCGAGCCAACGTTGACAGTCGGAATGACCTTCTCTATCCTCAAGCTCATCAAGAACATGGCCAGTTCGCGAAAGCTGCTATGCTCAGAGTACGGAACGCCAAAACACATCGACTCCTTTGTGCTCCCCCTTTGCGCCACAAAGTCCTTGTACCCGAACCGCGTCCTCCAGCCCTTCCCATGCAGGATCTGTTGGGTCGGGATGCTGCTGGGCGAGGTATTCGCCCCCACTGCCTTTCCATTTGTCGGCCGAAAATTCCAGCCGCTAGGTCGAAAGCCAACGATGCGGCTAAAGTGAGGTTTGTAGCTTGTCAGGTAGTCGCTGAGTGTCTCGGCACGGATCTCCATGAGCGACTGCATGTGAACTTGGGCTTCGATTGGATTTGACGTGAGGAGGGATGAGAGCTCAGGGTCATCCAGCTGCTGACAGATCTTCATCTTTCCGGGCGTTGCGAATATCTTCGAGCCCAGCGCCTGGGCGATCGCGATACATATCCGCTCTTTGCCAATGGAGTATGTCCCACATACGACCAGCAAGCGCTGTTTGGGGCTAGCACGACTGTCGGCCGACTCACTTGCTGCGGGCCCCTTGTCACTCTGAAAGTATTTGCTCACTGCTTGGACCCCATTTTCTCGCTGTGACCGCTCCCAGACATCGTCTTTGCAGTTTGGATCCGGCGACATGGACGCGCACAAGTCCGCACACGCTTTGATGACGTCCTCTTGCGGGGGAAATGAATACCGGGGGTTGAGATATGTGGTGTCCAAGTAGCATGTATTGATGGACTGCTGTTTCGTCTTTCCGGTGATGGAGTCGACAACATCGGGTTTCAGCAGCGGGTGGCCGACATGGTCTGGGCAGGCCCTGAAGTCACCGCAGTGCAGGATTCGTGACATGCGAGGATTGGGGCCATTGCCCATGGGTTTCTGAAAGAGGAACAGAGAGCTGCCGGGACAGTGGTTTGCTGGTATCATGGTGACGGTGGCCCCGGTCCCTGGTACTGGGTACGTTTTCTCGAACTCGAGCTCGACGACCCATTTCGAGGCTGTGCGTAGTTGCTGCTTGACCAGGCTGCCCGTGACCCTGCTGCAGTATATTGGACCATGCCTCCAGCTTGCAGTGAGGCCAATGTAATGGTCGCTGTGAAAATGGCTTAGGAAGTAGGCCTCGCACCCTTGCACGGCGCCGTACCGGAAAGCATCGACGCAGATGTTGTAGTTGGGTATATTCTTGTAAAAGGGGCAGGTCCGCTCGTAGGCGGGACGGCCCCGCGACGCATTCTCGGCCGCGGCTGCGTTTGCCCATGCCGAGTCCTCGGCGTTGCCAGACATGAGTTTCGAGAATGCGGACTTGGCGCCGTTGCTACTGTTGCCATGTGAAAAGGGATCGGATTGCGCTGGTCGAGGAATAGCGGCACGGGCGAACCTCTTGCTCATCTCTGTAGAATCGACTTTAGGTGCTTCGGTAGGGGGGGTTCGTGACCGCTTCGGTAAAGGGGTAGGGTTCCCATCTAGACATGCGTTGACGTGGCGGGTGGCATCGTCCGTGGACAAACCAGCGAGGCTGCCGTCGCACATAGGGCAGCTCTCCGCCATCGCATTACCATCCGGCAGGTCGTCGACGAATTCCTCACTGAGCATGACCCCCGCCTCTTCGGCCTCGAGTCGCGCCTGTTCTCGCATAAATTTCATTTCCCTAATCTCTTCGCCTTCGAAGTCGTCCAAGTCGAGATCGTCCATACCTTCAAAGCTGCCTAGCTCATCGAACTGTGCATACGTCGAGTCTTGTTTTTGCAGAGGCGGGTTTGCGTCAGGCGTAGGCGGAATAGCTGAGACCACGGGCTCGACATCTGGTTTTCCTGATGACTTCAAGATTGTCTCGATCTTAAACTCCCCTCGCGGTACGTCTGGCGCAGGCACAGCATCGTCGTCGCTATCGTCTTCGCTGTCAGACTCCATGATAAAAGGAGCATTCAGCTTCGACTTTGGCTTCGCAGGGTCCTTGACATCTTTCTTGACGGGCGCAGCCGGAGGAGGCGCATCGTCTACGACCTCGCTTTTGGTAGCGCTATCCTCATCTTGGCTCAATCTCCTCTTTTTGACGGGAGTGTCCGACTCGTTGAATCGATGCTGGTCATCGTCGCCGTAGAGATCATCGTCCTTCGGGGCGGCAATGGTCGATCCGACGAACAAGGAATCCTCGGGTTTGGGGGTCTTTTGGAAAAAGTTGAGGATGCTCGCATTTGGCTTCGCAGGCTTCTTGGCAAAGCCCGCGCCGTTGGCCGACTTTTTCGGCGTGTTGGAGCGGTTGAGCTTGGTCGCGGTGACCATGTTGGCAATGACGTCGTCGAACGCTGGTCACGGTGCTTTTCGACGAGCCATGTTACGACGAAGCACGGCAGCCGTAGTGGGAGCGCAAATCAATGCCTATGCCAAAGCCTGGCACAAAGGATGAGAACTGCGATGTATGCGTGTGAATCTATCCGTCGCTGTCGTCGTCATGGACGGTGGTGCCAGAATGAACAAAGTGGGACACGACCAGGCGCGCTGGGGCAAAATCACGAATCGCGAAGTCACATGAGCAGGTGGGGGGTTCACGCGGAGTGCTATAACCAGGGGCGGGCTCTGTTAAGACACTACCATGGACACGCCAATCGCTGTGCGGCAACCCTTTATTGCAGCACCGTGTAAATCTCACAGCCACTTTGTGTCGAAGGAGGATTTCAGCGGTGGCCGTCGCCTCCATATGAGGCAACTGTGTTTTTCACCGAATCCGTACATCTAGCCAGCGATTCGGGCCGTTTGATGCTTGGCTCACAGGTCTTCGGCTGGTAGGAGGGACGCGCGACACGCTAAGCGTGTCATCGACCTCGGCGCCTCCTCCTCTGGTGGTACAATGCCTGGATGCTGAAACCGCACCCAATTGTCCCTTTGCATCTTCATCACCGCATAATCGTAGATTGCACGCAATGTCATGTCAGTACGGACTCGGATGGCGAATGTGATGTGAGAGTTTGCTGACATGCGCCAATGGGTGGCCGACGCAGTCTTCAACACCACGCAGGCCCTCCAGCATGTCACGCCTATCCCGGCAGGGACGCCGCCGGAGAAGAGCATCGAGTTGCTTCAGGGCCACGAGTTCTTCATTCAGTGCGACCCGCACATGATGAAATACGAGGCCATCGATACACCGGCGGATCCTGCGCCGACGCTGCCCGCCGACCGCGGCGTGACCGCGGTGGCCGCCCCCAAGTGCTACGAGGTGATGGACAAAGTCCACGCGCTGCCCGCGGGGCTTTGGGATTCGGACGTGATCAGCACGTACGAGTTCATCAACATCGAACGGGGCGTCTTCGTGCGGATACGCAGCCCACTCAACACCATGATGGAGACGGTGTGGGAGATTCGTCAGACGGAAGATGGTGGTTCAGAGCTGGTGGAGGACGTGCTCATCAAGTGCTCGAGACTTCTCGTCGGCGTCATCAAGGGTACTTGTGAGTCCGGGTGGAAGGGGATCCATGAGAAGATGGTTGGCAAGATGGCGCAGCCGTGAAGACATGATGGAGCCGGTCGGTGCCGACGGCACAGCCAAGTAGCGCTTATTAGAGGTCTCGCCTTTGTTTGTAGCGTCGCAATCTTGCTATAAGAATAGAATCCATCACGATAGGATATCCCTTGATGCATTGCCATTTGGAACCGATGCAGTCGGGCAGAGAACCTGGAAAGTCGCTGATGTCTGGGTCGGTGTCGATTGGCCCGGTTGCGGGCGTGGCAGGTACGGTAACTTCCAGACGGATGGATCGCAGTGGATTGGTCATGGCGCAGCGCCGGGGCCTGTTGCAGCTAGAGCTGTCGCAGTTCGAAGGTTCCATTCAGTGCCTGGCCAAGCCCTGTGCTAGTGGTCCGGTGGGTTGGCGCACCGGCGGCTAAACCTCGTTCTGTCAGGCGCCCCTGACACCGACCCAACCTGACACAAGCCCAGGGTCTCACTGGCGATGCGACTTTGACTTCAACCTTAGCCCAACCCAGCCCTCGACAGCCCCCCTGACACCGTGACATCAGGCAGGTCGATTATGACCACGTTCACTCATCAGCACGGCGCGCCGTCGATGATGGTCACGACCACCTGAGGCTGTATTCAATCGCCCTGAACAGAGGTCCAGACGTCGTACCAAGACAGCGCAACGCGGCTGGTGGCCGGTGGTGGCACCCGTCGACGCCATGGCGTCGCTTCAGGTGAGATGGCCGGAAATGTCCGGCACCAAACAGCGCGCCCTCGAGGACGCCAAAAAGATGCAGAGGGCCGTCACCGAAGAGTGCGCCAAGTCAGGAAGGGAACCTCCTCAGTACCAGCTGTCGGAGCTCATCGGCAAAGGCAGCTTTGGCCGCGTCTACAAGGCCACCTCGCAAAAGTCGGGCGAGCTCGTTGCTGTCAAGATCATTGACATCGAGGAGAGCGATACGGCAAACCCGAAGCTCACCGACACCTACGGCGACCTGCTCAAGGAGATTAACGCGCTGAAGCTCCTCAGCGACAGCGGCGCCAAGAACGTCAACCAGGTCATCGAGGCCCTGCCTGTCGGACACTCCATGTGGATGATCACAGAGTACTGTGCTGGCGGCAGCGTCGCCACTCTGATGAGGCCCACGGCGCCCGGTGGCCTTCAGGAGAAGTGGATTATCCCCATTCTGCGCGAGGTCGCCGAGGCAATGTACTGGGTGCACCGCCAGGGCATCATACACCGAGATCTGAAGTGCGCCAACGTCCTCGTCACTGAGGTTGGCGACGTCCAGCTTTGCGACTTTGGCGTCGCCGGCGTCATAGAGACCAAATTTGACAAGAGGTCGACCTTTATCGGGACCCCTCACTGGATGGCACCTGAGCTCTTCGACCAGTCCACATCATACGGCACTGAAATCGACATCTGGGCTTTCGGAGCTATGGTGTATGAAATTGCCTCCGGGCTGCCACCCAATGTTACCGACGGTATGGACCTCGCTCGGCTGGGCAACCGCCTCAAGCAGCAGACGCCACGTCTCGAGGGGGACCAGTACTCGGCCGGGCTCAAGGACCTGATCGCCTACTGCTTACAGCCTGATCCTACAAAGCGACCTGTGATCGAGCAGGTCCAACGTCACCCATACATATTCAACACCGAGGACGCATACCCTACCTCCACCTTGCGACATCTGGTTCGAGCCTTTAAGCTGTGGGAGGCCCAGGGAGGCGACCGTCGGTCTCTCTTCGCCCCGGGTGGCGCTCAGGGTCTGTCCGACGTGTCGTCCGCCGCATTGGCCAACGACGAGTGGTCATTCAGTACCACAGCTGCGTTTGACCAGCAAGTCTTTGACGATGGTGGCGCTCAGGACGTGTACGACGTGTATGGATCCAATGTCGACTTTAGCCAACAGCCATTTGAAGAGACTTCACGACCGCCCAAGAGCAAGGGCCGACGACGGCCACCGCCACATCTGCCGTCGGTCAAGGCCCCTCTTGAGAAGGTGTTTGATCCTAACACCATCTCCAATTACGAAGACAATTCCCGCGCCTACTACGGGAAGCCCTTCATGGCTCCCGTGTCCGATCTTCCGCTGCGGGACGAGTCAGCACCCGCTGCGGACGTGCGAGAGTCGTTGATCGACCTCGATGCTTCGCTGCATGGCAGCGACCTATCGCAGTTTGTCGACTTGGACACTATCAAGGCGGGAGATCCCCGTGCGTCCACCGACTATGACTTTGGTGACGCCTCCCACTACGTCAAAGCGCCCCTGAGCGATCCCGCCGACGTAAACAACAACCGTCGAACGCAGGACTGGAAATTTCCCACCATGGCCCCGCCGGCATCTGCGAATCCAGAAATGTTCAGATTCCCGTTCACAGACGATTCTTCGACCCCCGACACCGGTCGGCCTCCGCTTTTGCACCAGCAAACGGAACCGCTACAGACCTCGATGGTCTTTGGCGACCTCGCCTCTTCGAAGCCCAGCTCGGTCAACCGGGCCTCTGTTGGTAGCCTGATTGACCTCGACATGAGCTTTCCGGACTCTGCGACGGACTATACTCGTCCATCTACTTCTCACTCAGACGTAGGGTCGATAAGCGGGTCTGAGGTGGGTGGCGCGTTTGAGCTTGAGAAGCATGCGTCGCTCTACGTAACGTCCAACACGGTCCGAGAACCGTCAATCTACGTCTCGGATGACTCTGAATACGCAACAGCCCTCGCGGACGTCCGTAGTGGGCATACCTCGGATGGCGAGCACAGCCAGCACCAGTTCGAGACGAATGAGCAGCCCTCAAACGAGTCCCGTCCCTATTCGCTCAGCGACTTTGCCGACATGGATCCCGAGTCCATGTCCCCTCCGCCCACAGCAGCGCCGAGGATGGCCAAGTTCCCCCCGTCATACCAGGAGCAGCCGCATGATCACCCGGAACCGCTCCCGGAGGAGAGCCACCCCCAGAGCTACGACCAAGGCCCTGGGCAGTTCCGGGAGACCTCGCCGAGCAATTACGCTTCCCTGCCACGGCTCCCGTTTGCGCCCTCGCCGGCCGTCATGGAGGGCAGGGCCAGCTCGGAGGAGGTCAAGCACGAGCTGCGGCGCATGGCCATGAGCCTGGGCGACCACCTCAGCCACGCAAACGCGTACCTGTCCGCACTGCCTATTCGCCGGGGCAGCACGACGCGTATGGAAGCCGTGGGTGATGGCGATTGAGGACACGAATGATACTTTTTTTTACGGCCCATTGTATGATGTCGAAACGGATGTTTATTGATTACATGTGCTTTTACGGCTCAGGTTTGATGGGAAATACACACAGGCAGCGGGGCATGCTACAATATGTGCTCTACGGGATGGGTTGGGTTGGATTGCTCTCTTCAGAGAAGAAGCTCTGAAAGTCGTTTCTATCAAGCGTTGGTGCCGTGGTATTAGAATGATGCTGGGAGGACGGCCATCACCATCATCATAGTCGCTGGATGACAAGAATAGATCAAAGTCGTTTATGAAATGTGTTTCCCTGTTTCGGTGTGACGCTATGAGAACCCTACTAGATCGCCTAGCAGAAGCGCCTGGTACTTCTCAATGGCCTCGCCCAGCTTGATGAGCACGCCGGCAGCCAGCATCTTGACGTGGTTCTCCTCCCCGCCGTCGTCGCCGCCCCTCGTCCTCTCGAACACGCCGCTGACCCACTCCCGCGTCTCGACCACCTCCCTGCCCTGCTCCGCGCATATCCTCCGCATGTCGCCGTCGTTGACCTCGAGGAGCACCGCCATGGCGACGAACCAGCCCTTGAGGGCGGCGACGTCGCCCACGACGTGGACGCGCACGCGCAGGAGCAGGTCCCACAGCTCGGACGTGAGCTGCGGCAGGGCCAGCGTCGACGGGCCGGCCGCGTTGACGACGATGCCGAGAGTCTGCAGGTAGAGGGACAGGAGAGCTGGGTTCAGGACGACGGGCCGGGAGGAGCGCAGGGCGAGCTGGAAGTGCGCTGTGAGCGGGAAGAAGAAGGATGCCGCGAGTAGCGCGGCCGTGGTGTTGGGGATGGCGCGGACGCGGGGCTTTGCTTTCGCCTTGGACTTGTACCGCGCCGTAAACGTTTGCAGTTTAAGTACGTCGGGGCCGGTCGTGGCATCCGCGGCTTCTGCGGCTAGAGGCGCGAGAAACGAAGACGTCACGGACTGGGCTATGCCGTCGAGGGCGTTTGCGGGTAGAGCCTTGAGCTGAGAGGCAGGTAGCTGGCTAGGCTGCTGAGCAGGATCAATGTAGAGCTGTTCAATCTTTCCCGGGAGCCTCTTGGAGGGAAACGATGCAGCCGCCTGATACTGGGAGATGTCGTAGCCTGCGAGCTCTCGGGCGGACAGCCCAATCGTGACGAGGATAGACGTTCTTTGGGCTAGGGAGTAGTCCCCTTCAAAGAAGGTGCGTGCAAACCAAAGGGCCATTGACTTTGGCTGGGACACCACGAGAGCAATCATCCCCTGCTGCCTCTTCTCGGCGAAGTCTTCAATGTCGAACTTGTCTTGGAGGCCCACCAACAGCCCAGCAAGCTCGTCGGCATGGGAGCTGACCTCAGTGCCGTAGTTCGCCTTTCGCCGTATCAGAACAGGCGCTGTCTGGAGGGCCAGCTTCTGCTTGTCGTAGTTCTCGGAGTCACGGAGGTAGCTAATGAGGTCGCGGATGTAGACCGGCGCCTTTACCTTGTTGCGCTGGACGAGGGTGGCATCATCGTCCGAGTCCTCGGGATCCGACCCTTTGGCGTAGGGTTTCAGATCCTCCTCCTCGCTGTCATCTGACGAGTCGATTTCCTCGATTATGGCCTTGGGGGCTGGTGCTGAAACGGCCGCCTTCGGTTTTGGTTTTCGCGCTTTCGACGTGGACGCGACCTTCGTTGGCGGTTTGGGCTGTGATGCGGGTGGGGATGAAGAGAGGAGGGAATCAAACGGCCCAACCGAGTCGGAAATACTGCTCAGTCCCTTGAACCAGTCTGCCTCGCCGGTCTCCATCTCCTCCATGTGAAAGTCAAGTTTCTTGGCCTTGTCGTCGATCAGCCCTGAGAGAGACTCGCCTACTGCCATACCCAAGAAGCGAGCCCTGGCGTGTGTTGCGGCTATGCGATTCGATATCGCGGACAAATAAGTGCCAGACCGTAGAAGCATCCTCAGTTTGATAGGGGATAGCCTGGCGACGTAGCCGGCGCTGAGCAGTAGTACCTGAGTGTGGGCTTCACACGGAATTAGCTTTTGGCGGAGTTCTCGGTCTTCAGGCGTATGTTTGGCTTACCTTCTTGCTGCAGGATGGCGGCGTGCTTGATGTACAGCTGGTCGCCAAACTGCGCTAGGCTCTTTTCCAAGACTGTTGTGATAGTCCCCTTGTCTTTAGCCAGAACGGCGAGCACGGCACGGCGGATGCCGATTTGGTCGCCTAGCCCAGCCCCTGAGGCGGCAGTACACCAGTCCACCAACGTTGTCCGATGGGCAGCATCGTCAGCCACAACGGCATTGATAACACCAGCAACAGCAGAGACGACACTGTTCGAGCTCGTGTCATCTAGGACGAGGCTGTTCAGAAACCGTTGTGACAGATGCTCAAGCAGAATCTTCATCATCTTCTTGGCCACCTGAGGCTGGTGAAGACAGACGGCGGAGAAAGCTTCCGGCCGTCCATCCTTAGAGAGCAACAGCTCATCGATTATCGTCTTGGCCACCGTGCCTAACAGGATTAATAAAGTGGTCATCTTCACCAGTTGTGCCCGCTGTGTTACCTACCAGTGTAACCCAGCGACAAGGATCGCTGAACAAGGTCGGCACAGAATGTAGTCTCCGCGTCTCGTGGCTCCCGCCTTGTCCATGATGCAACATTGAGACTGATCCATTTGCTAAATTCGATGCCGTCGGTGATCCATCGTGAAGCGGCTGGAATCTCATCTGTGCCGACGACAGCAGCTGCCTCGGCGGCAGTGGACAGTATGCGGCCGCTGCTGATTACCGACAGTAGTTGCTGAGACTGAATCTTGCGTTGCGCGGCCTCGGTGAGCCTGGCGGTGGAGGCGGTCCATATCGCCCGAATGGTGTGTTCGCCCTTCAATAGCCCATTGAGAAGATCCAGGAACAACGTCAGGTGGAGCTGGAGATCAGGTCGTTTGGGGCCCTTTCCTACGGTCCGAGACTCCCGTATCATGGTTTTGAGGTGCGTGACGACGGCGTTGAGACCTGTGACGCTCCGCAGACACCGCAGCGCCAGCTCGGCATCGTCGGGGTTGGCGGAAGTTGGCCCGGTGCCATACTCAGTCGACTCTTCTTGCAGGAGCGCCCAGTAGTTTGGTATAATCTCCGTGACCAGAACATGGACAATGGCAGCACTTTTTGGACTCGGGGTTTGCAGGTGAAAGGCTGCTGGTGAGGACGGCTCGGCCGTCAGGTAGCGCAGGACTGCAATCAGCGTATCGTAGCCTGGCTGGTTCTTGAGAATCTCCAGGGCATCGTCGGGAGAGGAAACGTCTGAGATGGTAGTAGCCTCTTTGACCTGTCGTGTCGGCTTCACCTCTGTGAGAAGCGGCTCGCTGTCGCGTGTCGCCCTGCGGTAGGTGGTGCTGACGGGGGTGAGCAGGCCGTCCATGATTCTACCTGTCCGGCGCCTGAGGCCTGGCGAACGGTCGACGCGACAGCTGAATCATGTAGACTAGATTAATGGAAGTTTTTGTTTTTCGCTGCAATTTTCTTCCAGTCGCGTTGGATGCTGCCGGGGATGAGAAGAGTTGAGGAGGCGTGGGCGTCGCGGTGGACGCTGGAGGTCAAGTCAAGCTACCCCACCCTCACCGCAGCACACCGAAACCAGCTGCGACCCTACCTCAGCAGGCTGCCAGTACAGCGAACAGGCACCTGCTCCCGTCCCTGCCAGACACGCCCACTCCTCTCGTCCCACCCGACCTCATCTCATCCACGCCGCACGCAACACACGCTCCCGCCGTCTCGCCCGAGCATGAGCGTCGACACACAAGAGCCCGTCGGCGCTGCCGCGGGCCGCGAGGAAGCACGATGGTGAGCCCTCACAGCGTTCCCCTCCAGCCCGCCGTTTGCGCGCGCCCCTGCGTCGGGACAGTCTGTTGACCACATGCCTCAGGAAATATCTCAACCAGATTCGCAGAAACGCCGGCCCGTTCACCGATCCGGAAGCTACCTCGGAGGAGTTTCTGGCGCAGTTTGAAAAGTTCAAAGTCTTGTGAGTGCGAGGCCGACCTGGCGGCTGTGATCACTCTCAGCCCCCCCGCTGACTGACTGGCTGGCTGACCTTACACAGGGTAATGTCGGTGACATCGGACATCCAAAGCAAGCGTCTGAGATTGTGTCTGCTGACATCTGGATCAGCGGTGCGGGAGGGCTGGGCTGCGAGATACTCAAGAATCTGGCCATGTCGTACTTCAAGGACATTCACGTCATTGACATGGGTGCGCCTCCGACCCTCTCGACGCTCTCTCATGTTCAGGCAACTAACCGCCCCTCACTCAGACACCATTGATATTTCCAATCTGAACCGGCAGTTCCTGTTCCGGAGCACAGACGTCGGCAAGTACAAGGCCGAGGTCGCCGCCAAGTTCGTCGAGAAGCGCGTCCGGGGCGTGTCCATCACGCCGCACAACAACCGGATACAGGACTTTGACGAGTCCTTCTACAAGCAGTTCCAGCTCGTCATCTGCGGGCTCGACAGCATCGAGGCGCGCCGCTGGATCAACGCCATGCTCGTGTCCATTGCCGAGGAGGCCGAGGACCCGGACGGCATCAAGCCCCTCATCGACGGCGGCACCGAGGGCTTCAAGGGCCAGGCCCGCGTCGTCTTCCCGTCCATGACCTCGTGCATCGAGTGCCAGCTCGACATGCACGCCCCGCGCGCGGCTGTCCCGCTGTGCACCATCGCTTCCATACCCAGGCAGCCCGAGCACTGCATTGAGTGGGCACACGTCATCGCGTGGGACCAGGAGAAGCCCTTCCCGACGCTCGACAAGGACGACCCCGAGCACGTCACATGGCTCTACCAAAAGGCCCTCGCCCGCGCCAAGGAGTTTGACATTCCCGGCGTCACATACTCGCTCACACAGGGCACCATCAAGAACATCATCCCGGCCATTGCTTCTACGAACGCCATCATTGCCGCCGCCTGCTGCAACGAGGCGTTCAAGATCGCCACAACATCAGCCCCGTGCCTGGGCTTCGAGAACAATTACATGATGTACTCGGGAAATGACAGCATTTACACTTATACGTTCAAGCACGAGAAGAAGGATGACTGCCCTGTGTGCGGCCGTCAGGCACGGCCACTCGACGTGGACCCCGGCTCGACGCTCCAGGACCTGCTCGACTCGCTGGCGCTCCGCCCCGAGGCGCAGCTGAAGAAGCCCTCGATCCGCGCCGAGAGCAAGACGCTATACATGCGTTTCCCGCCCAGCCTGGAAGAGCAGACGAGGGCGAATCTCGACAAGACCATTACGGAGCTCGGGTTGGAGGATGGCCAGCAGGTTGTCGTCACCGACCCGGCGTTCCCGCTGGAGTTTAACTTTTTCCTCAACTTCAAAATGGACGCGCAGGCTTAGTCCAACACAGTGTGGCTTCTGCTGTGCTTGATCTTGCATTTTCTGGCGTTGGAGATATGATGAACGGGATGACAATCGAATTAGGTGCAGCCTAGCACGCAACGCAGTACATACATCAAATGTGCGAGATGTATCAGCCGTGGTATCATCTTTTGTCTACCCGTGAGAAAATCCAACGCATTGAAAGCGTTGACAGAAAAAACAGCAAATGCCAGCAGCTAGCTAACCACGCAAGCAACCTTTTTTGTATGTACAAACCCGCAACACCAGAGGCAGCCCATTTGAGAGAAAAAGTCTTCCGTGTCCTGTCGGATCCGGGTCCCGAGTCCGACATCACCTCGCCATGTTGATGACCTGCTGCTCCAGCTTCTTACACTTGAGCTTGAGGTGCTTGACCGACTCGAGGAACAGCTCGTCGCTGTCCCACTGCCCCGAGCTCTCGATGGAGAAGATGAAGTGGTCCCGCCTCCGGCCCAGCTTGACCTTGCCCTCGAACTCGGGATGCCGCAGGCACTCCCTGCTGACCGTGTCCTTCATGGCGTCGCGCACGACGGCCTTGACCTCGCCGGCGTGGCCCTCGTAGCCGCTGCCCCGCTGGGCCGCCTCCTTCTTGCTCACGGGCTCGAGGCCGATGACGCCCTCGGGGAAGCAGCGCGCAAACTTCTCCGCGTCGGGGCCCACGATGGGCTTGAGGATCTTGATGGTCGGCATGAGGCGGTACGAGGCGGTCGCCACGGGGGAGAACTTGGCGTGGTCGGCGCCGATGCCCTTGTGCATGTGCATGGACAGGTTGATGGTCTGGCGCGGGCGCATCTTGGCGATGAGGATGTCCGGGTTGACGGGGCGGATGGCGTCCTCGCCGCTAAAGTACTCGACCTGCTTGCCCGTGGGCACGAAGACGATGTCGCGCGCGTAGACGTGGGCGTTGTGGTACGCCTTGGTCGGGTCCGTCTCGTCGGCCGCGGCCTCCTTGTTGACGGTGCACGTCACGTTGAGCTCGAGGCGCACCGTGTTCCAGTCGAAGCACGTGGCGTAGGGGTCCTCGCCGGGCTCGGGCTTCTTGTGCCACTTGAGGAAGTTTTGCAGGCCGTCGCGGCCGCCGTTGAAGGGGATGAGGCCCAGGCGGTGGGCCAGCACCTCGTCCTGGATCACCGACGTGTTGTTCTCGATGTAGACGTTCTCGATGGCCAGGGTCGGGATCTCGGCGATGAGGATGCGCCGGAAGGCGTTGGCGAGGGAGGCGTCGAGGCCGACGAGCGAAAAGGCCGCGAGGTTGGCCTCGTTCTGGTGGAAGCGCACCGAGAAGCCGGATCGGAAGCGGTCAATTGTGAAGGCCAGGTCCTCGCCCGGGTGGTGGCCCGGGTAGTCTGTCGACGTCACGTTGGTGACGGTTTCGAGGTTGATGCCAACCGTCTGCACGCAACAGAAACAACACACAGAGGTCAGCCTTCTTGATCGCCCTCTTGGGTCACCCTTCCGCCGCCGCCGCCGCCGTCCCGCGAAGCATCATCGACGCGCGCCGGCAACAGACTCTGGGGGCACACTCACATTTCGGCGATCGATCTCCTCTGCGCTCGGCGCGCTCCGCCATGCGGCCTGCTGAGCGGGAGCCATCTCGAGGGGGGGAGGGGCCGGGGGAGCGAACAGCCTGCTGCAATGTGGTGGTGGTTTGGCTTGAAGTTGGGGAAATTTTTTGGGATGCCCCTCCACGCGCTGCGATAAGATGGAATGGGTTTGACGGAAGCGCAGAAGCAGACCTTCAAAAAGTTTGGAGATGACCAGGACTGGACCCTCCCAAATTCGGCGCCCCGCCCCACCCGAACGCCCGGCGCCGCACTCGACCCGCTAAGCCTGCTGTGCCTTAGCGCCCATGCCGCCCGACGGAGCTCCACTACCGGCACCTGTCGCCCGGGCCGTCGACCGCCATGAATGGAACATCCATCACTAAGATCATCACGTCTCGGTCGCGACTCTGGGACAAGTAGCGCACACTTATCGTCTGCGTATACATGTCCCAAGAGGAGTTCGCATGGCAAAGGCTTCTTCCGTGATCAAGTGGTACTACATTTGCGCTATACAACACCTAATCATGCCGTCGCGGCTTGTCTGCGACGCCGCGAGTGTTCCTCCCATACCCACCCATCCGGATCCCGTGTAAAATGTAGGCCCGCAGGCTTCGCCTATTCAATATCCTCCATGTTCCAAACACTGACACCCTTCTTCTCCACGCTCTCCTTGAACTTGCCAAGTACTGCCTGACGCCTGGCCTTCTTCGCCATCAACTCTCCCTTCTCCTCCAGGCTGAACCCGCTCACCTTTCGCCGGGGTGGCGTCGCCCGAGCCGTCGCGCCAAGGGACATGCCGCTTCCAGAGAAGCTTTGTCGCAGGTTGCGGGACGGCGTTGAGTCTGGAGACAGCATGATGCTCCTCCTGGGCTGCGGTGTCACCATCGGTGATCCTTCGCGACTCGTTGACCCAAGGCGCATCTTGCGCAGCTGCGTCTCCAGAACGTCGATATCGCCGCTGCGTTTTTCTGCCAATGCCGTCATCCGGTTGATGGTTCTCATGACAGCTTCCACCGTCGGTACATTGGCGCCTCCACGACCAGCTGAGCTTGAGGCTGATGCAATCCTCGTCTTCAATAGCGTCAATGCCTCTTCGGCTTGGTTGAGGAGCTTCGTGAAGTTGGCAAATTCGCGTCTCAGGTCGTTCTGTTGCGTAGCTTGCTCCGCGCTCAGGGGAAGCGTCTTGGCAAGCTCGACCTGGTCCGGATCCAATCGTGCCATGATGACCCTCTTGAGGTCCTCTTGCTTGGCCCGGAGCCTTTGCATGTCGCGCGCCAGATCTTGACAGGCATCCAGCTTGTCGTCGCGGTCGAGGTCCTGCACGCGGCCGTCTTCGAGCTCGTTGTGAAGCTCCATATCCAATACTTCGCCCAGCTCCGACACCTCGCACAGCACCCAATCGTCAGGGTCCTCCAGGTCGTCCTTGGATCGACCGCCTTCCTTGCGGTTCTCCGTGTGACCCTTGGTGAAAGCTTTGACAGCGCGAGCGTTGAGCCCCAGTGTATCAATCATGGAGTTGATGTCGCGATACACAGCCTCTACTTGAGATGGGATGCTATCCTTGGCTGGTGGCGCCACGTTCGAGTGCGCAATGAACTCGTCGAGGTCCAACTTGCCCTCGACTTCCGAAGCAAGGACTTTTTGCATCTCGTCGTCTTCCTCGTCAACCAACGGCTGCGTCTCCTCGGCTTCTTGCTTCTCCTTCAGCTTTCGATGCTGAATGAGGAACTGGTCTTCGGCATTTGCCAGTCTCTCTCGGCTGATGATCGAAGCCCCAAGCTGTGACTCTGCCGGCTTCTTCGGCCCGAGTATCTGGGATGCCATTCCAGGGGCACTGACTGATCGGGTAGAATCAGATCTCATCACCCGCTGTGGCACCGCGCCACGAACGGGGCTTGGCGACCGAGGGCTTGCAGCGCTCGGCCGGGGGAACATTGGCGCATTGCGACTGATTTCGCCGAACAACGGCTTTGGACGCTCTTGGTCCGCCCTTCCCGTAGCAGGCGGCTGGCCGCCCAAGCCTCCGAACGAACTCTGAGGCGTGAATCCGGGCGTTGGCGAAAGGCCGCTGGTCGTAGGGCTAAGGTCCTTTGCGACGTCCACACCACTGCCCTCCGAGGCATTGTCTTCACCCAAGTCACTCTCATCGCCTTCCTCCTCGGGAACCGACGGGATTGCGGACGCCTCCTTCGACGGTGCGCTGGGCAAAACAAAATCAGGGGGTAAAGGCGCGTCATCCGCAGCGGCAGGCTTCGAGGGCTTGGCAAAGTCGGGAGGCAGGGGTGCGTCATCCACTTCCTTTGGTATGGCAACTGGTTGGGTAGCCTTGGTAAAGTCCGGTGGCAAGGGCGCGTCTGTCGGGAGCTTGCCAGCTTTGGGCGTGGCGGCGGTAAAGTCTGGAGGCAGCGGCGCATCATCCACCTTGGGTGGCGTCGTTGATTCGAACGACTTGTTGGCCGTATTCGAAGCCGCTGAAGAGGATGAGGACTCTCCGAGAGGGTACGCCGCCTTGCTAGTGGTATCCGGGGGAAGAGGCTCATCCTCCTCAATCTTGATCTTGGGCGTCTCCGGCTCGGCAGGGGGCTTCGATGCACTCTGAGAGAAGAAGCCAGAGAAGCCAGTGCTTTGGCTTCCCAACTTGGTTGGCTGGCCAAAGAGAGATGTGCCGGGAGCCTGGGCCGGCGACGACGCAAACCCAAATCTTCCTGGGGCCGGAGTGGTTTTCGGTGTGGTCGACTCTTCAGTTGACTGCGGAGAGAAGAGGGACTTTGGTGGTTCGGCCTGCGGCGTCTGTTCCGTCTGTTCCGCGTCCATGTCCTCGTCCTTGGCCGGGGGTGTGGTTGATCGAGGCTGGCTGTTCGCATCGTTAAGGGCCGAACCAAACGCATTGCCAAACAGCGAGGTCCCTGATGGCGCGGAGGGTTTCTCGTTGCTCTCGCTCTGGGACGGATCCGCCTTGAATGACGACTCCAGCTTAAAGGGTGTCGAGCCGAAGAGGCCGCCGGTCGGCTTGGTATCCTTGGCGGGGAAAGCAGTATCCGCATTCGCAGAGCTGGTTGCGAAAGGGTTGACAGTGGGCTTCTTCTCGCCGCCGAAGATGCTTGAGCCGGCGCCGCCCTCGCCCACAGATGCGAAGCCTGACTGCTTAGCGAAGCTGGAGAAGCCACCTCCCGAGGGCATGGCCGTGGCTGTGCTTCCAAAGGGGCTCTGGTTATTACCGCCCTTAGCGAAACCCGAAAAGCCGCCTTGCGAGTTACCCCATGGCGATGTCCTCATGCCGACCTGCGACGCCTGGCCAAAGCCCACGGCGCTAGGTTTGCCAAATGCTGGGGCGGCCGACGGTGTACTCCCGAAAGAACTGGAACCAAATGTTGCGCCGCCAGTGCTGGATGGCGTCTTGGCGGCCGAAGCCCCCCACGGCGACGTGCTCTGCCCAAGCTGAGATGATGCACCGAACGCTGGCACCGCAGGTGTGGCAGACGCCCCAAATGCTGAGCCGCCAGCGCTACCGAATGCGCCAGCCGAGGCTGCGGGTGCCGACTGCTTCGGCGTAGCGGCAGCAGGTGCACCTTCGAGGGCGGCGAAGCCAGAGTAGGTTGTCCCCTTTTTTATGGAATCCGTGTACACCACCCACCAGGAGCAAAGAACACCTTCGTGGGTCAGAACCCATAGTCCTGGAAGAGGGCCTGGAGACTCCTCAAGCTCCTCATCCGCCGGGATAGGTTTGTAAACCTTGTCCTTGCTAGAAAGATCAATGGCGAACCCGACAGGCGTAGAGTCGTCCATGGATTCTGTCATAGGTAGCGTGGGTCGCTTGGTATCGTCTAGCAGCTCCGTTGTGGTGAAAACGCCAGTAATTGATTCTGCTGGCTTGTCCGTTGCTAAAGGCGCCTTGGATCGGCTTAGCAAGCCAATCTCTGTGGATGCTGTGGACGATACGATAAGGAGGTCCTGGAGATCCGGCTCGAAATCCTTCAACCGAAGGATGGAATGGTGGGGCATCTTGTCGGAGCCGAACGGGTCGACGGGGTCAGCAAGCTTCTGGAAGGCGAAAGCTGCCGGCGGCTGCCTGGTGATAATGTGGTACACCGAGGACGCTGGGGTTACGTTGGTGGCCGTATGGATGGCGAGGAACAGGTTGTTTTCCAACCATGTTAAAGACGAGACTGGAGCAAGTTAGGGATCAAGAAAGCCAAGTGAGTGGAATTCTGCATACCATGGCAAGCGATGTCCAGGCTAGGGGGCTTCGGGATCTCTGCCTTGGCCTCGCCTGTTGGCATCATTTGGTGGATCGTGCCGTCCGACAAGCCAGCGCAAAGCTGCTTGCCTTTCGTGCTCCAGCTCACGCAGCTGACCTGCATCTTGAGGGTGCCGCTCAGCCGCCTTTCATTGAGATCGGCCATGTGCAAGGAGCCGTTGCTCGTCACGATGGCGCACAGCTCGGCCTTGTCAGTCGTCGGATTGGGGACCAGAGATCGCAGTGATTCGCCATTCGTCGATAGCTCGAACGCAGTGCTCGTCGAGCCTTGCAGAAGGCTTTGCACCTCGTATACAGCAAGCCCGCCACCCGACTCAGCTGAGAGGATCAGGTATTTTTCGTCGGCAGTGAAGGCGACTTGCGCGATGCGCATCGACATGGGAACTCGAAGCTGCGGCTCGAAGCCGCGCACGTTGGAATCGCCTTCTTTCGGAGACTCGAACGCCTTACGGACGGACTCGGTCGAGGCTATGACTAGCTGATCGGGGCCAGCGGCCGCGACGAGGCCCTTACGCGACGCGATGCTGAGGAGAGACGAGGTTGGGGCCGGAAGGGCGGACGACCACGAGTTGGTCAGGCGGACCGTGGCGTCGCTGGCGACCGACAGAAACCCAAGGGCCTATACAACAGTCAGAACAAGCTTCCACGAAGCCGAATGGGCAAGAAGACGCGAGCATACTTCGGTCTGAATCGTTTCCAGATCGGGGCCCATGTTTGCGCCTCCGGCACCTCCACCTCCACCCACGGGATTCCCCGCGTTCGAGGAGAAGCCGAAGGCCATGTTTGCGGCGAGGAAGATCAGAGCCCCGGAGAGTGCTCGAGATATTATGAAGAGGTTTGCCGCATCGGTGGGTAGGTCTGCGTAAGGGAGCGACAGTTTTGATATTTTGGCGTCGCAGATCGTGAGAATCTGCTGCAAATCGGGAGAGAGGTTGCTCGGGGGGGGAATCAAAGGCGGCGCCCTTTGATTAGGAAGAGAAAAACAGGAAGAAAAAAAACACAACGGATAATTTCAGCAAGACACGGACGGGCCGCAGGACGCGTCGAGTGTCACTAATTGTCGGTTTTTGAGGGCGAAAAAGGGCGAGTCAGAGCGGCGTCGGCATTGTAGCCTTGGGGAGCAGGCAGTCAGTACCAATGGTGATGTCGCGACGAGCCTGCCCCAGCAACTTTTTGGAGCTCTTCCCTGCTCTGGAACGTCACGTGCGCCCGGAGCTGGTGGCCACCTCAGGCTCCTGCGGGTACGTACCGCCGCCTCAGCTTCAGCGCGGGCCTGGTGGTTGGTCGCAATCGCCCAGGCAAGCAGCCGCCTGCGCCAGCTCCCTACCGTTCCCAGGCAGGCCAATCACGCAGGGACCTCCACTGCTGGCTGGGGAGCTTCCGCGCCCGTGTTTCTGGAGGCAGCTTTGAGCCTCGTCATCCGCAGCTCTGCCTTCGCATCCTCACACGCAGCCCTCAACGCCCCCCCTCCCCATCGCCGACGACCGAATTCGCGACTGCAGCAATCGACCTCTCCGCACTCGTCCCGCAAACACTCACCCAGTGAATCGTCAACCTCGTGGGACCGAGAAACCGACCCCGCGACGTTCCGTCAGCTGGATTGCAGCGACCGCCCACCATGCCGGGCTTCGACTTCTCCAACTACAACCGCAACGCGGCCCTGCACGCGAGGGGCGTGCCGCTACCCAAGGCCACCAGCACGGGCACGACGATTGTTGGCTGCATATTCGATGGCGGCGTAGTGGTATGATGAACATCCAACCGTTCCCCTTCCGCCCTCGTCCGTTCGACTACAACCGGTCAACGGACCCGTTATATCCCCTGTCTAACGAGGCTGTCCACAAACAGATCGCGGCCGATACCCGCGCCACGTCGGGCCCCATCGTCGCCGACAAGAACTGCGAGAAGTTGCACTACATCTCCCCTCAAATCTGGTGCGCGGGCGCCGGCACCGCCGCCGACACGGAGTTCACCACGGCGCTCATCTCGTCGCAGCTCGAGCTGCACTCCATGTCGACCGGCCGCCAGCCCCGCGTTGTCACCTGCATGACGCTCCTCAAGCAGCATCTCTTCCGCTACCAGGGCTACATCGGCGCCTACCTCGTAGTCGCCGGCTGCGACCCGACCGGCACCCACCTCTTCACCGTGCACGCCCACGGCTCGACCGACAAGCTCCCTTACGTCACGATGGGCAGCGGTAGTCTCGCGGCGATGAGCGTCTTCGAGACGCAGTGGAAGGCCAACCTCACGCAGGATGAGGCCGTCAAGCTCGCCAGCGACGCCATTCTGGCCGGTATCTTCAACGACCTGGGCTCTGGCTCCAACGTCGACGTGGCCATCATCACAAAGGACAAGACGACGCTGAAGCGAAACTACATCAAGCCCAACGAGAAGAGCGCCAAGCTGCAGAGCTACGCCTTCCCCAAGGGCACCACCGCTGTGCTCAACGAGAAGATTATCCAGAAGAACGACATTGGGCGGTATGTCAGCGTTCACGAGGTGCCGCTCGAGGGCGATACAATGGAGGTGGACAGCTAAGCGGGAGGCTTCGTGTACGGATAGGAGCATCCGAGGGGGCTGGAGGGCAATGTATCAACACACAGCAACTGCGCTTCGGGTTTACTAGAAATGGAAGCGTTCATCTGACTACGCAAGGCGACAGTCAATGCCATGGTGCGGCAAGATTTGCGCAAATATCGGTGAATATGTGCGTGCTCCCGGACGCCTAGTCTAGCCTAAACTCGGGCCTCTCGAAACCTCCTGGAAATATGAGGAACAAAGTTACACGCAACCACCGGCGGAGAAGCCGGGCCAAGAAAGTCCATACACGAAGAATTGAACATGTCGCAAGCCCTGTTACACCGTACAGGGCGAAGAAGAGAACAAAGAAACAGAAAAGCTGGCGGAAAGCTCGCCGCCAAGAACCCAAATGACTCTCGCCCAGTCAACGGGCGCCTCCCATGCGCACCTCACGACGCCGTCGTATTCGTTTGTAGTATGTTGTCGATTGACAAACTGCCCCGCTCTCAAGATGCAAATTATCCCCAGTTTGTGTGTGTGTGTGTGTGTGTGTGTGTGTGTGTGTGATGCAAGAATCCCAAACTCCAGCGTAGATGGGTATGATGGTAGAGGTCATGATCGTGAAAGATGGTGTGTCAGGGGCCGCAAGCCTCATTTCAGACCAAACATTGTCCGTGTGCGTGACTTGCTTCTGGCCTTCTTCTTGGCTTTGTCTTTGGCGCCATCGTCGTTGTACTTTGACTTGTGAATCCTAGAAGCACTGCATTAGCGTGACGTACGCGACGAAGAGTGGAAATTGAACGTACCAGCTGTTGCCGACCATGCTCATGCCTTTGGCTTCAGCCAGTCGGTAGAACTTGGCACTCTTCTTGAGATCCTTCTTGCACCCAATTCCCTGTGCGTAGCAGAAGCCTGCTTCCGCGAGGGCGTCGACGTCACCCCAATCTGAACGTGGTTAGTTTAGTTGCCACCGCGTATGACGATTAACGTGGTCAACTTACTGCCAGCGATTTCAAAGCATCGCAGCGCAAGCACCTTGTCTTGCTCGATGCCCCAGCCATTCATATGGCTGACGCCAAGCTCATATATGCTCAGCGCAAACTGCGCCTTACGGGCCTTGGTCTCGAGGAAGTTGGCCGGCCTCCCTTCCTTGGCCCGATCTTCGTCGTCTGCGATTTCGATTTGGGCGTGCTCAGCAGCCTTTCGCAACCACTGGACACCCTCTCTTTGATTTGCTCGCATGCCCCAGCCGTGTCGGCACGCCAGGGCATAAAGAAGCATGGCAGTGGGGTTGTTCTGCTTGGCGGCATGCCGGAGGTGATAGGTTGATTCGTTCAACGAGCCATTCTCGTGGCATTCAATGCCCTTGGCCAAGTGCTCCTCTGCAGTCATCGTAGACGCCGAGGGGGCAAGCGAGCGAACGGTCGGGGAGGGTCGTATCGTACTGGCTGAATCGCTGGTACCGGCCGATGCCGGCGTTTGCCCTCGTGTTGCGGCATCGTGCGGAGGTGAAGTGCGAGTTCGCCCTCGAGGCGCGTCTTCAGAGGGACGACCGGCGTCAGCAGATGGCCTGCTGCTGCTTGAAGATGTCTGGGCCGTGAGGCCGAGTCTGGAACTCTCCAAGCTCCTTTTCCCCGTATCCATGGACGGCCTCGTGATGCCGCTCATCATGCTCACAGCGTCGTCAGGCACAGTCCTTGCCGAGGAGCTCGACGGCCGCGTCGGCGGCGACGGTGGCGCCCCTAGAGGATGTCTGTGCACGTTGCTGGAAGGCACAGCTGGCGGCTCCCATTGGAAATTTGCTGTAGGCTGGCCTTCAGATGGCTCAGAGCGTTGTATCACCTTGCCCCTTGGGAGGGAAAACTTGGAATAGATATACGACGGAGCGGCACCTGTGCCGTCATCAATCTGCTGGTCCATGAAAGCCTCGCTGTGCATGCTGACAGGGGTGTGGGCGGAGTCGTCTGCGAGTACAAAAGAGGGTTGACTATCCGATGACGCCTGTCTAGTCGGCATGTCGAGGCCCGGGGTTCCAGCTCGGCTAAGAGGGCGAGAGAAGTTAAAAGATGGTCGTGGGAGGGCTGAGGAATCGGACGCCACCGACGGTGACCGGTGAAAGGAGCTGATCGCGGGCGATGGGTTCGCATTGGCAAAGGCGGCACTGCCAGAGGACAGCTTTCGCGCTGGCAGTGAGTGAAACGATCCAGCCATGTTACTCGATGTCTCGTCATCCCCAGTCGGAGGGGATGACATGATGCTCGACGACCGCTTTGGGAACAGGTTACGCGGCGGTGCGAGGCCCAACTCATCGAAGCTGTCTTGCCGGGACTTGTCTGGTGAATCAGTCGTGGACACGTTGTGCTGTGACGTCGGCAGTGCCAGTGACTCCCGCTTGCGCGCGGGCGATTTCTCTAGGTGTGAGTGCGTGTCACTCTGGAGGGGCGACGGTGAACGATCGCGTCGTGCCCCAAAGAGATCCTGGTCCTCGTCAACCGTATTCAGCATACGGCCTCGCGAGAGGTCCCTGGCGTGGTCCGGCAACAATGGGACAGGGACCGAATCGTCAGGCGTCGGCGGAATCTGACTCATTCGCGGATGCATCGACCTGGGCCGCTCCTCGGGCGTGAAGGCTTCCTCGACTGCCGTCCTCAGGCCGAGCCCCGAATTATCTAGCTCCGGAGACTCGTCTGCATCTGACGGCTCGTACGACATGGAGCGAAAATAATCGGAGCGGCCCTGTTGAATCAAAGGGCTTTCGACCGTCAAGGGCGGTAGCCGGCTAACCCTGTTGCCATCTCTGTTGCTCTCCTGGAGCTGCCTGGCCAGCAGTCGGCTCTGAAGGGCGAATGCATCCAGGGGCGACAGTTCCGGCGGCGCCTCACCGGCGACGTGCATACGTGGGGAGCGCAGTGGCTTGGACGAGGTCGACGTCCCAGAATGATTCGAGTTGGCTCGCAGGTCGAGCAAGCTCGGGCGGTTGGCCATGGTCGTATTCGTCTGGCACCGCTTGCCCGGCGCAGCTCGATACCATACAGGATGGGGCTCAAGTCTTCGGGACTAGACGCAGTTTCGCAAAGGGAATGGGCGGCACGGGATCGGAATCTGGTAATGTGTCCAGCCGTTTCGCTCGCCAGCCCGGGCTCCTCAAGACAGCCGGTGACGGAGGAGGGTCTGGGGCAGAACCAAGCGGCTTCGACGACCGATATGCGCCTGGTCCAGTACAGGCTCGCGTGTGAATGGCCACTGACGTAGGTCGCTCAGGTATTGATGCGCTGATAATGAGAGATTCCGTCTGTCGCATGGGCACGCGACGGCCAGGGCATCGATGGACGGCGAGAAACGGCGGCAGCAGGCACGTGTGTGGTTTTGACGGACGACGCAAGATGCCCTCTGACTCGGCTTTGTGGTTGCGAGCGGCGAGGGAGACGTTTGACAGCGACGGTTTGGGCGTTGCGAGCAGGCGGTAGTAGCAGTTCGCCAAGCAGTGGGGGCGGTCGGGCGCAATGAGGCCCGTTGTTGGCGTTGGTGTAGGGGGCGGACGTTGGTGTTGGTGAGTCGCGGGGGACTGAAAGGGCGCGCGGCCGTTGGTCTGAAGAAGGAGCGTGAGTCGCCGGCTGGAGTCGATGGTCCTGGCTTTGGCCGTCGGGTCGGAATGCTGTCGCTGTTGCTGTTGCCGTGGTTTGCGCGCAGCGCTGGGTGCTGTTGCGAGGGCGAGAAGGAGGTGAAGGAGCGTGGACGACGGGGACAGGGAGAAAGGGGACAGGGCGCAGGGCCTCTGCGGTTGGTGGAGGCGGACGAGGTAGTGGGTGGTGGTGGTGCTTGTGGTGGTGGTGGTGGTGGCAGGTACTTGCCCCAGTGGCAGTGGCAGTGACAGTGGTATTGGTGGACTCGACGGGGCCTTGGTGGTGGACAAGGTGGGCGGGATAATACGAGGCGGCTTGCCCCTGGCAGTGCTAAAACGGCGCCCGAGATGGATGAATGACGACTCCAGCTCCCCCCGGCTGCACCTCAGGTTGGTGGGAGGGAGGCGCCACCCGCTGCGCTCGCCGATGTTGCCAGTGCCACCCGGCTGAACCTTGCTGCCCGCAGCGGACGGATATCCAAGTTCCATGACAGTCGCGCTCCCCGGGCGACTGAGGCGCTGGGCGAACTTGGCCGCCCTGGGCTCCAAAGGTTCCGTCCTCCTCGGCCGCATCTAATATCTACGCACGCAACTACAAACGAGCACCCCTTACGCGTCGAGGGCTCAGTGCACCACCACATGCATGCCCACGCCTGTTGCTGCCTCGGGCGCGCGCGCGCAATGCACACCCGGGACCTCACAGGCATGTTCGCCCGGGAGGCCCAGGATGCCAGAGATGCCAGGGTACCCGGCCGTTAGAAACTGCCACAGCGGGCCGCCATGACAATCATCATCATCCGGCGGGCTCCTCAACCCACAAGCCGCGGGGGAACCGAAAATGCTGCAATCACAGAGGCGAGATGCGTCGCTCTCGGCTGTCTGCTGCATCTCAGAGGGGGGAAACAAAAGGGTTCACCTCGCGCTACCCAGGGTCGAGAGTCAACCGAGTGTGAGAGTCGAGACCCTCGTCTCCCACTTTCCAAGCTACGTAGCAGGCCTCCCTCATTTTGATCCAGGCCGCCCGGGTCTCTGGCCGTCGCCCGTCAGTGGGGGAAGTGGTCACACGGCCCTCGCCCGCCCTTGCGACGAGTTGAGACCTGAGGTGGCCAGCTTTGCCTGCCCAGCCCAGCATCCCAGGAGCTCTCAGCGCACACGGAGGCCCAGTCCCCTTCGAGCTTAGCTGGGGGGCCCGATGGTGTCAGGGGCCCGAGGATTATAATTGGCAACGCCACCGGCCTGCGCGTCTGGGGTGCATGGGCTTTGGTTTCCAGAGGGTCTTGAACTGTCTCTTATACACATCTAGATGTGTATAAGAGACAGGCCCTGCCCGGTCGTCAGCCAGCCAGAAGGACGGGCAGACAGGTTCGCGTGTTCTGCGCCGGCGGGCTCGAAGCTAATCGCTCGTTTGAGCTATCGAATGCCTAGCCTCGACGACCTGCATCGCTCGCGTGTGTCGCCGCAAACCCAAAACCCGTCGACTGTCCGAGCGAGCACCACTGACTACTTGCCTCCGCAGCGAGACAGGGTTTCCAAGATGCTGCCTTACATTTTGATACCTAACCCCTTGATGAACGCGACCGAGTTATAACCCAAGTAATATGGCACTACATATTACCCGTGGAGCTGCATTGAAAGATCCGGAGATGACTGCTCTTCGAGGATGAGCCCTCATACTGCGTCGTGCTGCGCACCACGCAAGACTTCGCCAGCACCTCCCCCCGTGCGCGCTGACGTGTGCGTGGCTGCGCGGCGACGAGCCCAGGCATCACGGGCAAGACGGACGGGGTCCCTTGCGGCCCATCCGTCAGGGCACTCCCGCCCCAGCGAGATGACGGTCGATGGATGAGGCTGTGCGCCGTGGCAAATGCCTACCAAAAGGGTAGCTCTGGGGGTCCTCGCCTCGTACGCAAGTTATAATTAATTGCTTTACCCAATCCTCGTGGAACCGTCCAAAATAAGGTCACTTGGCGCCGTGAACGATGACGTCTGGATGGATGTTGTGCTGCAGTCAGACATGCATGCGTGCGGCATGTACAAAAAGTACGTACGTCACCGTGCCTCGGGGATGTGTGAGCTGCGTGTTTACCATGCATACATACCCCCATTACGAAGTACGAGTACGAAGCATATTCGTAAGTGCCGACTTCGCGGCATGGCATGCAGAGCCGGAGCATGCAATTACTCGCAACTCAAACAACGAGCTCTGCGTGACACACGCATGCTCTCCGCAGCCAGCCACCATATCTCGCCAACCGTCGCGGCCCAATTGACAGCCAGGTCCCCAGGCATGCAGAGCGCGTCCGGCAACAGCCAGCTCTGGCCCCTGCAGGTCGTCAATCACTCCCGCAAGCCATGTGAAACGCCAGTTGTGCCGCTTACCTAGGTATAGGCAGTGTCGCTGTTGCGCGCGTGTACTTCGTACCGGCCTTGCAGTCTACTCCTTGCAACATGTCACGGTCAAGTCGCGCTCCGGTCGCACAAGCAAGTAACAACAATTGATTCACCGGAAAGCAAGCATAGTGCGCCGCATCGAGAAAATGATCATCTTCGGTGTGGCCTTCACACCCTGTCCAACCAACCACCCACCCATCCCCGTTCAACACCGTTTGGCTTTTCTCCCAGTTCAACATTGATAGTCCAAAACGCCAGAGCCTATATGCATACCCACACTTGTCGTCGCAAATGGAACCCATGTACAATCCCAACGAGTCATCTCTGCAGCTCCTCACATATCCTTGGAGCGCAACTTCTTCAGCCGCGTGGTACCCTCGAACAGGCCACGATCCACGGCAGCGGCAACCGTCAGCGTACCGCCCACGATGGCGCAAAGACCGGCCAGAAAGCCAAGGAACGTCTTGGCCGGCTCCTCGCGGTTGATGACCTTCATGGGCGAAATGTCCTGTCCCGTACATCAGCGCCGATTCCATCATACTCGGATGCACGCCGCAGGGGGCACTTACATATGAGAAGAACACGCCCGGAATGCCTCCGCGGGAATGCTGTCGCTCCGCATGGCCCTCCGCGGCGTCGTTGCCGCCGCTGAGGCTCCTCTTGTGGCTCGTGACCGAGTACTGATGCGTCTCGACGCTGCCGTCAGCGCTACCGTCGATGCCAACCAGCTTCTGCATCTGCTTCTCCCATCCGAGAGGCAGGTAAGACGTCGGCACAATTTTGACAAAGTACATGTAGTTGAAGTTGGGGTCCTGGGTCTCCTGCTTGACGCCGTCAAGAGGGTTGACATGGTGGTTGGTCCACGGCATAGCCTTGGCGCCGCCCAGCTTTTGCTTGATGGCCTCTGGAAGCTGCGGGCCGAAGCGCAGCTGGTGGATGGTGTGGGTGAAGTCGTGCTTCTGGCCGTTGGGCGTGTCCCAGTAGTTCTTGAGGTCGTGTACGTGGATGTTGCCGTTGCTGAAGCTGCGTCCGGGCGCAAGGTGGAAGTTGCCCACGACCTTGTTCACCGTGAGGTCGCCCTCGATGCGGCAGCCCTCCTCCCGCTGCTCGTCCAGCTTCTCGGCGTAGTGTTCGCGCTCGCACTGCTCGACGCCCTCGCCGCGGCCAAACGCCCAGCCCTGGGTGGCATAAGCCTCGCGGACCTCGTCGCAGGTGTTGCAGCAGCCCTGCTTGCTCGCAGTGGCCGGGGCCGTCGCGCCGTAGCATTCGCCGCAGTAGTTGGGGTCGAGGTGCTCGGCCTTTTCGTCGTGGAGGGCCAGGGATCTGGTGTCGATGATGCCGCCGCCCTGGGACTGCGGTCGGAGGCGAACCTTCTTGACACCATGCGCGACACCGTGCTGCTGCTCTCCGGATACGTCCATGACGTCGAGGGTGAGAAGCTCGCACGGCATCTTGGGGAATGTGATGTTCAGGTGAATCTCCATGCGCTCTCCTACAGCAAGATTATGGTTAGATTGCTCAGTGCATTGCGCAAGCCACAGCCCGGCGTGTCGACAGTGACATACCTCGCCCCTTGTCCACAATCAGCTCTGGGCGCACCACGATGCGGCGGTAGTCGGCCCATTCTCCCCATGCAAGGAACAGCACGACCAACAGCGACACGATGGTGACGATGCCACCGCTCGTGGTGCGAATGCGCGCATCCTCAACCGTCTTGGTGAAGGCGTCGAGCCTTGTGAATCTGGACTTGGGTGGCATCGTTGCGGCGGGTCAATCGTCGTCGGCTCAAGACTCCAAAGTGGTATGCGCTGGTGATCTGCGAGGCTCGCCAGGCAGGGCCCTGCTCGTGGCGCGGCGAACGGGAAAGGACACGGGAGCACCGAAAGGCGGAAAGGAAAAGACGCTACAAATCAGGCGTGCCCTGCGGCAGAGGGCATTGGCGCGGCAGACGGCTGGCTGCACAATTGCAATGGGGAAGGATTAAGATGAGGTCGAGCAGCCGGGAGACGGGAGGAGAGGAAAGCGACGTCGGGGACGTTGACGCTTGAGGCCACCGTCGCAAGTACAGAAACATGCATGGAGCTGCCCGAGTGGCCACGCCGCGCCGACAGGGGTCGGTGGACTCACTGAGTGCCTCACCTCAGCCCAGCTACCCCACGCTAAACAGCCGCCGGGCAGGTCCCTGACACCAGACTGCCGCCGGTGGGCGGGTGGGCAGCCCTGGAGCTCCATTGCTGGAACTTGCCCGGGTAGCGATACGTGCTCAGCAGGGGCCGCCGCGCCAGTCACGTCTCGGCGGCAGCCCCATCCGCCGGCAAATCGCCGGCTTCTCCCAGCGCAACCTCAGATCGGATTTGTATCGCGCGCCTGCGACCGCGAGCGATTGACCCAACGCACGTCACTCATCATCGTCCATGCGCCGCAGCAAACACCAAGGGCCCAATTCCTGACTGCATTGAACGCGCGACGACATCCCTGGCACCTGACTCGCCTCGACGCCCCATATACTTCATACCTCCCCGCCAAATCTATCGGCGACAGCTGCCTTTGCCAGGGCAGGCGCCCGCAAATTCCGACCATGTCGTCTAGGCCTCCGTCACGCGTCGTCTTTGTCGGCAACATCCCTTACGGTGCGCCGCGCTCCCCTGCTGCATTGCTGCCGGAGATGCTGACCTACGTGCAGGGCTGTCCGAGGAGCAAATCACAGACATCTTTTCGAGCGCCGGCAAGGTCGAGCGTTTCCGCCTCGTCTACGACTCCGAGACGGGTCGTCCCAAAGGCTTTGGCTTCGCAGACTACCCCGACACCGGTACGTGGTGCTCCCGCCTGGCGTGGCGACGCTTTCGCTGACACTTGTACCCAGACTCTGCCGCGTCTGCCGTCCGCAACCTGAACGACTACGAGATCATGGGCCGCAAGCTGCGCGTTGACTTTAGCAACGAGCAGAAGAGTGGTGACGATGACAACAACCAGGTTCGTCGAGTCTTGTCCTCCATCAGCTTCTTCTTCTCTAATTCTGTCTGCTAGACCTCAATACATGTACCCACTGCCGCCAACGGTGCAGGACCCAGCGCGTACGGCTCCCAAGCCAGCTCTCTGCCACCGCTTCCGGCCGGCAAGGAGATTCCCCCGGGCCTCACCTGCACCGATGCCATCTCCCGAACCCTCAATACCCTGCCCCCGCCGCAGCTCCTCGATATCCTCGGGCAGATGAAGGCGCTTGCCACGTCCGATCCTCAGAGAGCCACCGAACTCCTACAACAAGCACCCCAGCTCACCTATGCCGTCTTCCAATCCTTGCTCCTCATGGGCCTCGTGTCGCCCGAAGCGATTCAGTCCGTCTCCGAGCCGGGTGCGCCCCCTGCCGTGCCACAGCCAGCGGCCGGCTTCCCCGCCCCCATCCCCGGGTACCCCGCCGCGAACAACACACCGCCGGTCGCAGGCGCACCGTACGCGCCGCCCCCCGCAGCTGCTCAGGGCTACGGCGCTCCAGCGCCAGCTGCTGCCCCGCAAGACACGGATGCTCTGATACGACAGGTGATGGAATTGCCCCAGGCACAGATCGACTTGCTCCCAGAAGCCGAACGACAACAGATTCTGGCCCTCAGGGCGACCTTTGGTGCCCAACAGCGCAGATGATCACGTTGCCTGATGCAACCGTCTGCTGTTGGAATCAGGGGAGAGGCGCTGTTCACAGAGATGACACGATGACCCTGCCCCCTTGAGCGCGATCCCTCCCGTCTCCGGACAGGCATGCGCCCCTGACACCCTCATCGAGAATATGCAATCGATATGGGACGCACACCATCCCACTGAGATGCTTTAAATACACTGATAATACCTTGATCTGGCAAGCGGAGAGCCGAGTTTATGGAGATGGCTATACAAGGAGGCGGCAGAGACGCATCCGGTCGCATCCAGAACCATCTGCTACAGGAAGGCGACTCCTTAGAAATGCCACAGAAATATGGATACCAGGAGGCGGCGTTGGGGGAAGGCCGACAACCGCAATGCCCAGCATTGCCGAAGGACTCTACATAGCACTATTCGGTCGGGATGGACCCGACAGCGAAGATACATGCGCAATCGTCAGCTGATTGCGCTCTATTCAGTAATGCGAAGCAAGAGCAAACCCATGATCCTCACACTTTTCAGCACGTCCAGCATGATGCGATAATGTGGAGGGGGGACGTGACATCGAGCCCTTGAAGGCCGGAAAAAAGGGTGCTTGCTTGTACACATCTAATTGATGACACCTCGCCTTACATACAATGGTACATATTACACAATCGTCGTGTACTCGTGGCATTTCAGCCAAGTTCGTGGCCGCCCAGCCCAGCCCAGCCCAATCTCGCCAACGGCCTCCCTGAAAACGAGACGCCGTATTTCCAAAATCCCAAACCTCCCTAAGTGACGTTCAGCTTTTTCTCTTCGCGTGTATGCAATTCCCCGTCAATACGCCACATACAAAGAGACAGACAAAAAGGCTAGAGAGGCACAGAGAGAAAGAGAAGGGAAACATATGTGACGCTATATGACGTGCCCCCACCCCCCCCCCCCCCCCCCCCCCCCTTTTGGCGATTATACAATACCATACACGCGCTTGGCAATCATGAAGCACGCCAGGCCAAAGAAAAGGAGTCCGGCCGTGATCCAGAAGAACCACTGCAGGTCACCCTCGTACTCTTGGCCGGGCACCCAGACGTTCATGCCCCACAGACCTGTGATGATGTTCATGGGCAGGACGATGGTACCCAAGACGGTCAGTTTGCCGAGCACGTCGTTGGTCTGCTCTGCTCGTTCGTTCATGCGAATGTTGATCTGGGCTAGATAGTTGCCGTGGGAGCGAGCCAGTATTCTAGGAATGATGTTAGTTGTTATTGCTCAAAACCTACGCGGGTGAACTGCAAACATACTTCTCGTAATGGCCCAAGTTGGAGGTCATGGTGATGATGTGGTCCTGGATATCGCCGAGATAGAGGCCTATCTCAGACCTTGGCGCGACTTCCCACCGCTCGTTGCATCGCTTGGCGAACCCCTTGATGACGTCCGCCTTGTTGCCGAGCAGTCGGTAGAGGCTCATGACTCGCTTCCTGCAGTCACCGACGCGTCGCAGCATGTCGCTCGAGTCGACAAAAGTGTTTGAGTCGTCATTCTTGCTTGGCTTTTCGCCCTTGAGCCGCTTGTCCGTCGAAGAGTGGAATTCGAGGATCTTGTCGTCTATTTCGTCGACCTCGTCTTCAATGTTTTGAATCAGGGGCTGGAACACGTCTGTAATGTCGTCGATGATGGCGTACGAGATCCAGTCGGAAGACAGAATGAGGTAGTCCCGTAGCTGGCGAATGCGTCGACGGACGTTGGCCGGGTGAGGTGTCATGGAGAAGTGGAAGCTGAGCACGCCTTCGCGGAAGACGACGACGTACATGTTGACGGGCTCGAGATGGTTTTCACTGTTGATGTCCTGCTCGAACGTCCGGTAGTTGACGAAGTAGTAGTGGCGAAACAGCTCCACCTTCTCGCGCGCCTCTTGGAGCATGATATCTTCGGCGGTCAGTGGGTGGATGCCGAACGCCTTGGAAATGACCTTCATCTCAGCCTCTGTTGGACAAAGCACGTCAAGCCACCACACTGGCCTGTCGCCATACCTCACGGGCCGCGGCGTCGACGTCGTCTCGTGCGGTGTTGCTTGTGTCTCTTTCTGGGTGACCTCGGGGGATTTGATGGCGATGGGCGTCGCACGGCCCGATACCGCTGAAGGGTCATGACCTGGTGACATTGCCCCATCGCGACGGGACTCGGCGAGCGACGGCTGTCGGGTTGAGAGCCTCGAGTCGTAGTCACCGCCGTTTGAGTTCTGTGGTCGTAGGCCCGTCGACGGCTCATCGTCGTCATCGTCGTCGCTCTCGCTGTCTGACAAGATGCGTGGATCGGGAATGAAGAGTTCTCGGAAGCCTCCGCCAGGTTGGACCAGCTCTGAGATGGTTTGGCTGTGGATGGTGCTTTGGAATTCTTCGTTGAAGTAGGTGAACCGGTAGGGCGCCTCTTCGTCCGCCTGGAACCACCCTTTCCTCACCGGACGCAGTCGGCCGTTGATCAGCTGGGGTTCCGTAATCTTCTTCACGCGTACCTCCTCACTTCTGTCTTCCTTTTCAAAGTGACGCCATTCCTCCAACACGGACAGATCCGGCCACTGAGCCCGGCGCCGACGTCCTCGGTACTGGTGGGCGGCGACATCCCGAGAATGGGCATCCTCGTCGCCGAGTTCAGACATGTCGGGGGCGGGGAAGCAGACATCGCCGGCCGCCTCGGTCATGCGCCGGGCGAGGTCGGCGCGGTGATCGCGCACGGTGCCGTCGGCTTCCGACATGGCCTCCTCCGCGTCGAGGGAGCCATGGGGGCTGCCGTCCAGCGATATCTCGTCTCGGATCATGACGTCCCCAAAGGCCAGCTCGGGGCGGTCAACGCCCCCAAATGCTGGTGATCCAGGGACCGAGGGCGGGTGATTGACATCGTACCCGTCCTTGACGGTCAAGTTGGCCGTCAACTTGGTCCGCGAGGATCTGCTGGAAGACCTGCGGCTTCGGTTGCGGCTCGCGGCTCCGTAGCTCGAGGGACCGGTTGGCGAGGCTCGATACCTCGCCGAGTCGGACAGCAGCGGGGCCGTCTCGTCCCAGGGATTCGTCTCGTCAGCCCTCTCGCCGTCGCCGCTGTTTGGGGTGTGTATGGACCGCAGGCGGCTGGCTCCCGGGGTCGAGAAGGGGTTGTGGAAGGGGCTCGTGGCGGCGACGGTCGAGGGCCGTCGGAGCCGCATGGGCTTGTGCTCTCTGGCGACGAACGGTTAGCGAGGCGGACGATGGGGATGATGGTAGACGAGCACGGGCTCACCTGTGGTCCAGAAGGGCCTCGCTGTCGATGCTCGTGCCGCTCAGGTTGCCGGTGGGCATCTTGTAGAAGCCCTCGCCCGAGGCCTCCTGCATCTCATCGTGGCTGTCCTCGGCGAGGGCAGCGAAGCTCTTTCTGCGCGAGCGCTTCTTTTTGCCGCCGCGGTGGCCCTTTCGCTTCCTCGGCTGGGCGCGGGATTTTCCCGACTCCTGATCCTGCTGCTGCTGCTGCTGCTGACGGGCGGCGGGAGCGGCGGTGACGGGCACAGAGGTCGGCGGCGGTGCTCGACCCGCGGCGACACTCTGACCCTCCACCCCGAGCCTGGAAGCGGGGTGCAGGGCATTGAAACGGTTGCTCGCCATTGTGCCGCGCGATCCCCTACGGCCTCACCCGAGCGTCGAATGGTGGGCGGCGGGGGGACTCGACGCGGGTGCCGTGGTTCGTGATGTCTGGCGAGGTGGGCGGCAGCTTCGTTTTGGGCCGTTGCGATGGCCGTTGCGAAGGCCGGAGGAGGGACGAGGTTCTACAACGCTGAAGAAAGCAGCGGCCAAGGACGCTAAGGCCCCCAGGGAAATCGTGATGTCACTCGCGAGCTGAGTCCAAGCTGGCCCCCGGCCGCCCACTTTAAATGGCTGGCCCTTCAGCTGGGTTTTTTTCTTTTTCCAGGTTCTTGCTGCTTCGGGTTCAATTCAGCGGGTCCATCCCTATCCCTCTCTTAGATGACGGGGCGGCACGGGCGGGAGCAATGGATAACTCAAGCCACCTACATTTTACGTCCCGCGGCTGCTGGCACGATGCGCTCCAAGTGACACTGCAAGTGCCGTGCTTGGTGGCGCCCGTCGGTACCTGCCGGCGAGGCGAGGCAAGACCAGACGAGCGCTGGGCAGAGTGAGGCGGTGGGAGGAATCCCGTGAGCTCCAGCTGGCCTTCGCCTTCCGTTCCCGGCTGGCCACCACCAGCGGCGCAGCCCAGCCCAGCCCAGCCCAGCTCTCACGCAAAGCTGCGCCATCGCCTGTCCCGTGAACCCGCGCGGCACGGCATACCAGCATCCGACGTACGAGCACGATGCGCTCGTCAACCTTCTCGGCCAGCTGTCCTTGACTCGATTGGCCGAGGACACCCTCGCTTGCTGCATGACGCCTCCAAATCTGCCGCCCTCTGGCACGATAAGCAGCTCCAGCAGTTGGCACCACTCTTACACTTACACTGCCGGCCTCGCAGAATCACAGGGGATTCCCCAAGTCTGGTGGTGTTCCAAACACCAGTCCTGCCGCTGATACCATGGTCAAACAAGTCGTGACGGCTCGCCAACGCCCAAGCCCGGCATGTGACGCGACCGGCAGCACGCCTCGCATGGGCCCGAGTCCCTTTTCTCCAGAGTCCAGACACGCTTTGCTCGCTGCACCAGACAGCATTTGGAGCAAAAGGGAAGACTACCCGGCACCTACCTTTGACTACGGCGCGCTGGCCGCGGGCTACAAGACGTAACTTCCATGACATGGCCCCTGGGCCTAACAGGCGGCCATGTCTAGCGCAGAGTCTACCCAGTACAGAAGACAAGGCAGCCCGCCTGGCGCATCTGATATTCTTTTTACTACTTTGCGTCCGACCTGCCATGTCGAAAGTTTGCTTGCCGCGGTCCTTGTATGACTTGCTCGCAAATCCCATCGAGAGTGGCGCTGCCACCGCCGCTTGACTTTGCCTGGTCTGCAACCGAGTCTGGGGCATGAGAGCCATGATGGGCATCATGGACGCCATGGAGACGGGAGGCGCGACACCAAGGGCACCATGGGACATTAGAGAACATCATGTCGTGGCTAGCGCGCCGCCTGGCAGCTACGCAAGGAACAAAGTTTCCCACTCGACAAGATGGGGAGAAGGCTCCAATGGATCAGATAAAAGGCATCGATGGTCAGCCCAAAAGCCGCGGCCATTTTGGCAGCAGCACTTCTTTCAAGAAATCCTCACATTCCTCCGCATACTCAACGAGGCCATGAGCGCGGCATTTCAACTATTGAGAAGCGCATTGCGACATGCCTTCTATCCCCGCGACAAGCTACCGGACGAGCGGCTCCGCTGCTTCATCATGGACCTGCCGCCGGAACTGATTCTCCAGATCGGGGAGCATCTACCCCCTCATTCTCGCCTTCTGCTCTCACATACATGCTCGGCACTACACCAGGCCCTCGGTCGCAAAGGGGGTGCGCGCCTCAGCCGCGAGGACCACATCGAGTATCTCATCGGTGTCGCCTACGACTTGCCTACTAAATGGGTGTGTGTAGAGTGTGCGACACTTCATGACTTCGCCGCCCTCGATTTTCCGTGGAGCTCTCTTCACGCATCTTGCCCTCTAGGCTGGCGGCGACTGTCGGAGGGCTCTGCCCACACTGGAAGTCATTCATTCATGATTCATCATCGCCACGTCCAAATTGCTCTCAAGCATAAGCGTCTGGGCGCAAGCAGCGAGGAGCATCAGCAGTACGTTGAAGCACTTCTAGCCCCGAGGGTCACCGATTTTACGCCCTTCTCTTCGAGAGGCGGACCAAACGCTTTGCGGACCCGATACGCAATGATTCCGAGAATCATAGACGGGAGATTTTACGTCCTTGGCCTTTGGCAATATCAGCAGAAGCAACACGCAGTCTCCATCGACACCATGGGAGATCTGAATATTTGCGCTCATTCTTCATGGGCTTCATTCGACGCTCAAGGATGCACGCCAAGACATGACCGAGTTGGTCCCGGCGGGCAGCTAGGCATAAGCGTCGCAGACACCCGGAGGCGGGCCATGATGAGTATAGATGGGAGTGCAGCTGGGTGCTGCAGCTTGTGTCCCACGGATTTCTTCATTATATTCACACCCCAGAACACCCGAGTGCTGTCGTGGATGGATCTTGGGGATGAGAAATCATTCACGAGTAGCTCTTGGAAGTCACTCATCACCACTGTGTGTCGACAGGTGCGCTGTCAGGTGCATGACCCGCGGTACGGTGGACACGCTGGCGCGGTGGCGAGTCCCCATGACCTGTTGAGCGTCCAAAAGCGCTTTGATGCGCTGATATATACAGAGCCGGGGGGAGTCTTCCTGGAAGCTGACGGTAGTCGAACTTGCATATTTGGTCGCGACTAGGGAAGGAGAGGGAGGACGGAAAGGGGAAGGAAGGGGAGGAAGGGGAGGAAGGGGAGGAAGGGGAGGAAGGGGAGGAAAGAGCGTGGTAATGACAGAACCAGCCATAAATTGCCCTTCTCCCACCTGTCAGTCTGTTTTCTTTCTTTTCTCTCCCAAGGACCAAGGACCAGGATCCGCAACACACCATACGATCTCGGATTTCAGCATCGACCATGAGCCCCGTGACCGACTAGCTTACGGCCCTGGCCACAGTCGCCGTCGGCGTCAAAGCACTGGTCGACCTTTACCGGATGTGGCACCCCGAGCGCCGACCCGATACGCCAAACGCCGGGCAGCGGCCTGGACCGGGCGACGCCGGACAGCCGCCAGGAAGGACGACCGGAGGGCCCCCTCGCTCCGACACGACAACATCCGACAACCCGGGTTCCAACGGGAGCCGGACGGACGAGGAGGCACGACCGCCTGGGGCTGATGCGGCAACTTCCGCCGACTCTGGCACGGCAGACGCGGCGACGCAGACCCTCGACGCGGCAGCCCAACCGCCCGGGACTGACACGACAACTTCCGCCGACTCTGGCACGGCAGACGCGGCGACGCAGACCCAGGACGACGAGGCGACGTGGACACGGGAGCGGGCGCGCGTGGACGACCTGGAAGAACGGATCGCCTGGATGTCGACGATTCTGGCCCTTGCTGCGGACTAGCGTTTGTTTCTCCGAGCGTTTTTGTTGACTTTTAGATAGGGCCATACCAGTATCGGCATAATAATTACTGGGGGTGGGTGGTCGAGGGCCCCAGCAGCGCTCGCACCTTACCGTGGTTTGCTGGGTTCAGTAGCCTCCAGGAGGTGAAGCCAACGCGAGCTTCCGACTTTCCGGCACAGGTACGACAGTCGGTTCCGATAAATGCATCGTCTCTTGTTGGCGGGCGAGCCGGGCGGGTGGGCGGAGGGCGGTCTTGCTCTGTGGCGAAGTCAACGCAGGACGGTTCAGGCCCGAGTGTTCGGTACGTTTCGGGGGGATGATGGCACGGGATATGGAAGGGCTTGACGGTCTTGGAAGAGTACTGTTTCGAATTGGATTCTCCTTCCTACCATATCTCCCAGGTCTCTGACGTGTGCTGTTTCCGCCATGGTTGCCATCTGGTGTCTTGCCTGTCCCCCGCAAGTGCCCGCACGCCTCTTTCCCTCGTTACGTCCGTGTTAGATAATTTCCAGCATACCGACGGTAGAATAAGTCATTGCCCGTCGCCCCCTAGCCAGTCTATTTTCTCCCTCCTTCTTCTGTCCTTTCTCTCCCAAAGACCGGGATCCGCAACACACCAGACGGCCGGGAGTCCAAGTCGCCAGTAGCCTCAAGGCACTGGTCGACCTTTACCTGACGCCGTGCCTGAGGTGCCGGCCCGCCTTGGCAAGCGCCGGCAACGAGCCAGCACGGCAACGTCGGACAGCAGACGCGGGCGACGCAGAACAAAAACAACGCGGCAGCTCTACGGCACCCTGCCCTGGGCCTGATGCAACAGGTTCCGGCGACTCTGGCACGGCAGAGGCGGGTCGCCGGATGTCGACGATTCTGAACCTTGCTGCGAACAGACACTAGATGGCATCGATTCCCTCTGTACAGTAACCTCCCCATCCCGGCCTGGGCCATCCCGTCTCACACATTGTCTTTTGCTTACCAGAGTCGCGTTTTGTGGACTTGCTAACGTCTGCCTCTAGTCGGTCGCATCCCACGCCATCATGGTGTGCCGGGTGGTTCAGGTTCAGTGGTTCGGCGTGTTTCTAGGGGTGCAAAATCGGCATGGGACTTGGACGGGCTTGGAACTCTTGAATAAAATTGGTACAAATTGCATGTCTGTTCATATCATGTCTGTCGTGTCTGCCAATGTGCCGAACATCTGTGCGCAGGCCTTTTCATCATCACCTCCGTGTCCAGATAACTTATGTTACACTAGACGTAGAAACTCCTGTGGTCCCTGGTAGGGACGTAGAACGCGCCCATAAGTCGATTCGAGGGAACCGCTGAATTTAGGTGTACTACTCTGCGCGTTTCGATCAGTGTCCGCCTCAATCACACAGGTTGGTCGCTCCGCTGATCAGGCTTGCGGGCGCTACGGGCAACGACAGTCTCCCGGGTAATCTAGTTTTGAGCAAAGACAGGAAGATCAGGAAGAATCGGGACGGCAGAAAGGAGGGTTACATGGCAGGCCTCCTGTTCCCGGACAATGGCGTCAAATAATTTGGAGGCCGAGCTTTAGTGAAGTAAAGGTTACCCAGAGCATGGTCAGACTGATGGCCGGACAAACCCGCGAGACCTACAGGCCTGAGAGCCAGCAGCCATCGCTCGCTATACATAGGCACGAATACTCATTCCGACAAGCACGGCTCGATGTAGAAAGAATACAAAGCGTTGTTTCACTGCTGTTTGGGGCGGGCCACCTTGGGCCTCCCTCGTACATGTATTCTTTGCCAGAACGAGATGGCATCGCGACGATGTAGACATGTCGTTTCCTCAAGTCGCGCGCAGGGCACCGTGCGACCCCAGACGAACAGAACGCGAGCGCAAGAAACCCCAAACTTGAAACCAGAAGTCACTCGAAGGTTTGACACATGCACCCGGACCAACACATATGAACAGGCACGGGCGACAGATTTTGGCAGCGCAGGCCGGTTGAAACAGCGCCGGGCCACGGGTCCTTGCTTCTAGGAATACAAAGTAGGCCATTTGCATCGTGAATATGGACCACCGCGACTGCTGTGCGTCAACGCCATACCGCATGCAGGGGACTGCTTCGTAGTTCGTACGAGTATGGGACTGCCCCGCCAGCCAGGCACGGCGCGTTTAGATCGAGGCACAGACTCGCTATCAACGCGTTCCCCGGACTCAATGCGGCGGATATATCTACATAAGACTCCAGTTGGCCGCGCCGACAGGGATGATGCTTGCTCTGTCATTGCACTCGATATTGAATCCAGACTCCTTGAGAACGTCCTGGCAACGTAGAATCCGCAAAGGTATGACGCGGCATTGCCAACAGGAGTTCCAGTGAAAGCCTCAACTGCTGACTCGCAACCCGCCAGATGCACCTTCAATTCGTCCTTGCTGCCGTCCTCGTGGCTGGTGCTGGAGCCGCAGAGAGCGTGCAAGACGTCAAATGCATCCGCTGCCAGGCGAGGGGAGGCGTCAATACCGAGGCCATACTCGAGGATCTGAAGCGCGGGATGAAGGACGACGACAAATTCGGCAACTACGAACCCATGTTCTGCGACAAGGAGGCCAAGGGGAAAGGGGTCGTAGAATGTGCCTTTATGTCGGATTTGAAGATGATGAAGCAGGGCTTCATCACAGGCAAGGAGGTCAAAGAGCTGGCGGACTTGTTTCTGACCAAGAACAAGGAGAAGAAGTGTCACAACAGGTGCATGAAGATTGACTGGCACAAGAATGGGCAGAAAGTGGGAGTATTCAGTCTCGACTCCGGCAACACCGACTGTCTTGGCAAGTGCTACTAGGGTCGCTACTAGGTAGATGATGGAGGGCGGGCAGGGCCTGGTACTGCCAGTGAGCTTGGCCATGAGAGAAATATGCCCTAGTCTTCCCTACCCATGTACTCGTAAAGAGTAGATGGCCACAATCGAGTCAGTTCGCAAGCTAGTCCATCCTTCAGGTACATTGTCCATAGCCCCAATCGCTGCACTAATATGCGGCCCTGGCCAGGGCTGTTCAAGAACGACGTTCACCGACTGGCCGTGTGTGCACTCTGAAACCGAAGTCATTTAGAGATTGGCCCGCGCAGGGGCAAGATGGAGGCGAGGGGTAGCGGTGCCGACATGAACATGGTAGCCTTTTCATATTCAATTGTCATTACGACGGGGCTTTTTAAGAACGGTGATGCCCTCGTTGGCCTTGGCAAAGATACATGCAGAATCCGGATCGTCACAGGGCCGCAGTGCTGAGCAAAGAAACCCCAGCTGCTGGTAGTGGATAGATTGGTGATGCACATGTATGAACCTCCTTTATTAGCTGGGCTCTTCAGCACACGATGTCTGGTGCTTGCCATGTCTTCTCCCTATCAGGGTCCAGTATGCCCAGTTCCGACCTCCGCAGCGTCGTCAGTTCTGTCTGACAATGCAAGTCGTTCGGGGACTGAAGCAAAAGGTCGCCATGCTCTTTCGGCGCATTGGCACATCGTTGAAAAGGCGCTCTGCGAGTTTCGAGACCGAGACCAGAAACATGCGGTAGCTATCTCCAGGAGTGCTTTGCATGACACCATTGGGGCCGCGGAGGTCGCTGTTAACGCGCGTACTCGCTTGTCTTGGATTTGAAACTGCTGGTTCTCGCAAAAATGCGGTCGACGGCGCTGAACAAGCTGTCCCTCTTCTGTACTGCAGAGATGCCGACCTCGCCCAGACGCCATCATTGTCCGACGGCGCCGGAGCCACATACTCGTGGGTATTCCTCTCCATTCTCATCCCCAAACGACACCTTCCGCGCTACGCAGCAGTCCCAAAGTCCCACAGCTTAACGACCAAACTGTCGGGCGCGGCCGTCGGGTCGTCTTGAGGCAGAAACACGCGCTTCGGGATGTGAAACTCTACAACGGGCGCCTTTCTGACGTTCTTGCCCATTTCCGCGTCCAGCAACTTGAAGAGGGGTCAGCATTGCTCTCGCAACCATGCACAAAAGGATAGCGTCACACTCACCGTCGCGTACGAGTGGTCCAAAAAGTCCTCCATGTTGTACGACTGCTTCGTGAATTGCTCCGACACGATCTTGGCAATCGTCGCAACGTTGGGGTGGTAGTGCGACTGGAGATGGACCAGCTCCCACAGGCTGCTGTCGATGGCCTTGGTCTCCATCGGGTCCGACTCCTCAGCCACAAAGGGGTCCTCGAAGCCGTGGTCCGTGATGTGCTTCTTCATGTCGGCGTCCTTGATCTCGCGGTGGACCATGAACGTGCAAGTCGGGTGGCGCTTGAGCTGGTTGTAGATCCACGGCACGACAAACGCAATGGCGCTCGGCGGCGCGTTCAACGACAGCCTCGCCAAGCGCTTCAGGAAGCTGGCCACCAGCGCCGCAGGAAGATGTGTCGACGCCAGGAACGTGTCCAGCAGGCGGAAGAAGCGCGACCGGTGCTTGGAGTGGAGGATGTTGCGGTCGAGCAGGGAGTAGAGCTTCGCGTAGAATGACGGGTAGTCGAGGTTGCGCTCTTGGATCAGGTAGAAGACGCCCGAGAGCGCGAGCAGCGACATCGAGCCGCCAGAGTTGTAGCAGCTCGTGAGGAAGTCGGCGAGCAGCTCGGGCTTGGTGAACCACGGAGCGATGATGGTCGAGATGACGTCCAGGATGCGCTTTCGCTGGTCCTTGGTCTCGACGACTCCCAGGAGCGCCACCCACGCCTCTTGGCCCTGCTTCTTGTGCTGGGTCACCGAGCGCAGAGGGTGCGACTTTTTCTGCGGCCGGGTAACGTAAAAGTCTTCCAGCTCGTCGGCGGACTCGGGCACGCCGTCCAGAGCGGAGATGAGCGAGAAGACACGGTCAAACAACGCGCTGGAGTCGTCGCCCTTGGAGGCAATGGCTTCCATGGCAGGTCTATTAGATGTTAGCAAGTACGTGGGAAATGAGAATTTCGGGGGGCTCACTTTATGGACTTGAAGGTAAAGTACCGGATGTCGTCGTACTGCTCGGCAAACTCTTCAATGTACGCCGTCCGCACATCCTCGTTGGTCGACTCCAACACAGCAGCGACAACATCTCCGATGAAGGCCGTGGGGAACGAGTATTCCTCCTTGTTGGAGAGAAACTCGCCCTCGGCCTTGAGCACTCTCATGCAGAGCGTCAGCGCCGTCACGGCGAGGTCCTCGTCCGCCATCTGCTCCAGCAGCAGCACCTTGTACTGCGACAACTGGTCCCTGAGCCACCCCACGACGACTCCCTCCTTCTCGGACAGCGACTTCTTGAACGTGAGTGAGCCCTGGGCCAGCAGCCTGACAAAGATGCGGCACAGCGCCACGGTCGCGAGCATGGCCTCCTCGCTGTCCTCCTTGGCCGCGCTGAGCAGCACCGTGATGTCGTTGTAGTTTTTCCTGGACTCGAGGATGCCCTGCTCCATCAGGAGGATCTTGGCGTTTGGGTCATCATTGTCCTCGCTGCTGGACGACGACCGCCGACGTTTTGTAGGCTTGTCGGCCGTCGAGGCTCTCTTGCGCTTGGAGCCTTCACCAGCCATGGTGAAAAGATTGATGCCTCGCTAGTGTCCCGCAATAAGTTCTGAGTACGTGGCTTTGGCGGACAATGAGAAGGCTGGTTCAGACCGACTCACGCGTGTCAGTTTAGCGGCGGTATTCTCAGGCGGAAGAAAATGCATGCATCAAGGTGAGCGGACGGTCACTCAGACGCCCAGCAACTTTTAACGAAAGCTTCAACATCGAATTGTGCAGCCAATCAGGCCCATGGCGCTAACAAAGACCCATTCTGGAACCGGCTCAAGTCCGGGTGGGCCCGCCGTGGTTTGTCTGCCAGCCAGCGTGCCAGCGTGCCAGCCATCCAAGCCGCAGGCGTGGAATTCCGGCATCACGTGACCGCAGCGTGTTGCCGAACTAGCGCGATAAAACCTCACAACCTCATCCCCCAGCTCCCGCGCAACGCACGTCAAGCCCGCGATACCCCATCACGAATCATCTCACAATGGCCTCCCGCTTGGCGCGCAGCGCTGTCGGTACGTCGGCCCATCGCGGACGGAGCCAGGGATCCCCGAATTGGGCGCCAATTGCGCGCGCCCGCCCGCCCGTCCGACGCACCCCCCGACCTCCGAGCTCCCGCTGACTGAAGATTGCCCGCAGGCGCTCCCCTTCTCCGACCTACCCTCGCCCGCCGCGCCGTGCCCGCCATCTCCGCGGCCGTCCGCAACGCGAGCAATGTCCCCGCCGAGGAGCCCAAGAAGAAGGCCCAGAGCATCATCGACGCCCTCCCCGGCAGCAGCCTCCTGTCCAAGACGGCCATCCTCAGCAGCGCCGCCGGTCTCTCCGTCTACGCCATCAGCAACGAGTACTACGTCATGAACGAGGAGACGGTCGTCGCCTTCTGCCTGCTCGCCGTCTGGGGCGGCATCATCAAGTACGGCGGCCCCGCCTACAAGGAGTGGGCCGAGAGCCAGAACGAGAAGATCAAGAACATCCTCAACAGCGCCCGCGCCGACCACACCGAGGCCGTCAAGACCCGCATCGAGGACGTCAAGCAGATGGGCGGCGTGATTGACATCACCAAGACCCTCTTCGAGGTTTCCAAGGTAGGATTGGCTAGCGTGGCTCCTTTGACGGCGGAAACGGGTCGCTGACTGCCGCGCAGGAAACCGCCAAGCTCGAGGCCCAGGCCTTTGAGCTCGAGCAGCAGACCGCCCTGGCTGCCGAGGCCAAGACCGTCCTCGACTCGTGGGTGCGCTACGAGGGCCAGGTCAAGCAGCGCCAGCAGCAGGAGCTGGCCGCCTCCATCATCGCCAAGGTCCAGAAGGAGCTCGAGAACCCCAAGGTCCTGCAGCAGATTCTGCAGCAGAGCGTGGCCGACGTCGAGAGTGCGTCATGATTATTACGATCCCCACTCGTGACTTCTCATTGCTAACTTTTGCCATACAGAGATTGTCTCGTCCAAGGCCCAATAGATGGACAAGGGTAGAGTCTAGATTAAAGGTCACCACATCTTTCCTTTGTTGAACCAACCCCGTGTGCATATACAACACCTGTGCATTAGCCGATCAATCGAGACACTAGTCTATCTATTCAACTATGTAAACCTATCTACCGTGATCCGTGCCTGGCGCGGTGCTTTCTCCCATGCTCCTGGTGCCCGTGGTGAAGAGATGTGTTGAACATGGAGACCGAGTCGAATGGATCAAATCAAACAAGACAAGTCAATCTGCAAATCATGTTGGAAGCGACTGGCAGTAATAATGCAAATATTTAAATCATGGCAGAGCAACTGCATCAACGCTGGTGTAATGACCCTTCATTAGGTACGACATAATAAAAAAGCACACGTGGCTGGTAGTGCAGACCATTCCCATCAAGTCTAGTAATACGGCCGCGACTCATCCCACTTCCTTGTTTCCGCCATCTCCTTGACGACCGGCGCCGGCGCCGGCGACGGCTCCGGAGACTCGGACTTCACCTCGGGAGCCCACGACACCCGGCCGCTGCGCCGCCTCCGGGCGCCTTCGCCCCTGGTCGGCCCGATCCACTCCCAGGCCCGGCCGACTTCTCCGCTCCGGCCCTCCCTCTGGCTGGTCCGGACGTTGCTATTCTGCTCCACCACGGCCTTGACCTTTTGCCAGATCATTTCCCGCTCCGACAGAGAGTGCTTGGCACGCAGCACGTCGTCTCTCAGGTTCGGCAGGAACAGCCAGGGGTCGTCGAGGTCCTCCTCACCGAGCTCCTTCTGGTTGGCCAAACGACCCAGGACTGAGTCCACCAACGCCGGGACCTGCGCCGAGACGGCCAGGTGATGCCGATAACGGGCGCGCAAATACAAGACGGCAATCGACAGCGAGATCAAAAGTCCAATTGGGAGTCGATGTCGCGCCAGCCCGAGCCTGACGGAGCGCTTGACCGCACAGGCGATCGGAAGGCGAGCGAGAGAGGAGGACGAGTACTTGCGGTTTGGAAGATCGGGGGAACTGGACGGTCTGTGGGTTCAATGACGGATCTGATTAGTCCATGTGTCAATAGAGTTGTGATCCGCAACAAGCCGAGGGGTCACAACCACAGCTGGCGACCACGCCGTGGAAGCAAGGGCAAGATATTTGTACTTACTCGGTCGTCTCGGCCTCGACGGAGACTTCCTCTCTCTCGGCGATGTCGCCGATGGCGTCCTTCCAGAGGTCGTCAAACTCCTTGCTGTTGAGCTTCTTGCTGCGCTTCTTGCTGACGCTCGCCTTGAGCTCCTCTTCTGCGATCGCCGGCGAATCCTCCTGCTTGCCGGACTCGTCAACGAGATCACCGCACTCAAACTTGGCGCGGCGATCTCTGAGCTCCTCGATAGCCTTGTCGGCCACGGCCTTGACGCGTCGCGCCCGCTCTCCATCGGGCTCGCAAGACGGAGGGAGCGGAATCAAGCCGCCCAAGGAGAGAGGATGTGGCTTCAGGATGAAATCCTTCTCGCAGCGGATGGAAAAGTCCTCGTAGCAGAACGCATGCGCAGGGCACTTTTCGCACTGAGGCTCGATGAGAGGCACCAGTGCGTCAGGGACAGGAACTTCTGGGGGGATGAGCGTCTTGGCAGGTCGACCAAGACCACAGTAGCCCACTGCAATCTTCTCCTGGCGATACCAGGCTCCGTATGCGGACAGAAGAGCCAAGAGGAGAACGATTAAAGGAGTCGTCAAACTCGTTTGCCGGCCAGTCTTGGCCGCAGATGGCCGCGGGACCAGGGGCAGTTCTCCTTTGCTGGCAGCTACTTCCAGCTCCAGCTGTTCATCTGGCGTGAACTCTTCACCAGGCTCAAGCATCGCTTCCGGCGTCTCAGACCGCAGCCTGGGGGCCGAGAGTGCAAACGACCGGCTGCTCTGTCGTCGATCGGCGACGTCGTCTGTCCGACGCCGGGATGACTTTGTGCTCTTGACGACGTCATCACCCGCCGTCCTCCGTCGACTCGTCGGTGTCTTCACCGGGGGCGGAGAGCTTCCGCTCTGGAAAGGATTATCATCGGTGAAGACGCTCTCGTCCCCGTGGTGCACGACGGTGTCGTCATCGCCAAAGTCCAGCTCCTCCTGTTCCTCTTCATCCGATTCCGGCTTTATTTGAGGGGTGGCCGTGCGGCGGCTGCGGCGCGTGGACCTGGAGACTTCGGAGACGGCATCATCGTCTGTATGCGACAGTGCACGGCTCACGGAGCGTGAGGCGCGCTTCCGCGGGCTTCTGAGGTGGGATGCCTCGTGGTCATCCTCTTCCAGCTTGACCCTGGCGGAGCTCTTCCTCGGGGACATCGAGCGGCGGGATACGGGGCGGGAGGGCGGCGGGTCGTCCCAGGTGTTGGTGTCCTCGGCGCTGCCCGCGTTGACGATGCCGTAGCTCGACCGCTTCGCCCTGGCCCTTTGCGCCCGCAACCGCGGCACCTGCGGCATCACATGGTCGGTGACGAGCTGCACGAGCTGCGGCTTCTTGGCCGTGGATGGAAAGTTGACGTTGTGCGTGACGAGGATGGAGCGCAAACGCGGCACCGTCACGGTGCGGGGGTCGAAGCCCTCCTGGAGATAGTCGTCGGCATCGGCCATGGCGGGAGCCTGTCCTGCTGTGCGATGGGAGAGAGAATCTCCTATCGTGCGAACAGTCGCAGCCGAGTGCAGCCTGATCTATGCTTCCGCTGGAACGGGGTCAGTGAGACAGGGTTCTGGGAAGAGGCCACGGTGGGATGTGGCCGCAGCCTGGCCGCAGGAGTACCAACCCCGACGCGAGACGGCGAGCGTGCGCGACGCGCAGGAGACGGACAAGGGGCTGGAGGAGTGAAAAAGAAGGCTGCGGCCCCAGCGGCTTGAACGCAAGAAGGGACTGCGACGCAATGCAAGGATGGCGAGCAGGCTTTGGCGAATTTTCTGTTCAAAGGACCCTGGTGCTCGGGCGTTTGTTGTTGGTGAAGTCGAAGGTCCCACTGACGCAAGAGATGGCGCCGTTGTCTGTGGCAACTGCTGGGGCAAAAGTGGCCCCTTCCGCCTTGAGTGGCGTGGGGCCCGGACCTCGGGTGCACGGGCCCATTGCACAGCCACATGTGACGGCCAAGCCACATAGCAGAGCAGGCAAGCCACACACATCCTCGAGGGCTCCATGACGAAGTGAGGCGGCGGGAGCGCGGCGGGCCCCTGCAAGAAAGTCTGGTGGTGGTGGAACTGCTGGTGGTGCAAGTGGTGCCATCTCCATGCCGAGCTCGACAGCTTCCCGTCTTCGCCATTGACACGCGCATCGCTGTCGCCGGCCGTCATGTCGGCTACCAAGAGCCTGTTGGCGACCCCGCGCTTCGTCTGCCGGAGCTGTTCGCGCTCCCTTCGAGGAAGCCAGCTGCGGCGCCGCTTCTCGACCAAGACCGACGACATTTACGATGTGGTGTGCGTGGGAGGCGGCCCGGCCGGCCTCAGTCTCTTGACCGCCCTCCGTACGTCCTTTCTTTCCAGCAGTTCGCTCCGTATACATGTATTGACGCTTTGCAGGCTCCAGCCCCGTCGCCTCTCGTCTCCGCGTCGCCCTCGTCGAAGCCCAGGACCTCGCCAAGACGGCCGACTGGTCCCTGCCCGCGACGCAGTACTCCAACCGCTGCATCTCCCTGACCCCGACCTCGGCGCAGTTCCTCAACACCATCGGCGCGTGGGCGCACATGCGCCGCGACCGCGTGCAGGCCTACCAGGAGATGCAGGTGTGGGACGGCCTCACCGACGCGCGCATCGAGTTCGACTGGCCGCCGGGCTCGTCCGGCCCCGGCAACACAATCGCGTACATGGTCGAGAACCTCAACGTCACGTCGGGCTTGCTGAAAAGACTGAACGAGCTGGGCGGCGTGGATGTCTTTGACAAGTCCAAGGTGGACAGGATCGAGCTGGGCGAGGAGACCGAAGACCTCGACTTGAGAGAGTGGCCCATCGTCCATCTTTCCACCGGCAAGAGCCTCGCCGCTCGGCTGCTGATCGGCGCGGACGGCGCCAACAGTCCCGTTAGGACCTTTGCCGGCATCGAGAGCCGCGGCTGGGACTATAACCGCCACGGCGTCGTGGCGACCCTGCAGCTCGAGGGTGACGGATGGGGCGGCGAGTACAGCAAGATCGCCTACCAGCGCTTCTTGCCAACCGGGCCTGTCGCCATGCTCCCTCTTCCGGGCAACTTCTCTACACTCGTCTGGTCTACCACGCCCGAGAACGCTGCCGTGCTGAAGAAGCTCCCCGCAAAGGAGTTCGTCGCAATGGTCAATGCCGCGTTCCGCCTCAGCCCGGTCGACTTGGCATTCATGCACACCCAGCCCTCCGGCCAGGCGGAAGAGTATGCCTGGAGGATGCAGCACACGACCGTTGATGCCGAGACCGTGCCTCAGGCCGTCGTCGGCGTTCAGGAGGGCTCCGTGGCGTCCTTCCCGCTCAAGATGCGGCACGCAGACACATACATCGGCGAGCGCGTCGCTCTCGTCGGCGATGCAGCGCACTCTGTGCACCCGCTCGCGGGGCAGGGGTTGAATCAGGGCCAAGGCGACGTTCAAAGCCTCGTCAAGGCCATCGAGTACTCGGTAACGCACGGGCAGGACCTCGGGACGCAGCTGTCCCTCGAGAGCTACAACAGCGAGCGGTATGCCGCCAATCACGTCCTCCTCGGCGTATGCGACAAACTGCACAAGCTGTACTCGGTGGAGAGCGGGCCACTGGTGCCGCTGAGGTCCATCGGTCTCAAGGCGGTCAACGCCATGACGCCGCTGAAGACGTACATCATGGAACAAGCCTCGTGGACGGGAGCCAAAGCCTAAGAATAGCAGTTGTTGCGCTGTGAGGCGTGTCTGAGTATTGTAGGAATAGGCAAAGATTTGTACACCAGCCACGACTCTTCTGCTTGCTCAAGCCATGAAGCATAATGTTGCAGCATAGTCTCACAAAGGACGACTTCTATTGGAGTATATACGTTGTTCTCCCGTCAGCTATGACTACAGACAAAGAAAAATCCTAGCTTTGACATTCACATGCGTCCCAGAGTCTCTACCGATCAACCTCACCTGTGCACTTGTTAGCAAAAGGACGACTCACGTGGTCAACGGCAGTCAAGTTTACTTACCAAACACCAGGTCCATCGTTCCGATAACAGCAACAGCGTCGGCCAGCAGATGGCCCTTGGAAACGTGGTCGAAGCCACCCAAGTGGGCAAAGCCGGGAGCACGGATATGACACCTGTACGGACGCTCACTGCCGTCCGAGACGACGTAGACACCCATCTCGCCCTTGGGGGCCTCGATGACGGAGTAAGTCTCACCAGGGGGCACGGCGTAACCCTTGGTGTACAGCAGGAAGTGGTGGATGAGGGCCTCCATGTTCTCCTTCATGGCGGAGCGGGGAGGAGGGGAGATCTTGTAGTCCTCGACGCGCACGGGGCCAGCGGGCATGTCGTTGAGGCACTGGTGGATGATGCGCAGGGACTGTCGGAACTCCTCCATGCGGCAGAGGTATCGGTCGTAGCAGTCACCGTTCTTGCCGACCGGGACGTCAAACTCGACCTTGTCGTAGGCGTCGTACGGCTGACTCTTACGAATATCCCAAGGGACGCCGGAGCCGCGGAGCATGACGCCGGTGAAGGACAGGTTCAGAGCCTCAGCGGCGGAGACGACACCGACACCCCGAAGACGCTCAACCCAGACACGGTTGTCCGTGAGCATCTCCTCCGTCTCGTCGATACGGTCGCCAAACTGCGTAGCCCACTGGTAGATGTCGTCGAGGAGGCCGACGGGAATGTCCTGGTGGACACCGCCGGGACGGACGTAAGCGGCGTGGAGACGGGCACCGGAGACGCGCTCGTAGAACTCCTATATGCGCATTAGCCAATTGCGACCCTCGGATGACGGAAAACATGATCACGTACCATGAGCTTCTCTCGCTCCTCGAAACCCCACAGGAAGGGGGTCAGGGCACCGACGTCCATGGCGTGGGACAGGACGGACATGAGGTGGTTCAGGACGCGGGTGATCTCTCCAAACAGGGTGCGGATGTACTTGGCGCGGTCGGGAATCTCGATGTTGAGCAGCTTCTCGACGGCAAGGGAGAAGCACTGCTCGTTGGTCATCATGGAGACGTAGTCGAGTCGGTCAAAGTAGGGCAGAGCCTGGAGGTAGGTCTTGTACTCGATCAACTTCTCGGTGCCTCGGTGGAGGAGGCCGACATGGGGATCGGCACGAATAATCTCCTCGCCGTTGAGCTCAAGAATGAGGCGCAACACGCCGTGGGCAGCGGGATGCTGGGGGCCGAAGTTGACGGTGTAGTGCCGGACCTTGCGGTCCTCGACCGAGTTCTCGCGCGACTTCTTGACGGCGTCGGGAGCGCCGCGCGTCATGCCGTAGGGGTCGTCGGGGTTGGCGAAGTTCTCGTCGACGGGGATCAGGCGCGTGCCAGCGGGCTCGGGGGTGGCGTACTTGCGGAAGCACGTCGTCGAGAAGGGTCGGGCGGAAAGGCTGGCGGCCATGGTGGCGGGCCGCAGGCACATCCGCTTGGCCGCTCGGCCAGCGAGTCTGTGTATCGTGGCCATTGCGAAGGACGCGGGGCGAGCGCAGATGAGAGCCGGGAGCCGAGGGACAGGGGGGATTCGACGGAGATGCCCCGAGAGAGCCTCGTTGTCGGCGTCAATGGCAGAGGGCGTCGTTGCTGGTCTCTCTCCGAGGGAATGGCAGCGTCAACGAAACGGGGAGCTTTCGTCGTGGTGGGTGGGTTCGACTTGCGGTGGGTTCCGGCCCACGGGAATATTATTTTCGCGCGTGCGGGGCCAATCAGCGGCCGAGCATTAACATTGGCTGCTCCGGCGCATTCTGGCAGGTCGCGGAGGCGATGGCGCCTGCCTCTTCAACCCGCCCGCCGTGCTTGGGCTTGGGCTCTAAGCCTGCGGTCCCAGGGCTGTTCTCGCAGGCCAATTTCGCTGACGAAAGGTGCGGTTCGTGATCGCGTTCCTAAGACGGCATTTATTCTCTTTTTAGGGAGGTGCTCCGACCATCAACTGACACCCACAATTGCGGTGCGGTTTGTCCCGCCGCCAGCGGCGCCCCTCAGCCAGCATACGATGATGAGGACTCATGTCGACTCACTTGACTCGGCCTCGGAATGTTTCCTCAATTGGTTGAATCAGCATTCGCAATTGCTGGGCCATCTTTGATTTCTGTCCCTGAAAGTTCAAGTCGGAATCCGGAGCTCCACACGAAGCAATTGTTTCAGACCAACGCTCTTGTGACGGGTCGCATGCTTCAATTGAGAAATTGGCTGGCGGCGCGGTGTCTTGTTGAAGTAGGTAATCGTTCAAGTTCAACTAACGGAAGGTTGAAGCGGAGTAAAAAGTCAATTGGCGGTCAATTCAAATGCACATTGCGTTACACACGCAGAGGTGATGTTGAGCTTTAGTCTGGTAGGAAGTATTGACGTATGGTGGCAACTGTTGGCAAGTCTGGTTGCTTTAGACTTATGTGACAGCCAAGCTCCTTTCATATTCAGGTGAACATACTCACACTCCGGGCTGTTTCGTTAATTGTTTAATTCACGAGATCCGGCAATTCTTCGAACTCGCAGTTTTCTACACAACTTTTCTCTATTGAACCTGCTGCCTTCAGCGTGTGCGAGTCTAACTCTCGTGCGGTGCCCAGCCCACTGTAGTCTGGTGTTGTCTGTTCTGTTTCCCCGAGGGTTGTTCGCGGCCCTCAATGTTTAAAAAAGGAAACAAACAGAAGTCGGTCGGCCGATGGCCAGACAAGAGTCACGCGAGGAAACCGAGTCTCCCAGTTTCGCACCATCGCTCGCGTTCGCTATGCCGTGACCAGCCGCGGACCCGGTCGATTTGACATCCGGCAACCTGCCAGAACGCCTACGACACGCACCATGGAAACCGTGCCTTTTATGTGCATTAGATACATGCTCCCCCGCCAATCGCCCCCTGCTGAGCGTGCAACTTGTCGGGTTCGCAAGATGAGCTTCCTCCTGGCCATGATCCAAGCACACGCGGCCCGCTGACGCTTGCTGTCAGCCGCCTTGCCCGTTGGGGGCCGCCGGTCGATCTGCTGCACGGCCTTGTCCCGAAGCTCGAGTCGCCGAGGCTCTCACGTCTGCACAAGAGTTTGGTGTCATAGATCACACACACTCTCTCCTCCTCCCATTGCCCTCCTCCTTCTGAAGCTCGAATTGGGTTTCCATCTTCCCCCCCAAAAACAGAGCACAACTACGTGCGGTTTCTTGACCATCCCTCCCGTCGACACGCGCCGCCGCACGCGCCGCGCTCCTCAACATCACTCACAGCCGGCTCAATGGCCGCCCCCGCAGGGACGGCAAGCCACCGCGTCGTGCTCCGCGTCGGCGAGAAGCAATTCTTCACGACCAAGACGACGCTCGCGCCGGCGCGCTTCTTCGCGACGCTGTGGGCCCTCGCCGAGCCCGAGGACGGCGGCGAATACTTTGTCGACGGCGACGCGGAGCTCTTTGAGCACGTGCTGCGCTTCCTGCGCACGCGCCGCTTCCCGCTCTTCTACAGCCGGCAGGACGGGTTCGACCAGGCGCTGTACCTCACGCTGCTCAAGCAGGCGCGCTTCTACCAGGTCGAGGCGCTGGCGGCGTGGATCGCGGAGAAGCGCTACCTCGACGCCGTGTGGACCAGCTCGCGCACCGTCAGCGACACCATCTACGGCGAGAGGCAGTTCCTGCACATGCAGGAGAAGCTCTGGACGAGCGGCGAGGTGTCGCACGCGCTGTCCATCAAGGAGACGGGCTCGTCGTCCAAGCAGTGGAAGTGTCCCAGCAATGTGTGGAAGCATGACGGCAATAGGTTGGCGTGTCACCGCGCGCGATGTCCCGGTCTGAACGGAGACTCGCTGGTCTATATGCGCACGTGGAAGGTCGAGGTCCAGCTCACCGCGGTTGAGATTCGCGATAGCGTCTTGGACGCCGGGCCAGACCCCGATGGCCCGCCGCCGTACGACTTCACCGACTAAGGCGCACATGATATCTCGGATCGGCACCTTGGTGTCAACTCGTCGACTCATCTACTCTGCTCCTGCAAGTCTGCTCGCACGATACCAAACATGATCAAGTCCACCAGCACCCCTTGCTTCTCGGCAGCGCCGCGCCTGACACCTTCCCTCTTGAGGCCGCTCTTTTCCAGCACGCGCTGGCTCGCGACGTTGTGGCCATACGCCTCGCCTTCTATCCTGTTGAGGAGCGGCCATGTCGCGAAGAGCCAGCGCACGAACCCGCCTACGGCTTCCGTCGCGTATCCCTTGCCCCAGGCCGACGGCGTGAGGAAGTAGCCCAGATTCCACGTGCGGTAGAGTATGTCCTCCATGACGTCGGCGCCGAGCCCGCCGATCATCCGCGGCTCCGACGAGGGGTTGTCGGCTGTGTTGGGCTTGATGAGGACGGCGGCGTGGGTCGGATGCGTGGGATGCAGCGCCTTTTCGTGCCGCGCGAAGAACTCGAGCGCCGCGTCCGCCGTGTATGGCGACGGGAAGCGGTCGCTCATCCAGTCGGACACCTGGGTGTAGTTTGCCGCCGCGGCGAGGGCGGGCGCGTCGTCGGCACGGTAGCGGCGTACGATGAGCCGCTCCGTCTCGAAGAAGAGGGCGCCGGGCTCTGCGCCCGGCGGGTTGGGAGACTCCAGTATCCTGCTGGCAGGGGCCATGGCGCAAGAGAGACTTGTTGTAGAGTATCTGTCAATGCATGAATGATACCCGAGCTTCAGGTTGTCGGATGTGGTTGAGCTGCTTTTATGTGGGTTTGTGATGGTTGAATGTTGACTCTTTAGTCTTTACCCAGCTGGGTGTAAGTGAGTGACTCAGACACGGCCCCCGACGCCGGTGCTGACGCTGCCAAATGAACGTCGATCTTCCAGTTCAATTCCCACGAATCCGTCACTTTCCCAGTATTGGAGAAACGAAAGACGGTTTGCCATTGCTTTAAATATTATGGTGTCATCTAGGAATACTCCAAGTGTTTTTGCTACGTTGTGATGACACGAATGATTCATGGCCGCGACGCCGCTCTCCAAAGTATGCTATCGGCAGCGAGCCCTGTGTAAGAAGACTGATAGGCAAAATCCACGCATGCAACACGCTTTCCAATAATGTGAGCCCCAGAACCTGCCTTCTCAGTAACAACATTCTCTGTGGCTCGAGTGTACTTGGCGGAGAGGTTCACGGACCTGGGCCTGAACGTCCTCTCCTACAACATGAAAGCCAAGTCACGCATCCATGAATCAGAGCCATATCTGCAAGAATCGCAGATACTCACCCGAAGCGCTGCCTTTTGTGGCTCCCTTGGCCCTCCTCGTCCCCGTCACCTTGTCGCTGGTGCTTCGACACTGTCGCCTCCCAGTCCTCAGCGCCCTCCGCAGTGCCAACGAGCGCATCCCATATATTGTCGCCCTGCTCGAGCACGGGTCCGTCAAACAGGAGCTGTAAATCCGCATGGCTGCTGTCGTTTGCGGACCCAGGTTGAGCCGTTGTCGTGGTGTTGAAATATCCGTCCACGACTGCGCCTGAGCAGCCGAGTGTTGGCGTCCAGGGCTCGAATGCAAAGGTGCCGAGCGATGGCTGAAACTCTTCAGTGAAGAATATCGACGGCGACACGTAGCCGGTGTTTTGGGTAATGCTTGACGGCATGGGCGGCGGCTGTGTCGGTAAGACGGCGTCTGTGATGTCTGTTTGTTGCGCTGCGTGCTCCGTTGCCGCGCCCTTATCGTCAAACGAGTGAAGCAGAACATCCATTAGCTCCATGTTTGGCGTTATGGCCTCACGCTCGACAACCTCCTCACTCATATTTCCAACATCTCCAAGTGTCATTCTCTCCGCCTCCAGCGGCCACCGTCTCTGCTCCCGCCAGCCCACCTCCCAGAGCAGGTCCCGTCCCTGCCCCCACGCCGCCGCCACCCTCCTCGCAAACAAGCTCTGGCCCCGACCCTCTGCAGTCTTTATCGTGGCAGCACAATCGCCGCCGTCGACCACCGCTGGCAGGTCGTCCATGGCCCGTCGCATGCAACCCACGCAGCACGCCGTCTCGCACCGCCGCCGACTCACCACCTTGGGCACCTTGCACCCGCTCGTGAACGCGGCCCAGTTCCACCGCGTCGCGCTGCTGCTGCCGCTGGTTCTGCCGCCGCCGCGACTGCAGCTGCTGTTTTCTCCGTGCGCAGATCCACCGCACTCAGCAGCGGCGGCCTCGTCGAGGGTGGTGAGGGTGGTGTAGGCGGTCTCGCAGGGCCGGAGGATGTGCCACCCGATCACGCCGCGGCAGTGAGGGCGCCGGCAGAAAACCTCTCGAGCCTCGCACATAGGGAACTCGGTTGCTTCGTACAGCTGCCTCTGGTAGTCTTTCGTTGGCCCGCGCGCAAAGGTGCATGCCGCTCACGACCTATACAAGTCGAACGTGGCGGTGTCGGTGTTTGGTGTTGCCTCGATAGGGTCGAGCGTGAGTGCTAGAGCAGAGACGCTCGAACTTGAAGACCTCCTTGCGATTCGCTTGATCTTTGCCCGTTGCTTGTCGCGATGGCCTGCGGCTCGTGTGGCAGGTCCGAGGGCGCAGCGTCATCGTGGACGATATATACGTGTGGCCCAGTCCGTGACGAGGCGCGCACAAGGCAGTGAATGGAGCGCGCTTCCCTCTCTGCATTGTGGCAAATGCAGAGCTGTGTTATTGTTCATCGCGGTCTAGCTATCGGTGGAAACACGCCTGACCCTTGGGCTGACGACAGCGTGGTGCTGTGAATCACGTCACGGCGATGTCGTCCGGTGTCCTTGTCCGACACGGCTCACGCGGCGTCTCGCGGGACATCTGTGAAAGTCCGGGTGAGTCTGGTTCTCAGGTTGATCCAAAGCACTTCGTGCTGGTGCTTGCTACTTCCGCTGCAACTCAAGGCGGTCCGTGGCGCGAGATGGCGAGAAGGCGACGTTGCGGCAGAGCTGCGCAACTCAAGAGGGTCTCGAGACGCTCGTCCCGGAAAAGTTATAGTTCTCGTACCGAAAGTTGCATGGCAAGCCAGCTGGTTTGTGTCCATGCCCCAGCTTCGCCTTGACTTTCACAGGACTCGTCACTGAAGATATGTTGATGTGCGGTGAAGATTGTCGAAAACTGGGACGAGTTTTGCGCGATCGAGTTAAGAACTTGCATGTGCAATAGTCAGGGGTTGCTCTCCGCAACGATATGCCGTGCGCGTCTTGATGCTCTTGAGATGTCGACCAACCATCAGCTTGTAGGCCCAGAAACAGGGCAAATGGGTACTTCTATCGCGAGGTAGCTATACTACCATAGACTGCGTGGCGATTTTGCCCACTGCAAAGGCCAGACCGGACAGAGGCTCAGGGTATTAGGGGGACGAGAGTGGCAAGACGCGTGTGAGACCAGAACGGGTATCATTCAGCTCGAAGGCTCTCCGGAACTACCGACCAGATTGACGCACAAGACGGCCGCACCGGCCGCTAGACTGCCCAGCACCAGCATTTGCGACCCTTCCAACAGGCACCGCCGCCAGCTACGGTCCTCCCCTCGCAGAACCCAGCTCTTGCCGGAGCCAAAGGCCATCAGGGCCACCAGGCATAGGCCGATGCTCCACCGCAGGGCCAGCCCAACCGTCGCGGCGAAGAAGTAGGGGAAGAGGGGTATGATGCCGCCGACGACATAGCCCAGCGATATTGAAAGCCCGGAGGCGACGGGCCATACGGGCAGCTGCGGTTCTGATAATGAAGGGTCGTGGATCGAGACTTGGCGCCGTTGCTGCTGGACCCGTGCGGCGGCGCGCGAGAGGTCGTCGGGGCTCCTTCTCAGAGATTCCAGCATTTCTGACATGATTGAGTCTGAGAGCGCCAGCGGCTCTAGATGCTGGCGCACAAGGTCTTCGTCGCGCACTTCGGAACCCCGCTCCTTCTCATCCATGCTCTCGCGCGTGCTGTCGCCATCGCTCGCCACGCTTGTAGAGCCCGTGCTCCCGTCATGGAGCATCCCCCTCAGCTCCTCCTCGTCACCCGCAACATCGCTGCGCGAGCGTTTGCCGTGCTGGCTCGACGCCGAGGGCAGCTCGTCCAGGGCAGCCAGGTAGCCGCCAATGCCCATGCTGATGCTCCCGGCGCAGAGCTCAGCGAGGCCGGCGGAGATGACCGTGTCGGCGCGGCCCAGGGAGCTCAGCCCGGCCGTAAGGGCAAAGGGAACGGTGAGGCCATCTGAGAAGCCGAGGGTGAAGTCGGATAGGAAGCGGGTGAGGTACGGGCTCCTTGATCTCGCCATCTTGTCGTGCCGCTGTGATGGAAGTTGAGTGACGGTTGCTCCGCGAGGGTTCTGGCGGGCGGAGGAATGCAAGTGCCGCTCGCGTGTCTTAAGACGTGCCCTGGCCACGGCCCATGCGAATGGTGGTGCAGCAGGTTGCGTTCACAGAGGTGGGATGGAAAGCAGTGACAGTAACAACGTTGTTGGTCGGATTGGCGCGGCAAGGTTGGTTAATGGTGAGAGGTACACATGTTTGTATAAAGAATGCTCGCTGAAGATTGTTGGACGACTGGCCGGAAGTATTGAAGCAAGGTGGTCCAGATGAGAAGCGCACCAGGGAACTCGTGGTGTTGGTGCACGTGGTCGATGGTGCCCCGTGCCAACACCCAAGGGAGGGAGGGAGGCGCAACCCGCGCCGTCGCTGGCACTTGCCACTGAGCAGCGCGGCACGCCCACCTTGGAGGTCACAGCATGTACAGTTCCTGCAGTACAACAGTAAACGTCCAGCACGTTATTGGTTCTACTATCCTGGTTCTACTGTGCTCGTCACGGTATTTCGGAGTACGGTACATACTTGGTGACGACAGCTTTTGGCCATCAACATCGGTGGGGGCATCCTCAGTTCAGATTTCAGACTCGGGTAGGAGCGTTGTACTCCGTAAATCGCCCTGAGAGTTCCTCTTGTCCATGCATAAGGTAGGCAATACTGTACCGTCGCCGCCCGCCGCCTTCACTTTGATCTGGAATCATGGATTGCAGCCGCCAAAGACCCAAGACCGGGGCCACCCATCGCATCGAATCCATGGCCGCTCAAGGCCTCGTGCCTACGAACCCAGCACTGAGCACGGCTACACTGTACTTTCATAGCATCTCGAGCAACTGCTGCAGCACCACGACCGCCACTACCACCACCACCATGCATGCAGCAAGGCGCCGAACCAGGGGCCCGCGCGACACATGACATGATCGCCGCTCGACCACCAGATCCACCAATTCTCCCGCTCGCCTCCGTTTGGTGCGCACCCGATGCGACGTTGGACAGGCGCGCTCCCCCATTCCCCCTCCAGGTTCTCCCCCCGGGTGCCTGCCCTTGCGCCCCCCTCCGCAGTGGCGGGTGCGCTCCGGCGAACCCCCATCAGCTTCCTCTTTCTCACTAAGGCCCGGCCGTCGCGGTCCCGGTGCCCCCCAGGACCGGCGCTCTCTCTCAACTGCCATTTGATGCTTACTCTTCACGTAGTTACTATCCGATCCTGACTCTTCTCAGGGTCCGCTGCCGCTGCCGCTTCTCCTCGCGAGGTTCATCGGCTTTTGAGAGCCCGAGCTGCAGCTGCGCCAAGTGCGCAACCGACGGCCCGAAAGGGCGGTCCACGAAGACGGTCGCCCGCCGTCACTTGCCCGGCACCATTACTCTGCGGCCTCGATGCCCTGTGCTGCCCCCGGCCATCCACTTGCGCTGTGTCTGGGGATCGAGTCCCACCCGCTGAGGAAACGAAACGCGAAGCACATACAGCAACGTTAATAGCGCAAGAAACAATTCGACCACTTACAAGGCTGCCTCGCAGCAGGTGGCCTCTGTGCAGGCAAAGTTTCGTGGCTGTCCGGCCCGTCCGACCGGACCACGATACTTTTGTCCGACCGCGCCGCAGCCGTCCCTTCGCCCACGTGCTGTCGCTGCTTAAGAATGATGCCTCTCTGATTCGACGGCGGGACTGGCTCGCCAGGCTCGGTGTCTGCTCTGGGGACCGGGTGGGACCTCCCCTGGGGCCCTGCCCTGGAGCTTCTCGGAGCAAGGCCGCAGAGGGCGGGGGGCGGCAAGGATGCCAAGATTGTGGATTCAACAGGGGTCGTATCAGCGGGGGAGGACCGGATGCCATGCCCAAACGAGGACGCGGTCGACATCCCACCACCTGGCGAGGAGTGGCTGTCAGCGTCGTGGATCGTCATTTGCAGACGATGGCCTCTGCTCGTCAGCGTCCTTGCTTGCGCATTCGACCCTCGCGCCGAGCCCGCGGTCCGTCGCAGGATGGGAATGGGATGGCCCATCCCATCCCATCCACCATCACGAGCGTATCACCGTCCTGTCCCCGCCTGGCTCCGCCTAAGGAACCCCCCCGCACGGACAAGAATGTCCCGTTCGCACATTGCTATTACGAAGTCCCTACACAGGAAATGCGACGTGCCAAGTGCAAGCGCAAAGTACTGCCGGCTTGGCGGAAGTTCTTGGCCGGGTGGTTGAGACTCGAGAGGGGGGGAGGCGGCGGGAGGATCTTATGGCGGCCTTGGCCGATGTCAGCACACCGACTAGATCGCGCCGCTCTCGTGCACGGAGCATGTGCGCCACAACGCCTCAAGCACCTCCCAATCTTGGAAGGAGGGCACATGTCCTCTGCCCCGACGTGTGTCGCGATTCACCTTCAGCCCTCTGGCCCGTGCCTGTTCCCGTGCCGCCGTGCCTGTATCATGTGCGCGGGGCCTTGAAGCTTCGACAACTGTACTGTAATTCGGTTTTTTATTTCCATGCTGTGTGGCCCCATGAATGCAGTCGAAACACGGCAACTATATATCTTAAAATAAATAAAAATGGGCACGGCCCCGCGTGGCGCGGTCCTGGATCAAGATGCCAATGGCCCTTGCGCCAAAACGTCCCTCTTTCGCTGTACTACTGTACTGTATCGTGCTGGACTGTGCTGTGCTGGGCTCCGTATTGTGACTGACGACCCATTGGCCGCCTTGTCCGAACAGGGCACCGCGCCGATCTGACGACGGGCTCCTCCTTACTTGGGCTCGTAGCCCTTGGGAGGGTGGATGCCGTCGGGGACCTCGATGGTGTCCTCGTAGTAGGTCGGCGCCTTGCTGTTGGCCCAGGTCTCCTTGATGGACTTGAGGATGGGGCGGCCGTGGAAGCTCTTGTCGAGCTTCAGGTTGGGCGCGGGGAAGCGCTTGTTGCCGCCCTTCTCGTTGAAGAAGCCGGCGTACGAGTAGTTGTAGTACATGCCTTGGAGCTCCTGCTCCGACGACCACTTGCGCAGCTTGTCGCCCGTCTTGGCGGCGACCCAGTCGTAGACGTTGGCGCCGACGTCCCAGCGGCCGAGCGTGGGCAGGTCCCAGTTAGCGGAGACGGTGGCGATCTCCGAGTAGTGGTTGTAGAAGTTCTTGTCCTCGGTGCCGACGAGGTGCTTGGGGACGGCGTCGCCGAGGAGGATGCCGAGGATGTTGTTGCGGGCGGCGTAGCTCTCGTTCTCGTCCCAGGTGACGAGGACGAGCGTGTTCTGCATGAAGTTGCGGTCGTCGAGGAGGGGTTCGAGGAACTTGCGGCACCAGGCGCCGGCCGTGGTGACGTCGGTGTCGTGGCCGTCGGACGTCATGTTGGGGGTGATGAACATCCACTGGGGCAGCTTGTTGGCCTTGAGGTCCTTGTGGAACATGGAGCGCGACGTGTCGATCATGGACAGGTTCTTGATCTGCGACAGGCGGTGCTCCGAGTGCGCGACGCTGTCGTGCATCACAGCGGGGTTGTGCTTGCGCACATAGTCGTTGGCGCCGTTCTTTTGGTTGCGGAAGCCCTGGCCCTCGAAACCCGAGTAGGGCATGTCCTCCTGGTAATGACCCCACGAGATGCCCTTGGTCTCGAGCAGGTCGATGACGGTCGACACGTTGCGCGGCGAGCGGTCAAAGTCGTCGTTTTGCATGCCAAAGTAGTCGCCGGCAATGGAGGCCATGTAGTTGGGCTGAGACGGGTGGGTGACGGCGAAGTAGTTGGACAGGGTGATGCCCTTCTTGGTGAACCACTTGAAGTTGGCTGTGCGACGCCGTCGTTGTTAGCGACCTTGTTTTTGGGCTGCGGAGAGACAAGACTCACGGTCACCATACGACTTGTCGTAGTTTTCGTTCTCAAAGTATATGACGACGAAGCGGTCGAACGCCTTGCCCTTGACGTGGCTGGTCGGGCTGCTCGTCTTGGCCGTGGCGGCGGCGGCGGCAACCTCCTTGGTGCCCGTGGCCGTGTAGCGAGTCTCCCATCCCGTCTTGGTGCCATGGGGCTGGCACTTGCTGGCGAGGGCGACGCTGGCCGCGGCCAGGAGACCGGCAGCTTGGAACAGCATGCTGAGGGAACCTGGTATGGACAATGGACGGACGGTTTGGCACAAAAGGGATGTTCGCAGGGCACGCACGGCAGCGCAGGGAGTGGGTGTCGTCGCCTTGATATTCACGATGTGGATGGCCGGCAATAAGGTAAGTACCCACGTACACTCAGGACATGCCGTCTGTTGCGGTGCCAGACAGCCACACGCATCAGAGCGCCGTGGCAGTGTGCCTGGGCACCCCGAATGGCGCGTGCGTGCTTGTCGGCCGCGCCATGATCCGCTTCATCCACCCAAGGGATGCATCCTGGATGTGACAATGGTCGTGCTCTGGCTGGCGGGCTCCTCGACCCCGAGTTCGGCGCGACCAGTCGTTTAGCCCGCCTGCCGGGGCGCCATTATGACCTTCCTCCAGCGGCTCGGATGCCCAGCTCGAACGGTCCACTGCTCGGTCAACGGATGAAGCCGCATTGGAATCCGAACTCAGATGCAGCTGTCCGACAAGGTGGCGCGCGCCAGATCGGCCAAGCCTGACCAGGCTAGAACAGCTCCACAGGCCCGCGCCCACGCCCACCAAAAGGTCCCGGCTGGAATAAGCCTGGTGTGAGTGGCCGAGGAGGAGTCGAGGACTGGAGAGAGCGCCGGGGGCCGCGATCTGCGGTGCAAGGCCCCCAGTCGGGTCCCCTCCGCGAGGTGTCGCTTGATATGCCGAGATGGGCGCACGTGTGCTTTGCCTGCCATGCTCGTCAGCGACGCGAGCCAGACCAACGCGATTTCTCCATCCGCTTGTCGATACAGCACAGCACGATCCTGTCCAGGTTGCCCGTCGGCTGGGGCTGCGAGCTAGCATCTCTTTGACAGGCAGTGTCGCGTGCCGAATTATCCGTCCGGGAAGGCCACCTGCCCATCGCTTCGCGCACGTTTCCCTCCCCCGGTTCCCTTCGACTTCGATAGTCCTTCGGCGTCAGCATTTCGAAGTCTTGGAATTTTTTGCAAACCGCGAAGCCGGGGCCCGGAGGGTCCTACCCAATGACATCTGACCGGAACATCACGCGCTGCAGATACGTTGTTGTTGGGCACCGGCCCGGCTTGCCACGCTGCGGAGCGACGACACTGCTGCAAGAATGACTCGCTGCAGACTGGCGTGACCCTGTTGTCTGCATGCCACTCTGCCCCATACTGTACTGGACCGTACCGTGCTCTTCCCGGAGGGTACGTTGTACAGTCGCCTCTTTCGAGGCTTGCTTCATCCAAGGGTCTGCTTCGTCGGCGCCGGGAGCGTGGGAATCCAACTCCGCTAGCCTCCGTCCGTCTGTCGGCCAGGGCACGAGCCATGGTGGGTGGTGCACCTTGCACGGCGTGAGAGCACCACCGTTGCAATCGCAGCGGCAGACCCTGAAGGCGACGAGCAAGGCGCATCGATGGCGCGGTCGTCGCAGCAGGGTGAGCCGTCGTCGTCGTCGTCTCGCGTTACGCGCAGCGCCATGAGTCAGGATGAGGCCCGAGATGGCGATGAGGGAAACCAGGCCAACGAGGCAGCGCCTTTCCTCCAGGCAGACGCCGAATATGGACACGTTCGTGCGGCAGGTGCAACCCGCCGACGACTCCCTAGTCCGGGCGCACTGCAAAAACGCCAGCGCCGCTCGCAGGGCTTCTGTCAACTGAGCATCTTCATCGTCCTCGTCTTCGTCTCGGCCCTGGCCCTCGCTGGCGCCGTCTTGCGCTTCTCACCCAACAACACCGCACCCGCGGGCGACTCTACCACTCACCCGGACCACGACCATGGGGATAACCACGAGGACCAGGCCCCCCACCACGGCGATGCGCCTGTACCAGGCCATCACGGGGACGACGACGTCGACAAAGTCGTCCACTACCATGAAGACATCCCCGGCGTGGCCCAGCTGAGAGACGTGTCCGAGTACGTCCTCAATCCTCACTGGGATTTCACTGCGTCTCCCGTCACTCGCGAGTATCACTGGACGATCCTCGATACCGACCTCAATCCGGATGGTGTTTTCCGCCCCATGATGCTCATCAACAACCAGTTCCCGGGTCCACTCGTTGAGTGTAATGAGGGCGACACACTCATGATCAACATTGTCAACAAGGCCGTCAACGCCACGGCGATTCACTTCCACGGCCTGTTCCAGAATGGAACCAATGCCATGGACGGCACCGTTGGAGTGACCCAGTGTCCCATCGCGCCCAACTCCAACTTCACCTACAAGTTCGATGTCAAGGGACAGTCGGGCACGTATTGGTATCACGCACACCACAGCGCTCAAGCCTCGGACGGCTTGTTGGGCCCCGTGGTCATCCACTCCAAGGACGAGCGCACCCTTCAGGAGCTGGGGTACGCAACGGATAGGGTCGTCATGGTCCAGGACCACTATCACAACACCACCGCCGAGCTGCTGATGGATTACCTCCAGCCGGACAAGGAGAATGACGAGCCGGTCCCGGACAATGCCCTCATCAACGGCCGTGGCGTGCGCGACTGCGCCGACTTTCCCGGCCACCGCTGCGACGCCAGCAACGCGTCCGCGCCGGTCCTCGACCTCACCGCCGGCGAGCGTCACCGCCTGCGGTTCATTAACGTCGGCGCATTCGCCGAGTTTCAAATCCAGATCGACGAGCACCCCTTTTACATCACCGAGGTGGACGGCACAGACGTGCACCCTGAGCCGTTTCATCGCCTCAACATACTCCCCGCGCAGCGGTACAGCATCGTCGTCGAGACAAACTCCACATCGGCGGACACTTTCTGGCTGAGGGCGAGGATGGTGGCCCACTGCTTCACATCTGATAACCCTCGCCTCCAGACGGAGCTCAAGGGCATCGTCCGCTACATCTCGCCAAGCACTCGCCCGCTCCTCGACGCGGAGCCGAAGAGCAAGAACTGGGAAGACGCCATCGAGGTGATTTGCCGGGACCTCAACACCACGGCCCTCCATCCCGTCAAGCACGCCACGCCACCGGCGGCCGACGATTTTGTGGCCCTGCGCGCCAGCTTCAGGATCGGGGCGTGGCGGCTATCTCGTGGCTTCTTCAACAGCTCGACGTGGCACGGCAATGCCACCCACCCCTCGCTGCACCGCTTCCTCGACGCCCCCTCCGACGTCCAGGCGCTCGACGTGCCGTTCGGCGTCAACGACCGCGCCTTTGCGCGCGACACGGAGCTCGTCCTGCAGACCACCGGGATCCGCACCGTCGACATATCCATCAACAACTTCGACGACGGCGCCCACCCCTTCCACCTCCACGGGCACAAGTTCTTCGTCCTCGCCCAGGGCCGCAGCGGCTACCCGCCCTCGAGCAGGGACAGCCTCGCCGCCTACCTCGACGCCCACGGCGGCGGCCTGCCCGAGAACCCCCTGCGCAGGGACACGGTCACCGTCGAGCCCTACGCCTGGGTCGTGATCCGCGTGGTGCTCGACAATCCGGGGCTCTGGACGCTGCACTGCCACAACACGTGGCACGCCGAGGCCGGCATGGTGATGCAGATGCTGGTCCGCGGCGACGTCGTCAAGGGCTGGAAGGTGGACCCGGAGCAGAGGGCCATGTGCGCGCGCAAGGGCGTCGAGAAGGGCATGCGGCCCGACGACAGCATCTGGTTTGGTTCATTTTAGCGAGCGGGAGCACACCGCCATGGTCGGATAACACTGTTGAGAGAAAAGTCGAGGGTTGATTGTGTCAGATGTACATGGCGTGGCATGGCGTTTGGGCGTGTTTCCTTGCTGCTGATGCTGCGGTTCACATAGAGATATCACTAAGCACTAGCCACCCGAGCAGTGCAGGTAACACGAATTATATTGGATATCAGACACCGATGCCGCACGGCAAGGGAGCCGAATCTCATATTTTCCCGCTCTCCATGGTCAGGTCACGCGGCACCGTTGCCCGTCCTGCCATCCCGATTCTTTTGGCGTACCCAACCCGCGCACACACGCTATGTCCCTCTAGATCCACCGCCGTAGAGGCAACGATGCCTCGTCGCCGGCCGTCCAATACAAGGGAAGCAGTCTGGCCTTTTTCCCCCGCCTTCTAATGTCTCCTGTATTTGCCTCGGCCCCTTCGGACCCCCGGACCCCCCAAACACGCAGATTACATGGCCGCTCTCGGCCGCCGACAGGTAGTAAAGGAAAGATGAAAAGGAGTCGAAAGTGGTGATTAATAACACACAGCAGTCGCTTCCCCAGACTGTGGGGAGGGATTGCAAACGCCAACGGCCGTGCAATGCGTCTTTGAGTGCTGAAAACAAAAGCCACGCAGGGCGTGGCTGTCGGCTGGTACAGTCTCCTTCCCCGGCCTCGAGACGGCCAACGCCAACAAAAGAGATTGCAGAAAAGCTCATGCTTTTTTTCCCAGGCCTCGCTATGCATGTGTTTCGAAGTGACGACGCTGCGGTATGGTACGGTTCTTGTCCGTACTGCAATCCGGCGCGTCCGCTGGTAAAGAGATGAAAAGATGATGTCCCAGCCCGCACGCAGACTTAAACTAGCTGCGGCCGGCTACGTTAACGCCTGGGTTGACAAAGGCCCGAGAGGCGATGTCGCTAAATCGCCGCACCACATTCGTCGTGCCACCGGTGACCTGCGCCTCGTCGAGAATGAACTTTGAGGCCACCGCCAGTCTGTTCTTGGGGTCCGTCTCGTCGAGGTGCTGCGGGAGCGTATTTCCAAAGCCAGGCTCGAAGTTGGGCGCAAGCTCTCGGACCACGGCGATGGAGTAGAGAACGTCGCGGTTCTCCCGCCCGTCCAGCAGACGGCGCATCCTGCTCAGCATGTCTTCCCTGGCCTTGACGGCCTGTGGTGAATTCGGGCTGTCGCGCTTCCGCACAAACTCAGCCAAGCAGTACCAAAACTCATACTGTCGGGATCGGTGCGGGTCTTGGTCGGCAACGGGGGCCGCAAGTGGGTTGGCCATCAGGTATTCTCCGCAGAGCAGGGTCTCAACGACATGCAGCCGGTTGCGTGCCTCGGCTGCATCGCCTTCGGGTGGCAAGTTCATGCGAGGGGCGCTGTTGGTCCGATCCGGCGTGGCATATGCGGTGCATGCCAGTTCCCAAACAATCCTCGTCTCCAGCACGCCCGAGTAGGCCATCTGGGCGTGGTCGTTCGCCTTGACCGCCTCCAGGATCTTAAGGAAGGACGCCATGTGCTCAATCAAATTGGCGTCCTTGGGGAAACTCATTTTCCCGTTCTCCGCAAAATAGTACCACGTTGTCTCGAAGAAGGCGCCGAGCGCCGCCGCGTACATCTCATGATACACCTTTGTGATCTCGTTAAAAGTCTCTTCGGTATGACTGATCTGCTGCGCCGGGGGCGGCGGCCCGAGCAGGTCGATAATCTCGTGGATCTTCATGCTTCTGGCTACTGCTGGGGTAAAGGCATTAGTACATGGGAGGCAATTCAGCGATTCAGACCAGGCAGCTCACCTCGGGAAGGATTGCCGGCAGCCAAGTGCGGCGGAGGCTTTTGATCGAGTACTCTGGAGCTTTCGGGCAGCGAAGTCGAGGACATATGGCGGTCGGGGTCAATGCCTGACGAATGGTCGTAGCTTAGCTCCTGTTTGATCGGGGGCGTGTAGTCGTAGCTGGGGTCGGATCGTGCGGAGACTGGCGGAGGAGCCGTAACGGGCTGGCTGTAGCCGGTCGTCGCGGCCGCGGTATGACTGATGGGGCCCGTGCTCAGGGTCGTTGCCGGGCTCGAAGAGTATGAGCTAGGCAGCATAGACGGCTGGGCGCCGTATGAATTGCCAAGGCGCGGGCCGGGCACCGCCGTGGTGTGCAAGGCGGACACGGGTGGTACGGGCGACGCGACGGGTGGCTGGCTCACGGGAGCAGGTTGAATATGAGAATTGGGAGGCGCGCCGCCAGCTTGCTGCCTGAAGATGGGATCGTAGCCCAAGCACTCCCGCTTGGACTTTTTGCAGTTGTTGCACGTCGGGTGTGTCTCGTCGCACTGGGGAGCGAGGGTCAATCAGCTATTTCCAGGCGCGGCGAGAAGCATTGGTTGCAGGCGCGTGTAGAGATAGAGTGGCCGCACGATACAAAGCTTGCGGATGTGACGAAATGGCAGCGAAGACAATGAATGGAGGGTTGGGCGTCGTAGGCAAGGAAGGGAGGGAGAGCTCGACGAGCTGGAGGGGTTGTGGACGCTGACGGGCAAGCGCGGAACAATGGTTGGTGCGATCTGCGCGGAGCTCTCCATAGCGCCATTGCCAACAAACTGGCGGCAACCACCACCCCTGCCCACGCGTCGCGGAGCTTCCACGATGCAAGTCGACGACATGAAACACGATAGCAGGACGAGAGATTGAACTCAAAAGCTTGACATACCTTGATTCGCCGCTTGCGACACGTCAAACATCCCGTCTTAGTCCGACGTTTGATCTCCTGTTTGCCAAACGAGCCGAGTCAGCCACGCCGTGCCATTGAGATGAGATGATGCAAAGCATTCGCTTCGGCCAAGCGAGCCGTACCTTTTTAGGCCCTCTGCTCCCCAGAATGCGGGGATCGTGCAGGGGGTATCGCACCATGGGGTCGTGGCCAAGCCCGTAGTTGGACGGCAGCGGCACAGAGTGGTGAGGGTAGAAGGCGGGCGGGCTCGACACAGAGGCCAAGGAAGCGCTCATGCCCATGGACATGGCGTGATGAAGAGCTGGCGGTCCGGAGGGTTGGCTCACTGCCTGGTGAGACAGGGCATCGATGGTGCGCATGCTGGGAAGCGACATCGGGGCGCTGGTGGCCGCGGGCGTAGACCTGTAGACATCGACATGTTGGGCGGCAGACGTGACCGGCGAGTATGAGGAGTAGTGCGAGGGCGTCGAGGGCAGGCTGGTCATGGGCACGTATGCCGAGCCCGGGGGCGATGCCGAGGCGGCCGTGGGGCCGGTCGGGTAGCCCAGGTGCGGACTGTGGTATGAGGCGGGTATGGCAGGCGAGTGGCTCGACATGCTGCCGTTGGCCTCGGGTTCAGACGCCCGTCCGTCGCCGTTCTGCTGAGGCAGGGTATCAGCTCCAGCGGCGGCCGGTGCGGGATTGGAGTTGTCGGAGCCGGCACGCGGTCGCGGCGGTGCATCGGCGGCGGCGGAGGTTGCTGTTGCGGCGGTTGCACCAGTCAAGCCAGCAGCTGCAGCAGCGGCGTCGGATGCATGTAAGGGAGGCGGGGGAGCTTCGGAGGATGCGATGGCCGACGCGGCAGCTTGGGTCGGAGCTGGTCCGGGAGCTGGAACCTCGGGGGGAGCGGGAGTCGACGACGAGGCGGCTGCTGCTGGGGGTGCCGAAGGTCGCGGCGTTGGCGTTGCTGATTCTGTCGCTACAGCCGTAGCCCCTGCTGTCGACGCATTGGCTGTGATGGAAGGAAGAGGAGCAGGTTGAGGCGAGGGGAGCTGTCGAGGAGGAGAAGCAGGAGGAGTAGCTGCAGTGGAGGCGGCGGCGACGGCATCGTGGTAGGCCCGGGCCGGGTCGTCGTCCGCAGGAGCCATTGCCGCTGGGTCTGCGTCTCGTTATTTTTAAATTGGAAATTTTTATGGGACGGGCGACATGGGCGGCATGGGGAGACGAGTTGGGCGTGCGTGTGTCCGTGTCGACAAGCGAGGGAAGGGGGGGTGCGAATTTGACGACCGGGGTTCTGGCCAGACGGGTTGGGTGACTGCGAACGCGCTCCTATTTTCGCGGGCTGGCGGAGGGAGAGGGCGTGACGACGGGGGGCGGGCGCGGGCGCGCGGCAGGCGGAGGGACACGTAGAGTCGCAATGGTCGATGGTTGTGGCCGAGGAGGGGATGGTTGTAGGTGGTGATGGCGCTGGTGGTGGTGGTAGTGCGGCCTCTACGTCGGCTGCCGCTGCTACTCGATGCGGCTGCCGCTGCTGCTCCTGACGGGGTGGAGCAGGGGGGGGCAGATTGATTGCAAGGCAAATGCCCCCCGGAATGGGCTGCAGCTCGCCGTGTAACGCGCGGTCCAACACGGGCTCGAGGCGTGTGCGTGAGGTGAGGTGAGGTGAGGTGAGGCGAGAGAGAGCACACAAGGAGAGAGCGAAAGAGAGAGATTGATGACCCAGCCGCGTGGGGACAGATGGGATTGGGTCGCGCGACAGGGACCCCTGGACGGCCGGTGTGGCTGGTGCGGGTGCGGGCTGCGCTGCGCTGCGACGAGGCTTCGGGAGCGCGCCGTGGGTGCGTGCGACTGACGATGGCAGGGCGCGGTGCAGCGGGCCGCCGGCCGTGGTGTTGAGCGGCGGGCGGTGGCGGCGGGCACCCAAAGCGTGGGGACGACGAGTCGGGTCCGTCGCGTCGGCCCGGGGCGAGGACCCTGGAGCGTTCTTGGTGTTTACGCGGAAAGAGGGACGAGGAGAGAGGGAGGGTTGGCGGCCCGCGGCCAGCTCGCTCACATGACGCTGGCGGCGATGGGAGGAGGACGACGCGCAGGGACGTTGCGAAGAGGTAGGTACGAAGCAAGCGTCAGCCTCGCGGGCGGCGGTTCGAGGAAGAAAAAAAGGGTGGATTGGATTGGATGTGGATGGATGGATGGGACTGGACACTGGCGCTGCCGATGTGGGGGCGCGGCGGCGCGACGGTGGGCGGGTGGACAGTGGACAGCGGACAGCGGACAGCGGACAGCGGGCAGCGACCCGTTAAACGGGCGAGCCGCTGCCGGCGGGTGGCTTCCAAGCTTTCTGGCACGGGGACTCTCAGCTGGGCTCGGTCGCCTCCCGCGCTCCAAGGCTATTACAGTGGACTGGAGCACCCTGGCCCGGAGCAGCCGCCTGTCGTGCCCGCCGGGCCGCTCTATAGCCAGGCGGCGATGACATGCCGTCCCGTGATTGCTTCAATTGCAGTCGACGACGAACCTACCTGGGTCGGCGACACGCTTCGGAGTAGACGATGGGCAATTGGCGACCAGGCCGCACTGGGCGAGCTGCCTTGCTTGCTTTGTGCATTCCATTACCTGCCGACCTAGCTTGTAACTTAGTCGGTGATAAGGCTGCCCAGCGCCTGCGCCCGGCCGCTGTACCGTACTGCACTTTTACATCACCACTACATTATGGATAGTACCTTCATACACGCCTCGCAACGAGGCTGCCCGCGTGCGCCCGCCCCCAGTCCAAAACGAGGCGCGACCTAGCCGCACCACGGCTCCCACCCGAGCCCGCAGCGCACGATCGGCCGAGCAGCAGCAGCAACAGCAGCGGGCAGCAGGTGTGGCTGGTGGACGACGGGAAGCGCGGTTTAGCGTTGCCGGGCCCCTGCTCATCATTCCCCCTTGGGACGGGGACCCTGGAAAATGGGCAGCCATTCTTCTTTTATTAGCAACCTAACACCTAACTTACCTGGGGCCCTTCTTTTCCGGAACCCCCCCTCCCCTCCCCTCGACCCCTGGTACAAAGGTACGACGTGTACGGCGCGACATGCGAGAGGTACCTTGGGTATGAGTGCACGGCCATTGCGCTCCATATGTGCTCAGGCAAGGTGAGGTGAGGTGAGGTGCGGCGAGGACAGGTGAGGAGAGGGTACGAATACATAAAAAGTAATAAGGTGCGCTCCCCTCCCCCCTCCCCCTGGTAATTCCAGCTGTCCGGTCGACGGGACCGCTGATGAGGCCAAATCTTGGGTAGCGGGACCACGTTTTTTTGCTTTCTTTTTCGGCTCTTTCTCTCGCTCTCTCCCTTTCCCTCTCTCTGTTCCCAGGCCGCCCGCGCTCTGGCCGCCGCAGCACGCGCCACCGTCGGCTCTCGCCGGGGCGGCTCTGCCGCTCTGGCTGGCTGGCTGGCTGGCGGCACACCCGCTTAAGGTTACGCACCGCACCGCACGCGCCCCCCGGGTGCTGCGGCATGGAACTCCACTCCACCAAGAAACCCACCACGCGTCTGCATCACCACCACACGCGTCTCGCTCGCTCCCGCCCCCCCATGCTACCCTACATCGCAGCAACTGCACGCCCGTCAACCATCCCGTCCGCCCTCTTGGCAACGGCAACGGCAACGGTGACGGGCGGCTTGCAGGGCCGGGCCATGGGACCTCATTGCGGAAAGAAAGTGCCCGTGCCTCCTGCTTCCGCGTGCAGTGGCCTGCATATACATACTACCATCTCTATCCCCACACGTGCCGCCCCCGTGAGATTGGCGTCGGCCGCGATCCGAGGAAACGAAAAGCCCCCGTGGTGATTGCGGCAATGGTGGTGGTGCGTGGCCTGATGCCCGCAGACCCCCTTTGGCCCGGCACCTTCTTCCGCATGTAAACCATGACCCTTGAATTTAGATAGACGCGCTGTCAAATCTCGCCGCACGTGTTTTTTCCCGGCGCGATGTCGAGAATCGAGACGGGGGGCACATTGCATCGGTCCACGGCCTTGTACGTGCTCGTAGTACGCACGTAGGCTCAACTGTCCGGGCGATGGCGGGTTCGCCCTCCCCTCCTTCCCCTTTTCCCCGCCAACCTGGGAGGGTCCATCACCACGTTACCCATATCGGCGCGACGCATTCGCGAATGCGTGCCTGGATGCATGCATGCGCTCAAGAAACCTCCCCCCTCCACCCTCCTCCTCCTCCTGCTCCTCCTCCTCGTCGCCGCCCACACCCCTCCTTCCCCTGCCGCCGCAACCCTGGCCTGCATAAGCGAGACGTCGCGCTCGTCTAGCACCCGTCCCCCCCATCCCCTTTTTGCGACCAGTCGGCGCCCTGCCGCCCACGCATCCGGAATCACGCGCAGCCAAGGCCTCCAACGTGCCGTTGAGGCGGGGGGACGGCCAGGGGAGGCACGACGTGACATGAAAGAGAGAGAGAGAGAGAGAGAGAGAGAGAAGGAAAAGAAGAGACCCTCGCGTGCGCGCGGTGTATGTATGTACATACGTAGGGCTTAGTATGCATGCACGCGAGCACGTCCCTCCATGTGAGCCGCCCGTCGCAGCATTATCATTAGGTATATTGGGCCTGCGGCCGATGTCGTGTAGGTTCCGCAGGTTTATCTGTTTTACATGCAAGGCGGCGTGGGTGGTACAGTACAATAAGCAGGCAGGTAGCTAGCATGCGCTCTTTACACCGCGAGCTGGCATTGCTCCATCAGCGGCTTCATCCTCTTCCAGTTGATCCCGGACGAAGTCGCCCGTCCGTCGCCGCTCTGGTCTTCCCCCCCCACGACCATCCACGGGCTCCCGTGGCACTCGCCCGCGCCCGCGTCGTGCGTCCACGCGAGACACCAGCCGTTCTTGTCGCACCTGCGCTCGCACTCGGCCTCGTCCCGCACGCCCTTCCACGTCTTGACACGGTCGTCCCGCGGCCCCACATGGTCCCGGGACCCGGACCCGGTGCCGCTGCCGGCGCCGGCTCCTCCCGCCGCGCCGGTCCGTCGCCCGTACAGCTCCCACAGCTGGCCCCAGACGACCGGCCCGGCGACGCCGGCAAACAGGCGCCCCGTCTCGGTCATGGCGCCCTCGGCGCGCAGCCCGTGGAACGACACGATGGGCGAGCACACGCGGTCGGCGCGGATGCGCGTCACGCGCGGCGCCTCGCCGTTGAAGTAGTGGCAGTAGCGCTCGTCGAGGATGACGCCCACCTTCTGCAGCGTCGTCGCGACGAGCCGGTCCCCCCACGTCTCGTCGAGCGACTCGCGGTACGCCGCCGCCACCACGTCGCGCCGGTCGAAGAGCGCCTTCATGGCCGCGCCCGACAGCAGCACCGCCGAGCCCCCGTGCGCGAACCGCCCCCGCCAGTCGCCCACCGCGTTGCCGATGTACTGCGGCTCCTTGGGGTCCAGGTGGCTGAGCAGCAGCTCGAGCGACTCCTTGACCACGTACGTGTCGTCGTCGAGGATGATGTACCACTTCTTGTGCGGGAGGCGCATGTGCGCAAACTCTAGGCCCATGATGAACTGCCGCACCATCGGCACCCGTGTCAGTATCGCGTGTACGCAATTAAGCTCCAACAAGTCGGGAGACGAAATACCTTGAGGGCGTCGAGCTCCCAGCCGTAGCTGCGGCCCAGCTCCAGGGCCTTTTCCTCGTCGCCGGCGGCCACCGCGCCCTGCAGGGTCCTGTACTTTGCGAAGCGCTGGTGCTCGGCGTGCGCGTCGTCAATCTTGGTCTCCATGACCATGCGGATGGCGTCGTGGACCTCGACGCCCATCCTCTTGGAATCCGTCTCGTTGACCGTGGTCCAGTCGCCCACGACGAGGAAGCCCCTCCCCTCGTCGCCCAGAACGCCGCCCGTGCCGCTGCCGGCGCGCGCCAGCGCCTCGAGCTGCGCCGGCACGCGGTGGCGCGTCCCGTAGCCCGTCTTGATCAGGTAGCCGACCTCGCTGCGCAGGTCGACGCGGTGCCGCGCCGGCCCGCGCAGCCAGGCGTCCCGTCCCGTGGCCTTGCCGCGCAGGTAGTTGGCCGCGCGCGACGCGTTGAAGCCCAGCGCCAGGCGCACGCCCGCGTCGGGCGGCAGAGCGAGGTAGCAGACGCTGAGGGCCAGCGCGAGCAGCAGCGCCGCCAGGCCCAGGCGCCGGCGCGCCCGCCGCGGGAGCTTGTACATGGCGAAGCAGAATGCCGCGCTGAGGAGGCCCATGCCGGGGCGTCTGACGGGGTGGGTGGGTGGATGAAGGATGGCGCGAGGGAGGCAGACAGGCAGACAGGCGGGCAGGCTGGCCCGGGGGCAGGGGGACGGACGGAAGACCTCGTTTGCGCTGGCAAATGCTCTGTGCGACGGGCCCAACCCAAGAGCTCCCCGTTTTCAGAGCAGCAAAGTCGCAGTGTCTTGCATTCCTCACGTCGTTGCGCCCCCGTCGGGCCCCTTGGAGGCAGGCTGGGGCGAGAAAAGCGACTGGGAGCAGCCCAATGCGAGCGACGGCAGGGGCTGGGAGATTTTCGATCCGAGTTCCGGCGCCGACGAGATGAGGAGGGGCGTTGTGCGGGCCAGTTGCGGCCACCAGCGTCGGGCCCACGATCCGAGTCGAGATGGGTGATGTCCAGGGTTCCAAGGTTCGCGACGTGGCATCCGCCCGTGGACGATCCATCCCGCGGCTCGCTAACTTTTAGGTACCAAGCCAGAGCCAGAGCCTCCCTCCCTAGGTCCCCTGTCGCGTGCGCCGCCTCGGGTTCGCGCCAGGGGGAACAGAGGGGAGCTGCGGCGCTGTGGCCGCTGACTCATCAGCTGTAGATGCCTGGCACAGCGCTCACTGCGCATACTGCTAAGATCCGTGGATGCTTACTTCAAATGCTACAATGTGACACTGAGGCAGCTCTTCAACGTCACCATCTGCAAGCCATCTTCGGTCGCACACACGACATTGTATCCTGTCGACTCTGTCTACCTCCTTGTCCCAAGTGTATAATACAAGCATCGTCTCTCGTCTTTCCCGTCCCACCAATCCAACATCGCCAGCCTTCCACTCCTGCAGGGCCTCGCTCCAACATCCAGGCGGTCGGCGCCACCTTCAACACGCGCTCGTCCCTGCCGATATCCCGAGGGATGCCTTGTTCATCTAATGCCGTAATGATGCCCGTCTCGGACAGATGAAGGTATGAAAATGCACAGCCGCAAACGCCGTCCCATGTCCCTGCATAACACGGTGCGCCAACCCAACGCGCCGCTTCCATCTCCCCTCACCATAGCCCAACCTGGCATCGACTGCGCCTCATAATCGAACAGGGCCTGCGGCGGCCTACTTTTCCAGTTCGTAGAACAGCAGGTACACCTCCCGCTGCATGCCCAACACCTCGCTCGTCTTGGCCTCGCGCACCTTTTCGTCGCTCACGCGCCACCACTTGTCCGAGGCGACCTTGCGCTTCTTGGCGCTTTTGGCGGCGGCTGACCGCAGGCCGCCGGGCGAGGCGGCCCCGTCCCCGTTCGACTTGGGCGACGCCAATCTCGAGATGGCCGACCTAGTCGACGCCGCGACGGAGCGCAAGCTGCTCGTGTCACCGTCCTTGTCCCTGCCGTTGACAGGCGTGGCCGGGGCTGTGCTCCGTTCGGCGGGTACGCTTCGCGGAGGAACCGGCAAGGAGTCGAAGGAGGGCGTCGAGGAGTTGGCTGCGGGGGACATGGACAGCAGGTCGGGCGTGGAGATGGCCGGGCTGGCGCCTTGCCTGGGGTTGATCTCGGGCGTGGATATGGGCGTCGGCGTCTTACTGTACACGTCCGACTGCTGGAAGGTGTTTGTGTTGTGGTAGGGCAGCACTTGATTTTGCCGCCGGAACGCCTCGTAGTGGCCACTGTTGTGGCCGCCCCTGTGCGTGATGATGCCGAGCAGCTTGTACTTGTGCTGGTCCATCAGCCCGCCCAGTGGCAGCTGCTCGGGAAAGGCCACCTTGGCCGAGTTCTTCTGCGTCATCTGGCCGACGCCGTAGATGGAGCGCGACAGGTGGATGGCCAGGACCTTGGGGAATATGGTCATGCGCGTCGTCTTGGCGATCTTGCGCTTGGGCGCGTACCTAATGTCGCCAAGCTCGACGCCCTCGGGAGGGTTCTCGGGGTCCGTCTCGATGGCGAACTGCAGCTTCTCGATGTTTTCCCGGGCCTGCGCCTTGAAGCTCTCCGACGTGGACACGGCCGCCTCGTGCTCCAGGTTGGCCTTGGTCTGGACCAGGCGACACATCTCGCACTTGAAGTCGTCAATGTACTCGGTCTTAAAGATGCCGTCGAAACAGGCGTTGAGCGACGTCGACGAGACGTGCGGCACGGCCAGGGTGATTGTGCAAAACGTCTCTTCCCTGGGCTTGGTCTTGTATCTGCACGTCTGGCACTCGAGGTGCGACTCGTATTTGCCCTCCATGGGAAAGCCCTCTTCCAGCTCGAGCGGCACCTGCGCGTTGCCTAGCGCATCCCGAATCTCCTGCGCATCCGGCTCGGCCGATTCTCCGTCGGACCCCTTTTCGTCGTTGCTCTCGCCATTGGTCTCGCCGTTGGCGGCGGTTGCGGCGGCGCTTTTGTCTCGGTCGTCTTTCGTCGCGTCGCCGTTGCCGTTGGTTGCCGGGGTGCCGTTGGGTGAAACGCCGTGCTTACGGGCGTGGAAGCGGGCGCGCTGGGCGGCGTGGTACTCGTCCTTGAGGCGCTCGGCGACAATCTGCAAAAACTCCTGGGCGTCCTGCTGCTGTCTGCTTATGCGCTGGCGAAAGGCGGTCTCGAGGACGCGGACGAACTGGAAGGGCGAGATGGCCTTTTTGGCGATGGGGCGCTCATTGAGGGCGTCGAGCATGTCCTTGAGCCCCTGGGTGACGAGGCCATCCTGCAGGCCCTGGAGGCGCCACTGCTCGAGGCGCGAGCCGCTGAGGGGCTGGACGAGGTTGGCGTAGACGGCGGGGTCCTCGATGCGGCGGCGGTGCGTCTCGCGGATCAGGTAGACGCGCAGGTCGCCGAGCCCGGCGAGGGTCTGCAGGACCGAGTTGATGAAGCAGTCATTGGCCTGGTTGCGCAGGCCGACAATGGTCTTTTTGCGGGAGCCGGCGGTCGAGTCGTGGTCGATGGTGAAGGTCGGGCCGAAGACGTAGATGAGGGCGACGGCGGCGAGGGACGCGCCGGCGGCGTAGGAGACGACGGTCGCCGACTTATCGGGCATCGTGACCCGTCGGCGGCCGGTCGCGAGGAGCCGGGGGAGGGGGAGGAGGAGGAGGCGGCGGCGTCGGCGGCGGAGCGGCGGGTTCGGATACGAGACTCGACGGCGGGTGACGGAGGGAGTAGAGGAGGAGAGTGAGAGAGAAAAGGGAGGCGGGGAGGAGAGGGGAGGGGAGGGAGAAAGAGGCAGGAGGCTCCTATGGGAGACGTGCGTGCCTCATGTCCGAGCTGACGACGTCGGGCGGTCTCGGTGGTGGAGGTGGGCGGTCCCTGTCCCGGTCCCGGCGCTGACGAGAAGCAGGCGGGGATTACGGAGGCGGCGATTTTATCTCTCGGCGGCCGGGAAGAAGCGCATTTGCAAGACGGCACGGCCGGGGCCCAGAATCTCCTTTATTTCGTTTCGTCGAGTCGATCTCGCGCGCGCGCGCACAGAGGGGCAAAAAGGCGGAGGAGGGGAGGGGTTGGGAGATCGTTGCCGGCGGCGGCGGCGGCGGGAGGAGGAGGAGGAGGAGGAGGAGGAGGAGTAGTAGTAGTTAGGAGGATGTAAGAAAGCGGGATGGCGGCGGGAAGGGGAAAATGCGGGAGTAAGTCGAGAAGCGGAAAGTTGGGGAAAGGTGCTAACTAGCGTATTTCGAGAAAGGTGGTCGGTCGGTTCGTTCACACACTCCGTTAGTCTGCTCCGTAATAACAAGTGCGCCTCCCCGTACGTATGTCTCCGTGGCTTCGCAACTCAACTCAGTTAGTCGTCCCGCCCGCTGGGCAGGCCAGGAAAAAAAAAACAGCCACCCCCGGGGGAAGGCGGATCTTGGGGGATATTTTTTTTCTTGGGCGGTTCACTCGCCCGCGCCAGTCGGATGGCGGCGCAGCAGCCACTCACTTCGCTCGTCTCTGAGTGACTGACTGACAGACAGACTGACAGACGGGGCAGCACGGACGGACAGGCACCGGGCGAGACGGTGGGTGGGTGGACAGGTAGGTAGGTACTAACGTTAGTTGGAGGTGGGATGACCATGGGTCAGGGCAGTTGTCAGTGAGGTCAGCAGCAGTAGTAGAGGAGGAGCTACGGCGACTGGCGCGCATGATGATGGAGAGTCGCAGCCTTCTTGGTGTTGTCGTCATCTTGCCCGCTTGTCGCCGCCGCCGCCGCCGCCGCCGTCGTCGTCGCACTGCAGCAAACTGATTGATTGATAACGAGCACCACTGGCGGTAACCCTTGATTCACCAGTAGCGTACAGTACATACAAATGTCCGGGTGTGTGCGTGTGTGTTGCACATCCATCTGTCCGACCCTGAACAACCCGAGCCACCGAAGACAATCAGGACGGCAGTCATGGCCGGGTTGTCGTCGTCGTCGTCGTCGACATGGGTGCGGAGCTTCGCGGCGTGATCAACGACGATTCGACAACCAGACAGAGACATTGCGGAGGCCTCGGCATGCCCGGCCCTCGGTCAGGCACGTCGCCCGTCTTCGCGACCCTCTGG